TTAAGTCTTTGATCTAGCGACTATATGCCTGCTTCAACAACCTAAAGCAGCCAACATCAAGTGGCTAGAGGAGATAGGAGGAATGTAGAGGTATGTAGAGTGTGATAATGTTGTTCTACTAGCAGTAGAGCTCAAACTCGGTTGAATGGTGGCTTTTGTGGCCATCGAGGATCAACAACTGGTATTTGCCCTTTATCCAAGGCGCTATATGGTAGTCGAAGTGCTTGATCCAATCAATGCCTACTGCATTGGTAGTTCAGCCATTGTAGGTGGTTGTAATGCGCCAGTCGGCTAGGAGGTTGCACTCAGTATACTAGTTGGCAAGATAGTATTGTGCTGCTAAGATAATGAATAGAGAGATAACCTAGCCAAGAGCATTGACGCCTTGGATTACCGTCGCCCATTCGCAGTTGCTAGGCTGGGCTAGCTTCGCCTTGCTATAGCTATTCGAGATTATAACTATTATACCTAGGAAGATAATACTTATTATAAACCTAATCTCATCAAAGTTGTGGATATCGTCATCTATAATACTATACTTGGCCTTAACATTCTATATAAGAGTAAACCATTCGCCAATAATCTTCAGATCCTTATATTTAGCTCTCTAGTAGTCGTATCTACATATATAACGCATCCAGAGCTCTAACTGGCGTTTGATAAACTTTATACGCCTAGAGCTTGCCGACAGGGGACGTATTATGTACATATAGTAGTTGGTTGGCCATATCTTCCACACTATATAGTCTCGGCAGAAAGGCTCGCTCAGATAACTCAATTATATACTGAACAGAATCTAGCCTAGGCAACTAATACGCACCCACCGGGACCTTAGCCTTGTTTTACAGGGCCTAGGCTACTGGAACCGAAGACTTCTGAAGAAGGTACTGGGTTGGCTGATGAACTCGGGCCGGCTAGGGGAATACAGGCTCGCCCAGAACCTAGATCAGGAACTGGAAGCCAGGGAGCTCGGCTAACCACACCCGTGGCCACGGCTTAGCTGGGCTAGCACCCTACTAGCCGTTAGCCCAAGGCCTTCCCAAGGCCTTTTTCTTTACTTGCAGCAACGTGTATCACTGAAACCATGTCTTTCCTATTATTTCCGACGAAGGTTTTTACCCGGCCTAAACGGTACGGTTTTTCCTTTGTACATAGCAGTAGAGGGTCCGGCGCGCCTTGTAAACAGCTAGGCATAGCGGAGTAGGAGAATATATATATATACTGAACAAGAGCCTTCTCTTTGGAATCGGTAAGCCGGCGCAAGTTGAGCGTAGTGTCGCGTCGTGCAGGCTTGCCGTCGCGTCAGTTTTGGATGGTATTGACTGTGACGTTATAGATCTTTGCTACGGCGCGAAGACTAAGTTTTGGGTTCTTTTGAATGGCTTCAAGGGCTAAGATTACCTTAGATTCTCTTGAAGCCGAAGACATCGTTAGGTGTAGAGGATTTTGGTTATGGTATGGAGAGAAGACGCGTCGCGGTCAAAGTGTTCAATTCGCTTAACGTATCTTATAAGCGAGCCGGCCATATAAGGGAGCCGGCCACTTTACCCGCGAAGCGTCACTTCCGCGCTTAAAACCAGATTTTCTTTACAACCTAACATGTCTTCTTCTTCGTACGAGGCTAGGATAAACCTAGCCCTCGAAGCGATACAAAAAGACCAAAAACTAAGCATAAGGGCTGCAGCGAAATACTACGACGTTCGACGAACAACCTTGCAAGACCGACTAGCGGGCCGGCCTGCACGACGCGACACTACGCCCAACTCGCGCCGGCTTACCGATTCCGAAGAGAGGGCTCTTGTTCAGTATATAATTAAGCTATCTAAGCGAGCCTTTCCCCCGAGACTACATAGTATAGAAGATATAGCCACCCAACTGCTATACGTACGCGACGCACCCCCTGTCGGTAAGCTCTGGGCGTATAACTTCGTCAAACGCCAGCCAGAGCTCCAGATATATTATACGCGTAGATACAACTACCAGAGGGCCAAATGCAAGGATCCAAAGGTCATTGGCGAATGGTTTACCCTTATACGGAACATTAAGGCCAAGTACGGTATTGTAGATGACGATATCTACAACTTCGACGAGACTGGGTTTATAATAGGCATTATCTTCCCAGGCATGGTGGTAACAACCTTGGATGGCCGTGGCAAGGCGAAGCTAGCCCAGCCTGGCAACCGCAAATAGGCGACCGTAATCCAAGGCGTCAATGCCCTTGGCTGGGCTATCCCTCCGTTCATTATCTTAGCGGCGTAATACCACCTCGCCAACTGGTATACCAAGTGCAACCTCCCGGCCGACTGGCGTATTGCAACCACCGAGAATGGCTGGACTACCAATGCAGTAGGCCTTGATTGGATCAAGCATTTCGACTACCATACAGCGCCTCGGATAAAGGGCAAATACCGGTTGTTGATCCTCGATGGCCACGAAAGCCACCACTCAACCGAGTTCGAGCTCTACTGCCAGCAGAACAACATTATCACGCTCTATATGCCTCCACATTCCTCCCACCTCCTCCAGCCACTTAATATTGGCTGCTTTAGGCCGTTAAAGCAGGTATATGGTCGCCAGATTAAGGACTTAATACGCGCGTATATCAGCCACGTAAGCAAGCTCGAGTTCCTTTATACCTTTCGTACAGCCTTCTTTGCCTCTATCACTAAGAGGAATATACAGGGCGGTTTTATAGGGGCTGGCCTTGTACCGTACGATCCAGAGAGGGTACTTTCGAAGCTAGATATCAAGCTTCGTACACCAATACCCCCAACCTCACGGCCAGGCACTGCACAATCTTGGGTCTTCCAGACACCATATAACCCCCAAGAAGCCAACTCACAGTCAACGCTCATCAAGACTCGCATTGCCAACCATTAAAATAGCTCCCTAACTTCGATGTTGGCTGCTGTGGACCAGCTTACCAAGGGTACGATAGCTATAATGCACCAGGTGGCCCTCCTTCAGGCAGAGAATGCTTCGCTCCGCAAGGCCAACGAGGCGCTAAGCAAGCGCCGAAGAGCCAAAAGAACGCATGTACAGCTTGGAGGATCACTTGCAGTAGAAGATGCAAAGGATCTACTAGACCAAAAGGCTGTGGTTGGGGAGGTAGCACAAGAAATGCAGCCGGATGGTAGTGGTACAGGGGGGGCTCGTACGAAGGTTCGGTGCTGTGGTGTGTGCGGCAAGCCTAGTCATAATGCCCGCACTTGTCAGGAGGTTGCAGAAGCATCTGATTCAGCCGTTTCTGATGTAATTATAGTAGGTTCATAATGTTGTTGTGTTGTAATTGTAGTTGACTGTTATAGTATGGTGGCAAGTGTTCAATTCGCTTATATGTTCATCTCGCTTATAAGATACGTTACTATATTCACGTTCTTGCTAGCGAAGTATACCGGTCTCCTCCTAACCGTCCCCCTACTTCCCTGGTATCGCAGGTAATTTTACTTCCGCTTCGGCGTCTTGGGACCGGCGGCCCCCGTTGCCTTCTAGGATAGTTATCGGCGTATAGCAACTACCAACAGCCATAGTGCGACAATGCGAGCAGCGTGTGATTACAACTGAGGGCTAGAAGCCCGCCCCAATCGATCAAGGCTAGGGTGGTCTCTCTTACTGTTACCTCCTATTCTCAGAAAGATAGTGGTACGCTCATCGACCAACGTAGAATCTCCACAGTGGCCGCCACCCCTAGTACTAGTAGCTGCTCCCTGGAAGCCAGAGAGCCACCGCCTCACACTAGGGCTACATTAATAGCTCTTTATTGCGCCCAATGCAAACAAAAGGCTTCTAGCTCGGGATCCGCCCGGCTCTAGGGATGTTACCAAGCTATCCACATGTATGGTGCACATCATAGCTGGATTGGAGTTTGGACATGTAGGGGGCGCAGCCAGTGACCCGTTCAATATGTTGGCATACGGGTCCACATTGTTGGTTGCAGCGTCCCTATGAACCTCATCAGACTGTAATATGGGGTGATGTGTTTACTTCGCATTGAGCTGCATGTGCCGCGGCGCCTTACCGTATCTAGAGTCCTAGACCAAACTGACTACTTCGAACACCGGGTTCCTTAACACCGAAGCTGAAAGACGTGAAGCCTGCGATTGGACCATGCGCGCATGAATGGGCGAACTCCTGCAGTAGCTACAGCATTTAGATGGTTGAGATCGGTCGAGACCATGCACAGCTCGCCCGTCTCCATCCTCCTGCATGCCAAGAGAGTGGAAGGAGATCTCGTCAACTTCTTGAGCTTGTTTTGTGGGAGTGTGATGGATCCAGAACATATCCAGAGGAATGACTTGGTGCCGCGTATGAGAATTACTGCTTGCCTTGAAGCGCGCAGATGGTCATCCATGGTGTAAATTTCTCTGTATATGAGATAGTCCGTGTCACCGGAGTCGAACCACGATCTGATGGAATGGACTGAGGACTCTCGCTGGACGAAACAGGCCGTACCCAAAACTTCGCTATCAGCCGGATAGATCCGACTAACCTCTCCTCTTTATTATTTTCCTTTCTTTCTTTCTTTCATACTCTTCTTCCTGTTGCAGACACAGGCACTGCAGCAAAAACAGCATGAATTCTGACTATGGAAAGTTGGTGATGTTGGGCACGAACCACGAAGTGTTGCACAGAGGGCTTCGGTGGGCCTGGCTGACTACGCCTGGTAGACACCCGCAACACGTTCTTCCTATGTAGTTCTCCTCTTCTTAACTTCGCATTCTTCTCTTTTCTTCCTTTTCTCCTTTCCCTTCTTTATTTCTTTTCAAGGGATGTCATTACTTGAGTTCTTCATTTTTCAAACTAGGTAGAGGTAAGGTACCTAGGTAATTATTTGCGGAAGATGGACTGCGGAGACTGTGCTCCACCACGGTGCCTCGAGGGGTGGGATCACGTGTCAGTCATGTGATCAGAAATGACCCCAGTACTTCATATCATTTTGGCACCACAGCAACCGAACACCTCTTGCCTCATTTACAGCCTGAATCTCACACAAATATGCGGGATGAAAAAGCAATGATCAAATTGTACATATAGTTGATGTTGTTCCAATCTTGGTAAAACCCTCTGCACCAAGCCGGGTGTGGTCGGACGCAGCCACGTGGCAGCCTAAATACACAGCGAACCCTAACCCAACACAGACCCAACTGTACCTCCAGAGTAAAACTTGCCGCCAGGGCAAGATGCTGATCGACAATTCGACACTGCAACGCTGCACACAAGGCGACCGCTTACCGTATGTAAGTCACAATTCCTTGACTTCAGAAAGGTCTTCACTCCTCAGACGCCATTCGCAAAGGCATCACCCCCGGCTTCAGCATCAATGCGGACCGAGTCCATCAATCCGCACACCTCGAACAAGTGCTTTGGCCCGAGCCCATCGGGTATGCCCGTGCGGCCTTCCACCTTCAGCCTCTCCAGGGCGTTCTTGATGCCCAAGTACGCCGGCGCCAGACAGGCGAAGGAGAAGATCATGATGCGGAAGCCCATCTCCTTGGCCTCGGCGGTGGTGATGACGGGGCCGGCGCCGTTCTCGACCATGTTCAGCAGCAGCGGCCACGGCGCCAGGTCCTGCACCGCCTGGCGGGCCAGCTCCTTGGACGTGAAGCCCTCCAGCAAGCCCACGTCGGCGCCAATGTCCCGCGCCGCCTTGAGCCGGCGGATGCATTCGTCGTAGCCGTGCTGCTGGAGCGCGTCGGTGCGCGCGATCAGCACAATGTCCGAGCCCAGCCGGTCCTTGGTGAACTTGGCTGCGCGGATGCGCGCCAGGTATTCCTCCAGCCCGACAACCCGCTTGCCGGCAAGGTGCCCGCAGCGCTTGTTCAGGATCTGGTCTTCGATGTGGAAGCCCGCCACGCCGGCCTGGATGTACTGCTGCACCGATTTGGCGACCATTAGGGGACCTAGACAATTGTCAGTCGCCGTTGCCCTTTACAACATACCGGGGCGGGGCGGGGCGGGTGAGAATCCTCAGAAGATGCGCGCGTACCTCCGTATCCGGTGTCCATGTCAGCGATGAGCGGTGGGCCGAAAGGGTCGAGATTGGCGATCATCTCGGCGTTGGTCCTCATGTCGTAGAGCTGCGCCAAACCGAGATCCGGCTGCCCCAGTCGGGAGGCGGTTGTTCCCGCGCCAGTCTGCACATTCTTTTAGTACATATTTCCGTGAGGCACGTCGTTGTCAATGACCGAGTACTTACCATATACAGGGCCTTGAACCCCAACTGCATGGCGACGCGCGCGGACAGGCCGTCATACACGCCCGGGCAGACGATCAGGTCGTCGGTCTCCCGCAGCATTCTGCGGAGTTTGGTGGCCCCTGCAGGCATATATAAGGAGACGGAAGGCACTTGGCGGTTTCCGTTGACATAATAGTAGCCGTCCTCTTCCAGAGTGATGTTGAGGACAGTCATGATGACTTGATGTGAAGAGGATTCAACGAAGAGGGAGGCCAGCTTGTCTTAAAGTGAAGAGGAGGGAAGTAGATGGGCTGAGTTGACCTGTTTGAGTTCAGGCCAAGAGACGATCGAAGTGTTTGAGTGAGTAGAACCTAGTGGATGATGTTGCAAAGAGAGCTGCTGATCTGCCTGGTACTCCTCTGGCATTGCGGTGGAGGTAAGGCCCCTTTTATGCTTTTTCCCCCACGCCATCCTCGGGCACATCCGGACCTGTCCGGATGACTTCCTTCTCCCCTTTGGCCTTTGTTGCCAGCATTGGTACGGACTCGGGAGTTCTGATCACACCTGCATATGTCCAAGCTTAGCAAGCCATCGCCCGGAGGCCATCATCAGGACCGCCAGTTGCTTTCCCTCTAGATTAACTTTCTTGGCGATTAACGACGACCTTCCCTTTCAAGGACAACACCATGGGGATGATGACAGAGGTTTCCCGCCATTCTAGACCAATCATAGAGATAAACAGCTATGGCGGAAAGAGAACTGAGGCGGCAGAATCTGTCTTACCTCTTGGGTTGCATACTGAGTGCTATCTCGGCGACTATCTTGACGCCAAGCGAGGTCTGGTGGGTGGTATCTGTCACAGATCAAAGTCTGTTCGCCATGTATCTCTGGCACCCGGTTGACCGGCCCGAGACCGGGACCTCTTCCGGGGCTCGTATTTCAGCAAGGTACTCTACATGCAGCGGGAGAGTGTGGTCGCCGGCGACGCGGCCGAGGGGGCCACGGGATGTTCTTGTGTCGCGGTATTAACCTGCTCACCATACCGCCAGCAGCTCCGGTCCGGTACGGAGTCGAGGCCGGATGTATCCCGGAGAAAAGGGGCTCCCTTTGAGTTACAACCGTTTGTTATGGTGAAAGGGCCATGATCACAAGTCTGGGGGACCAAAGACGAAAGACGGGGTTGTGATGGGAAAGGCTGACATTCTGCACGATGTTGAACATGGAAGCCCGACACTTTTGGCAAAGTGCCGAAATTGGCCGACCACATGCTGGTCTCAGCAGTCAAGACCACAATCTCAAGGAAGTACATCGAAGTTCTTGGTGGCTGCATGATCTTCGACAAATAAGCCTTCTTCAGCGGCCAAGGCTCTTGGCGGGACTGTGTAGACAGCTCGGCGCATCGGCAAGGACGCAACCACGGACGGCCGTTTTGAACAACTGCGCGGGCCGTTCTGCAGTCAGAGTATCACTCCGAAGCGCGGAGAGCGCACCCCCGACTGTTTGAGATGTCGACATGTGCCTCCGGAGGCCTCATTTAGTGGAAGGGGGGACGCTTGCTCTCTCCACCCTTTTCCTGTAATTCGCTCATTCACATTCCCACCAAGAGCTCGCTTGCACTGGGCTTCCTTGCTTTGTGCCCGAACCGAAGTCTTGTCAGTGCATATCTAAGAGGAGAGACAGTCTCAGACTCTCAGGGCACCCCCCCTTCGCAAGAACATGGACTTTGAATACGAAACGTTTCAACTGTTCTCTGGATCGGAATCGTCGGATACAGATACTGAAGAGGAAGGCTCTCAGGTCCTTACCACAGCATTCGCAAAGAACGGGTATATCTCCATCATGGAAGTGGAAACCAAGCCTCGCTCCTTCACGAGGAACCTTACAGCCTTTCTCGCGGCCAACCTCGATGCCAACCACGCAGAATGGCTTCTTTGGGGGTGCTGCCTCTGTTCAGGACTCGTGGACAGCACCATCTACAGCGGTGAGTGGTCGGACCGGAGAGACCATTTTTAGCCCCAAACTTACCGTCAGGGATCAGCCTACAGCACGTTCGTGTCCATGCAGACCGGTGAGTTTCCCCAGCAACAGGTACATACATACCTTACCCCATGTTGACCTACGGCTGACTTGCCAACCTTACCTAACTGCCTTACCTAGGCAACACCATCTTTGTTGCCCTCGGTGCATCCAACCAGAACCCACGCCCGTACGGCTGGGCTCGCTCGTTGACGTCCATCGGCTGTTTCACCCTTGGCTGTTTTCTGTTCGGCCGACTGAACCGCTGGATGGGCGGAAAGCGCAGAGGCACCCTCGTCCTCTCGTTCTCCATCCAGCTTGTGCTGCTCGTCATCACGGCCACTCTGGTGACGACCGGCGTCATCGAGTCGAGCCGCCCGACCTCAACCAATCTTACCGCAGCAGCAGGAGATGCTGCCGAAACGCAATGGACCCAGGAAGTCCCAATCGTGCTCCTGAGCATCCAGTCCGCGGGCCAGATTGTGGCCAGCCGGGCGTTGGGCTTCAACGAGATGCCCACCGTGGTGATCACGAGTCTTCTGTGCGACCTGGTGGTGGACCCAGAGCTGTTCTTGCCGCGCAACAACAAGAGGGATCGCCGGGTGGGCGCGTTTGTGTTGACACTGGCGGGAGCCGTTGCCGGCGGTTGGATGGTCAAGACAACCGGAAACATTTGGCCGGCACTGTGGCTCGTGACCGGAATCAAGGCGGCCATCATCGTGGCCTGGGTGTTCTGGAGGGAGACGGAGAGCCAGAGAGCTGTCTAACGACGGAGGTCCCTTGAAGTTTCTCGTTACTTTTGCCCACGATGCTACGAGCAGATGCAGATGATCTTGGCAGTCAGTACACCGGCACGAGGGCTGGAACCTCGTCTTTTCCTTGGCTGTCTTGACGGGTCGACGGACGGGTCTTCCGCATCTTTTCCGCGTTAATACTGTATCTAGCGTTCATCAAATACTTTTCAGATGGAATATACACACACACCAACCCCATTGCCACGGCCAGGGTCGGAGAGCCGTCTAGATTACACTAGACATTGCCCGGAAGACGCGATAGGTCGTAGATCGTGCAGTTCCAGCGGTCGAGCCAAAGCACCGCATGGAGCCGCAAGGGTGGGGTTGTCGTGGGCGAGCGTAGTGTAAGACCGGATGATCTAACGTCGATCGGCCCACCACCATGTGTTCCATATTGGGCGTTAAGCATATGTACCGTAAGATAGATAATGCGTGGTTCTTCCGGTCAGAATCCACTTACTGCCGTTTCCCACATGGTTACACATGGCCGGTCTAATTCGCTCTCCTGCATACGAGTCTTGCTCGGCGCAAAGGAGATCGAGGACAACCTATCTTCCCACGATCGCCGCACAACTAGTCCCTACCTACCTACGGTCACCTACCTGACAACGACTCGACGGGATCTAATGCAGGTCCTTGGTCCAGCCGATGAGTGACTCGATACCACTATCACCGGCAGAAGTGGCGTTACTTGGCAGTAACACCCGGTCCATCGAGCTAAAATAGTGTATATCCTGGCTGCGTGCATCCCCATAGCACCTTCTTGGCCCTCCTTTCGGGGCGGGGACCGTGGGACGGAACTGCTCTTGGCGGCGGGCTGCAAGGTAAGCTTCCGAGCGCCAGCAACGTCCCGAGCCGCTACTCCGGTTCATCGACAGCCAACCAATCTCGGGGGACGGCGATCGCACGCCACACATAAACGGCATGTTATAGGAGATTGGCTACTCCCGAGTGCTCTCGGCCCACCGTTCGGACCTGGGATCCTCGGATGACCCGTTATCAGGGGCGGGAACTGACACCACGAGACTTAAATCGAACTTTCCGTCTTGCAGGCAGTGATCCTTATCTGCCAGATCTGAAGGATTCCGATCTGGGGGTGGTGGGGGGTCCTACATATAACATGTAACTGTACGCGTGTTAGCCATATAACATTACTAGGAGCCAAGACTACGGGATCGGCCCTTTCTAGCCGAAGCGTGGTCAAGAGGATAAGGAACGTTACAGGCCAAGAGTCTTGCACTCCCTGCCAAGCATGTCCGCTGTGACAGAGCCTTCAATTTCTCATTCCCCCCAAAGCTTCAAAGATGCGAATAGTGTGCTCTGATGGGGATAGGGTGTTTGGGTACCTAGACAGAGTGTTCAAGGTAGAACAGACAGTATCTTGGCAGCCGCCAGAGCGGCTAATGTACTTCGGTATAAGTCAACTCCATCGTGCGGCTGCAGCTTCATGTTCAACCCCCAACGAGTTTGGGGGCCGGGCGCAAAAAGAAGTGAGGCAAAACTTGACTGTTGGAGCTTTAACATCCCCGGGACTAGCCCACCCCATCCCCAGGTTGTACGATGCGCCCCTCCCGGTAAGGTTAATTTGGCAGCCACTGCCGTTGCGTGCCTTTCCCACATTATATCCCGCGTCCGAGACGGTCCGACCCACCATCACGGCACCCGGTTTGAATTCGCCAAGGTGCACTGCCGTGGCATGTAGAGTTGATGACTGGTCATGAGGATTATCACCTGCATAGAGCAGGCCGATGATGTTCTGCAAAAGGGTTCCTCACACTTATCCTATCGCCTTACAATAGACTCGATATGCAGTCACCGTCGCAATCCCCATGTCTCCTAGAGAGAGCCGAGACGGGTCTACACTATCAGCTGAAGAACAGTTCCCAACTGGGCAACCACTTTGCAGGCAGGGCCCTTGGCCGACTTTTCCCGAGAGTGGGATACCTACTAGGCCCCCGGAGATGTTGAAGTTTGGGGTCCTGGCAGAAGAAATTGTTACTGTCACCGCTCCCCGCTGCCCGCGTCCGTCCAGGTACACTACGCCAAGAGCGGGGCCATGTGTCCCCTTCTCAACGGACCGCTTCTAGGTTACGGAAGTACTACCTAGGGAGTGATGATATGTTGGAAGGCACCTAGACCATGTGGCTTTCTGTGTTTGCTGTGGCTTTCAAGCCCTCCCACATATAAGCCACTGCAATGCCTTAGCTCGGCACATCTGGGTCTTCCTCTACAGAATTCAGGCCATTTCATTATGCCTCTACTTGGCCACGGCAACATAACGTGAGAACCTTGATGTCAGTACTCTGTGGGCTACACATCGAGGCAGGTCGCTCCAGCCTCCGCCCGGGGGGGGGGGGGGGGGGCGGGCGGGCGGAGTATGAACGCTACCGCTATCGATGAGCACGGGCTAAAGCCATAAAGTCGCGTGAACGAGCTCGTAATCGGCGGAGCTGATGTTGAATGGTGGTGGCACTGCAGTTGCAGTGCCGACGCTGTCTGACCTTGCTTACCTTGGGCACCTGTCGTCATGGGATGCATCCAGAACAGTCGGTAGGTTCCCGGAGGAATGACCCGCTGCCGTGCATGACGGAGATGCTGCTCGCACACGAAGCTTCCGTCTCTGGATGGACAAGGAAACCATCAGTGTGCTTTTACCTCTAGCGAGTTTGAGTTGGTCTTCACTGTCGGTCAACACCGTGTAGACTGTAGAGGCGATGGTCGGAGTTGATGTGATAGAGGATCAAGAGGGATGAGAAACACTGTTTTGGCGGCTCCATGAACAGGGACACTGATGTGCCGTACCTTATTACACTTCGGGATGATGCAAGTGCTTGCCGTTCTCGGCGGGCCTATTCCACAACGTGATGCTGGAACTGACGATGGAACGGTGGTATGGGGGGCTGTAGCACCTCATTGGGCCGACAATGTGCGACAGTGGCGCGGTAGAGAAGCAAGACCTGCATAGCGAACGCCACCGTCTTATGTAGTTCTGTGCCCACAATGTCCACGGAGCTTTTGCCAAGTCTACACCTCCTTCATCTCCAATGACGTTGATGAAAGCAGCCACAGTCTCCGCGGCAACCCCTCCTTTGACGGCGGCGGTGGACGATAACTGTTGCGATGAGGCCGCTGTGCAGCCCGTCGCTGAAGGATGATATCACTGAGCTTCGCGGACTGGGGGCCGAGGCCTTAGTTCAAACAACGTAGAAAAATCGGTCGAACTTGTCCTGGGCGAGTGCGAGGCGACGGCCAAGTTCACGTATTATCCCAACGCGCCGGCGAACTCGGCGCTGTTTCCGGATCGCAGGCCAAGAATGTAGGTATCTTAGGTTCGGTTCGTTGTTCTCGGTTGCTCCTTCTGGATCTGTCCTTCGTCTGCAGCCAAGCGCTGCAGCAGTGCCACATCCGTCATCGCCATCCTGGGCAGTCTGAGCCCCCGCGGCCCGCCAAACACTTCGCATGGCGTGCTGTAGGCGCGTCAGCTCGGCGCACACCTGAAGGCTGGTGGCGCTATCAGTCAGCTGCTATCAGGAAGGTATGTATCTCGGCTCTGGACTTGGCATCCCACTTTGAGATCATCAACCAACCTTCTCCATACCTTTTCTTTCTCTCCCAGTCTACCCCTCTCCCCTGCCCTCGATGTGCTGTCTCGATTATCCTGATACAAAACATTTCTTGGGGGTCAGTATACACCGACTAACCCCCATCAGCTACACTACACACTTACCAGGCTGACAATACTTACGGAATCAGGGCAGTGCACCAGAGAATACCTACCTTACCTAATGTAGGTACGCTTGGTGGATTCGCGTATCCGCTTTACTTGATTGAGAGAGTCCCTTATTCGCCCTTGTGAAGCGTAGTCTCCGCTGCTAGAGTAGTGTATCAGCCTGGACATTTAGTAAAGCCTACGGTAAGGTACCTTATGTCCCTCGAGACAAAATAGGCTATACACTACACATTCCTATTACCCGGAGAGATACCACTAAACCTTTTCTCTAAGGCACTTTCTTTTCTTTGCTACTTTTCTTTCTTCTTTCCTATTTCCTCGTCTTCTTAGCTTACTTTCTTTGGTTCTTAACTCGTCTTCCGTTTTTCCTTTTCCCTTTCTGTTTCTTTTCGAAGTGATTTTACTTGCTCGACTTCATCTTTCGAACCATTATTTGGGCTGCGGCTTTTCTGACATAGGGGAGCTTATGTAAGGCCTCGGAGAGTGACTGAGGATGTCATGTGCCTGTTGGTGCAACCACCTGTTTTGGATAGCAATGCAAAGCTGAAAGTTTCCGCTGATAAGCTTATTTAACGTTCGGTGCCCTGGCAAGCTTGGCAGTGTCCGGGTGCTAGAGGTCTATGGGGTGGTAAATACAGGTAGGTAAATACCTGTATTCAACTCGTACTATACATCTAATAAAGAAGGAGAAGGTACCGTCTATATGTATGTACAATACGACATGGAATAGATGTCACGGTATTCCCCGGTATTAACACGGTTCGGGACTGAGTAAAATACCAGCTCCGGTACTAGTACGGATCAGCTGTCTTAGGTAAGGCATGTACTGTACTGTACAATACAAACTGTTGCACGGGCCATACGTTCCCAGCACGGGAGCCGGTTTCCGTTCTGGGGACCGCAAACACGAACTTGCATCACTCCCTGGTTGGAAATGAAGTCTCGAGACCCTTCTACTGAGCGTATCACGCAGATGGCTGTGTCTCATTCAAGTGCATTCTTTGATGGTACCATTACTCGTCATCGCTATCGTCCTCTTCCTCCTGCCTGTCCTTGGCCGCCTGCTTGCGCGCTGGCTTCTTCATATTCTCCGATGCAATGTGGTTGGTGGCGCCATTTCCCGTTACCATAACGCCCCCCAAGCATTGATTCTGGTTCCCTTTCCCGCCGTGGTGGAACTGACTGCCACTGCCATGGTTGATCAGCGTCACAGCCCCTTTCGGCTCATCCTTTAGGGAAGGCTTGAGCTTTGAAATCTCTTCGACGGCGTCCTGCAGTTCCTTGACAAGCTCAGCATCGACGAGAGGTGGAGCGAGAGTGTCAAGTGCCATCTCGAGCAGCTCCTTCCCCACGGTTTCGATCCTTTTGCCGTTCAAGTCCTCGACAGCTTGCCGGTACCGCTTCAGCTTCGGGGCGTCTTCATTGGACTCCGTTACGGCACTGAAGAGGTCCTGAAGGTAGCCTGCATCACGCTGGCACGCCTTGGCAAGCTTGCGGATGTCCTGGTATTTCTCCTTGACCTCTTGTGTCTCTTCCCGGTCACCTATGTACGCTTCCACCGACGCGAGAGCCTTGCTAAGGACCGGTATCCGTTTCGCCACGGCAGGGAAGGCATCGGGCAAGCCATTGAAGCCGTCATTGGCATTGTCAGTGTTGAAGGACTTTTCTGTTTTCTTCAAAGCGTAGGCGGCATCGTCGATCAACCGAAGGAGTTGCGATTTCGTTATTGCCATATTGACGTTGGGGTTCTGTATTGGAATCCTCGGAGTTAGCAAGGATTTACTACATCACGCGAGAGTCCCCCAGGAACACTGGTACATTCCTACTCAGGAGCGTAAAGCTGTTATTGCTGGTGTAATAAGCTATAGGTAGGTAATGAATCTAAAGGCTCTACGTAGCTAGTCGGAAAGAGAAGATGAGAATGGCGTAGGCAGGCGGCGGGGTGCGGGCAAGTTCCATGTGCCGGTTATCAACATCGGCCACAGCGAAGCCTCGTCCTCAGTAGTAGTCGATAGGGACGGTGGAGGTGAATGCATACTCCGCCACACTGTGACCTTCGTAGGGGTGTTGTAGGCGAATCATTCTCGCTGATTTCCTGCCGTGTCACACGACGCCGCGAATATGACGATGATGCGATATGCCGGGAGTTCGTATGCTTACCAATGAAAGCTAATTCCGTCCCCCTTTGCCGCTGCCTTCGGGTCTCAGCTACAGTCTCCCAAATTGCTCCTCCCAGTTCGCCACACGACGAGGCGGCATCGTTACCTACAAATTGACAATTCTAGTAGTAACACAGCAGAATTGCACAACCGGCGAGGGCGGTGCTGTCTTTCCCCGTCCACAGCCAAGTACGGCCGTATAACCCGCCCCGACACAACGATCCGAGATCACAGGAGTGTTCCATTTAACGGCTTATTGCTATATTGACCTGTCCAGATATGGACAAAATAATATCTAGGTACTGTACCTTGTGGAGGCACGATGTTAGACTAAGCAAGCCTGAATAACAGAAAGGGGAAGTTACTCCCCAGGTTTCAACTTGTGTTTATCTCGGCATTCTCCTGTCGGCTTGCAGGGTGCATACCGTAGGTAGGTAGTATTGCTGTGCCAGGCACGGTAGGCTGCCCATAACAGAAGAATAACCCTATTATAAGGATCTACCCACCCGTTGAATGGCAGGTGGGCTCGCCTCAATTCCCCTGCAGAGTATGCGATCTGTTAGCACCCAATGGAAGCGCACCGCACCACCGTGTCTTGCGACCCTGAGTCGTTGCCCCCCAATCTTCAACCCCATGTATAGCTGATGCCCAACGCAGAACAGAATACTTCGGTTTCAACCCCAAAGTATCGGACGGATAATATCCCACTCTCAGGATCAAGGCTCGCAATAATGTCAGGGGCCGAGCTCATCGGCATCATCTCGGGCATTGTTTCCCTTGCCCAAGCATCGATCAAGATCTATCAGGCCGTCGACAACGCCTCAGGTCTCCCGAAGTCATTCCAGGACGTATTTGCTCGGTTGCCGCTTGTTCAGAGCACACTGGAGGCCGCGGCGGCGGGTATCGCCGAAGAGGAGGAAGCTGGCGACAATCTTGCGTCCGACCGATCACGAGCGGCGTTGGGCAAGGTGCTCGAGAGTTGCCGAGACAAAGCAGCGGCTCTTAACAAGATCTTGCGGGCCGTCATGCCAACGGCAGGGGCGAAACGCATGGAGCGGTACCTGAAGGCGATCAAAACGACTCCGAACGCCGACAAAGTCGAGAATCTGATGGATGGCATCTTGCGCGACATGCAGGTGCTGACGGTCAGCCAGGTTGTCAATGCACCAATACGGTCGCAGATGAAGGAACTGATCGCGGCGATAGAGAGGATGGAAGTGGAAAGAACGGACGACGGGAGTTGCGCGCCCGCGGTATCTTTGTACAGCGCCGGCTCCGGGTCGCAGTACGTACACAGCGGGCGGGGTGATCAAAACGTGGTTGCCGGACATGGGGTTCAGATAACCGGGAAGTCAACGGGACCGTTTTACTTTGGTCGGACATACGCTTGAATACTAGAACTGGCCCCCAAGTCCGTGGCAAGTCTTTGGGCCTCAAACAGCTCTACTCATATTCCGTACTACTCTCCATCCAAACGCCATCCACTCTCGTCGGCACCATTTAGATGTCTGCACTTTACACAAATAGAGAAGACTAGCTACTAGTAGGGGGGCATATACCGACCTATGAGAGAACTTCATTGGGAGCATGATAAGACATTCAACCGATCAAGGTTCTAGTGTTCAACGCTCTCGGCTGTATCTAACCCAGAGACGTCACTTCTCTGTCACCACCCCCCTCCATATTTCTTAAGAAGCGCCCGGCCTTCCAAAAAATTGACCTCATCCGCGTAGTCGAAAGCGTCCCACCCCTCCGAGTCCTGCGTCCGAGTGCTAGCGCCTGCATCCAAGAGAGCGCGCGCCAGGTCCAGCTTCTTCAGCTGTATGGCGAGCATCAGCGGCGTTCGCCCAGTTGTGTCTCGGGGCTCCAAGACGGCCTTAGCGTTCATCAGGTCATTTACTAGGATTGGATTGTTCGATCGGCCGCTCACTAAGTGGTGCAGGGGGGTGAATCTCTCCTTGTCCAGGGCGTTTGGGTTGCTACCAGCCTTCAGGAGCAGACGCATGCCTTTGCCGAAATCCATCCTGGCAGCGTGATGCAGCGCGGTCATCTGGCACCGGTCGCCCTCGTCACACGAGGCACCATGCCGAATCAGGATTTCCATGGCAGATGGTTTCTTGAGTACCGTAGCAAAGGTAAGTGCCGTGTAACCGTCGGAGTTGGCGATGTTAAGGCACGGCCTCAAGGCCGATCGTGAAGCCAAGTGATCTAACAACTCTGCCGACTCATCCCCAAAAGATCGGACCACGTGGTGTATAGGCGTCATGCCCTCGCTATCTTTAGCGGCTAAGGCGCCACCTCGGTCGACGAGGAATCGCAATGTCGCGTGGTTCTTTCTCTTTGCCGCACGGTGAAGGAGAGTTTTACGGTCGGTCATCAAGAGGGCAGCCGACGCTCCATGTTCGCACAGCAGCCATGCCATCGAACAGTCATCGTGGTCTAGCGCCATCTCAAGCGCCTCTTGGAGCTGATGTCCATTCTTGTTCAGGCTAGGAGACAGGTGCTTGGGGCTCTGTGCAAGGAGAAGCCACGCAATGTCGTTATATCGCTTCTCGACAGCGTAGAGTAACCCCGAACGACCGCTGTCGTCGCGGTCGTCCGGTCGAGCCCCCGCATTGAGTAACACCCAGACCGTCTCGCGGTCACCTTGCTTCACCGCCAGGAGCAGAGGTGTCAGGCCATCGTTGTACCTCTCGTGGACATAGGCGCCACAATCGATAAGCATCTTTGTTGCGGCCGGCTGTTTGTGGAACACAGCGTGCCAGAGCGGCGGCTTTCCATCGCGATCGGCCACGCCAATATCAGCGGGCTTGAACTTCCGTGCCAGAATGCGGGCGAGCTTAGACAGATCGCCAGTCCTGGCTGCATGAATTAGCGGCGTCCAGCCATCCCCGGTTGGTTGGTTGAGTTCGACACCACGCTCCAGCATCAAGTCAGTCAAGATGTGAGCATGGTCCATGACCGCGGCGCGCAGCTCCGACGATCCTTCCGCCCCATCGCTCAGGTGGTAGGTCATCTCGTGACCGTGGCTAAAGATCACACGTAGCACGGGCCAGTTCTGCGATAGCTCGGCGTTTATGTCGTCCAAATCCTCAATCATGACTCGGGCGATTGAGGTTGGCCCATAGCGAATCGCCCATAAGAGTGAGGAACATCCTTTGTTGTTCGGCAAGTCCAATCGCGCCTTGCCCCTTACTAGAGACTTCACGACTCGCAGATTGTCGGCTGTGGACCGGACAACGGCTTGGTGGAGTGGTGCATCGTCCGGCGTTGGTCCTGTGAGCGCCTTGTGAAGTGGCGTATCACGGAACCGGTCAGGAAGATCTAGTTCCGCCTTCTTCTTAACGAGCAGCTCTACGAGTGAAGGTCGACCGTATCTCACCGCCCAATGCATGGCTGTTTGCCCGTCAGAACACTGGGCGTTGATGTCAATACCGGAATCGACCAGACACTCTGCCAAATGCACCGGAAGGTCGAAATGGGCGGCAGCATGTAAGCCCGTAATGCCATTGAAAAGGCCTCTCTCTGTCCTTCCCATCGCTTCGAATGCCCTTGCAAGTTTAGCGCCGTCTCGGAGGAATCTCATCGTCATCGATTCCGCCTCTAGGTCGCGCTGTCCGCCGTCGCAAAGGTGGTACCACCAATTCCGGGCAGCGTATCGGAGCAGTGGAGGTTCGTGCTCTCCATCGGTAGTATGGTCACCCAGGAGGTAAACCAGACAAGTCTTGCCCATCTCGAGGTTATGGTTTTCAGGAACGACATTGCAGTCTCTCAGGGGTTTCCTGGCGGATTCGTGGATTAGGCCGAGAGTCCTTTTCTCGGGATCGAGGACGATCAAACCGATACAGGCCTGCAAAGCCTGCAATATTAGGCGTGGGTGTGGCTGATGGTGTTGCCAGGGTCCTCCCTTCAACCTGCTTTGGTGTGCTGCGTAACTCTCTCGAATTTCATTTTCGTTCAGCGCTTTCTTCGCATTCATTACCCATGTGAGAACGTGCCTAACCAGGAGCCCCTCAAAATTCCCGCGCTGAATGCTTCGGGCAATGTGCTGCGCTGATGCCTCAAAAATATCAGAGACGCTCTCGTGGAGCTTGCCCAGAGCATCCCTGACCGCGGCGACCGTCCCGTATTTGCCCGCCAGGCTGTCCATGTGTAGCCTGGCTAAGAGAAACCTGGCCATGGTCAGTATCCCATTGTGAGAGTATAAAAAGTGTAATTGAGGAGGACCAACATCTTGCGGGAATGGGCCATTCTGCTGACTTTCTTTACGACCTCCTCTCTGTCTCGGGCTCTCCCTTCCAACACACTCTGCAAAACCCCGTCATTCGATATCCGCTCCGTGACGTAAACTTCCAAGTCTTGCTCCGTTGGTGCGATGGCATACCCTCGCTTCACTCCGAGCTCTGTGCCGATCGAGTTATCATTCCTTGAGGTGAACAGAATTCGGAAGCTGTCGGGAAACCCCCTAAGGGCCTTTCCCAGCTTGTGCCGAGTGTCCTCTTCGGGTACATTCTGACAAAAGTCTAAGGCGTCAATAATGAGATAAACCGTCTTTAAGCTCGCTGCCTGTGCTGTGATAAGGTCAAGGTATTCGGAAAAGTGTGGTGGTGCGGATCCATGGAGAGCACTTCGGCATCTTTCCCTTAGAATCGCCATCGGGGTGTTTGTCACTCGTAGCAGTTGTGCCAACAGGGTTGCCCATATGCGTGCAAGGAACACATGGTTATCTTCTCCCTCAGTAAAGTAGAAATCAAGACAAGCGGCGTCGCTGCGGTTTTGGAGCTCTTTCCGGATCGAGTCCACAATGATGGACCTGGGAACAAGTCTCAGTGTAATCTGTACCGGGTTCGGAAGCAGAATGTGTCCTGAACGACTTACACAAGCATGGTTTTCCCAGATCCAACTATTTAGCAGGGCATGTCAGCACGCGAGAGATGGATCTGATGCACAGTTCGCACTTAGCGCGTACCATTCCCATGCATCCAGAGGAAGCGCGAAGGCTCCGTACCGTCTTTCCAGGCAAGGTATTGTTCAGTCGTCAGAATCCATTTCCCGGTGCCAGGGGTGACTTGGCTGAGGAGACGGCGTCGATGGCTGTCAAAATCATAAGGAGCTTGGCCCAGATCACTGTTCAGCCAGTGGAGCACATCTTCACCTGCAAACTTATGTCAGTACACCATCGCTACCATACCTAAGGTACCTAGGTACGCAAACTGTATGACGCACAAGTCGGCTCCTGAAACCACATTTTGTCACCAGTCATCGAAGGGGAGAGGTGTGACAGCGAAGTGCTAATCCCGAGCCCTCTCAAACCGCCCGGCGATACATTTAGCACTAGTACATAAGATACGTCCATTCATTAGTCTTAATCCGCTGCAAGGCAAAGCAACTCAATCAATTGTTTGACTTACTACTGAGGTGGCCGATCTTGTACACGGCGCCGTTGTCACTAGCGACATTCTGGTCGCCATCGCCATCCTTCAGATACTGAGCCCCAGGGCCTGTATTCTTGGCGTCGATGCGGGTGGGCAATGACTGATCTGAAGCGGACATTTCTGCAATCGTTCCAAACGTACTGGTGGCTGCGTCTCCGGAGTGCACAAGATGATTTCTACTGCCCTGCTTGGGTGACCTTACCGTACGGCCCGCTGCAGCAAGACAGAATTGGACTTATGAAGAATGAGATGCTAGGGATAGACGGCACGGAACCCGACCGGCCTTTAATATGTACAAAGACAAGGCTGTCAACGCACCCTCCTCCCTTATTTTCTCTACGACAATCGACAACGGAGCCTTGTTGACCTTTGGCCTGTGCGTCCCAGGGCTTAGCACGGTGTGCAGCTAGAATTAGATATAGAAAGGCAAGTGACGCAGCCACATGAAAAAATCAATCACACCGAGATAGGGGCCGGATTATTGCTGCATGCAGCTGCACGAAGTAATCACACCCAATCGTTTTGTCAGTCCACAGAACCAGACCCTAAATTCTATGTAACACGACATCTGGGGGGGTGTCCTGCCACTCGGCTTTGAAGCGCTGTTAATTGGTACCTCCGCTTAGACCTTGGTCTGATCGTCCGTCTAGCTGAAAAACGCTGCCATTTCCTAAGATCCGAAATACCCGGCTCTGCAATGGAAGCATCCCTTTGACATTCACCCCATCAATCCTTGTCTGTCTCTTCCGCCCAGTTGCCTGCGGCCTGGGACCCTGTCTAGATTCACCAGTCGCCAGTCCAGACTATCAAAGTATGGCGCGCTGAGTCTCTGACTACTACTTCAATATCTGGATCTGTTGTCAGCCCGAAGCTTTCGCATTCCCCAGACCAGTACGAACCAGACACCGCCTGCCTATTGACATCGCGACACTTCATCCACTGACACTAGTTTCATGTAGCATCTCATTTGCGCGCAGCAACTCCGGGCGAAACAGATCACCAGACAAGCCATGGGGATCCCAGCACGAAGGGCGTGAAGATAGGATTGGTGTCGAGGCACGAGAACCGCACCCGCCGATGATAGATCCAAGGATTGCAAACAGTTTTCGGTACGTAGGTCGAGAGCAGGCTAGAGTTTCCCGAGCGGCAGGTTCAGTCTATGGACTATCGCTCGTCCCCATACCTCGCGACGACCGACGATACGCGCCAGCGGGCCCCCCCCTCTCTATGCCAGCTATGAGCGGTCGTCCAGCCAAGGAGCCCTCGACCCATACGCGGCCCGGAAGTCCTGTTTTGTACCCTCCGCGACTTAATCCCTCTCCCTCACGCCAACAACGACGCCAATTCGCTGTGTCCGAGGAGCCTGATCGGGATAGTCAAGCATTTGCCTCATATGGGCATAGACCTATGGAGGCTAGTCGACCCTACGTCGACGACATCATGTCTTCTGGAAATTACTACGGCGACCGCGGCCCGCCTCCTCCTCATGCATATTACAGTTCCGGGCAGTACCGCATGCCACCCCCCCCACCACCAAGGTCACCCCCCCCTATACCAAGGCCACCCCCTCGACTATGGCCACCCTCTCGACCAGGGGTGACCATCGTCAGGCCGCATCGACAATCTTCGCCGGAGCGAAGGTATCAAGGGCAGTACCGCGCCCCACCACCCTCATCACAACCGCCTCGAATAGAGATAGTCATTCCGGAACGGGTCCCACCGTCATATCACGGGCGCCGCGCACGTGTGGGTCCGGGAGGCGATGATGAGGATGAAAGTGACTCTCCATACTCCGAGCCTGATCCATCGGATTCCTCTGATGCTACTACTACTGGTACTACTACTACTGGCACTACTAGTGGTTTGGTCAACAATCCCGACACCGAGAGGGTGAAGCTTCTCAAGAGGCGGCGAAAAGAAATCGAATTGAAGCGACAGAAGAAGAAGATGCATGGCGAGCAAAAGAGTCGAGCCGAGCAAGCCGATATGGTGAAGCTGATACGTCTCGAGTGGGAGCTGGAGAGAATTAAGGCAGAGCAACGGAAGCTTGAAGCGGAGAAGAGTCGAGCCGACCAAGCCGATATGGTGAAGCTGCTACGTCTGGAATGGGAGCTGGACAAGGCTGAGACAGAGCAGCGGAAGCTCGAAGCGGAAGAAGCAACGAGGAAAAAGGTTACGGAAGAACTACTCGCAGCGGAGAAGGCTGTACAGCAGGCCGCCGAAGAAAGAGCAAGGATAGAAAGAGAGGTGAGAGAAAAGATTGAAGCTGAGAATCGAGCAGTGGCCGCGTTGAGGGAAGCCGAGGACAAACGAGAGAAGGAGCTCGCCACGCTCGCTGAAATGGCTGTGCAGAACAGCCTGGATAAGCTCGCAAGCCTGGCAAAAGACATGATGCTGCGAGAGCACGGAGACGAGGTGCTGGGCACTGGGCATGGAGTTGGGAGACGCCAGTTTCGCGTCGACCCTGTGAATGATACGGTAACCAAAGAGCGCGAAACCCGAGGCCAGGACCCGCGGGATGCCGGTACACAGAATGGCAACCAGGGACGTACTACTACCACTACCACCACTACTATCAGTAGTAGTAGCGGTGGTAGTGGTAGTAGTAGTATCCGTACGGAGAGCCCCCCAGGACAACGCTCAAAGCCGTTCACGAACGGCGATCCACGCAGCCATTCCACTCGCTCCTTCAGCCCATCCACCGACAGTGAAGTGTCTTTCCATGCCGATTACTCTGATCACGAGCCACCATCGTTTGAAAATGCCGGCTCGCCTACAAGAGTGCCGCCGGAAACCCCAAGCCCGCCGTGCGACGGCGCCAATGCGGACAATCAAGGGGCCGGGTGCGGAACTTCGACCAGCAAGACGAGCTCCCACGACGACGGCACCTCATCGCGCAGCGACAGCAGCAGTTTCAGCTCAATTGCCCCTAGCCGCTCTAGTTCACCCAGCGGGTCGAGCACTTTGAGTGTGCGTAAAACCCGCAAACAGCTTCGCATCATCAGAGAGGAAATGGTCGAGCCTATTGCCAGGCTGATAGCGGATCTCGCACAACGCCGCCGCACCCCGTCCCCTTTGTACCGGCGATTTCGTCCGCGTTCGTCCACTACACGCAGCCGCTACGGTTGGTCCACAAGTGACCGCTTCACTCTGTATTCCGACTCGTCTTCGTCTGGCTCCCAGTTCCGTGAAGGAACCGCTAGGCCACGCAGATATAGGGAAGGCCGTCCTCGGGCCCGCAGCTCGGACTGGTCCGGGTCCCGGCCACCATGGGTGCCGATGCCACCCCCGCCTTCGCTACGGTCAAGTCGCCGGGGCAGCGTGGACCATGGGCGCGGCTATGCTGGGCGGGAGATAACTGGACCAGTGCCCGGCCCGGCCAGTGTCAACGAGCCACGTAGAGCGGTCGAGTCGAGGGCAGGATTCCTCGAGCTCGTCCTCATCTCCCGGGATCCTACACATAACAGCCGCTTTGATCACGGCGGGACTGAGCTTGATACTGATAATCACAAGGCCAAGGACAAGACGGAATCCCTTTCGGACTCGGAGTATGAAACCGCGAATGAAGGATAACCCTAAACGGGTGGGATGGTGTTTCCTTTGGACATTGATGATGGAGGCATACGACAGTTCTCCCATAGCTGTTGGATCTCCTAGCTAGATATTATAGGTAGTATGTACCTATGTACTAGTCTAGTAGTACCTTAGCCTCCTCAGGCACCTAGCAGGGGTAAGGGTAGGGGGTTGTTAGTGGTGAACAAGAGATGTCTAGTTGTTGGATTTCAAAACTACTATTGCTCCTGACAAGGCAGCCATACTTACTACTAGTATGGTATCATTTCTTGCAAGTCTGTGGTAGGCATTCTGAGCGTCAGTGATAATGCTGTGGTACTGTGTGGTAGAGCCAGCCAGGACAGACAGTCAGAGACAGTACCATCTCATAACTACTACTAAGTACGTAGCAGGGGAGGCCCGCTCCTAACATGCTATTGACAGCTAAGCAGGTCAACAGCATGTTAGGAGTAACATCCACTTGTGTCACTCTCAACTTATTACCAGTAAGCTTGCCAGAGCTTATTTAACCGCGACTCTCTGACAGCCACACCGGGAAATGTTTACCCGGCCGCTACCTTATCTCCAACTACACGGGCACCTTCCAGATTGAGCGACGTAACCCCACCTCTGCCATAACCGCTTTCTTATCTTCCCCGTCAACCGTTGGGCTGACCTTCCTGTACCATGCTCATCCAGCTCGGGCGCGCGCAGTAATACGAGTAGTATTCGCGCCATGGTGAGGTCCGGATTCATCAGCTAAGACCTCCGGGGTTCCGGGAGCCAGAGCAACCAGAACGGAGCACGATACACGACATCCCGGTGACCCAGACACAACCATGACGTCCCCAGACAAAAAGACGGAAGGCGCCGCCGACGTCTCGCACACCCTGAAAGCGCGGAAGCAGGACGACCTGCTCGAGATCGAAGCGACGCGCGCCATCACGGCGGCCGAGCACGCGCTCGGCTTCTGGGCAGCGGTGCGGCAGTACCCGCGGGCGACCTTCTGGGGACTCTTCTTCTCGCTAGCCGTGGTCCAGGCCGGGTACGACGCGCAGATCATCACCAGCTTCTACGCGCTGCCGGCCTTCCAGCAGAAGTACGGCCGTCTCATCAGCACTAGTACTAGTACTGGTACTAGCAATGACGACGACCACCACGAGCTCAGCGCGCAGTGGCAGCTGGCGCTCGGCATGGGCAACCCCATCGGGCAGGTCCTGGGGGCGCTGGCCAGCGGGTACCCGCTCGAGTGGTTCGGCCGCCGCGGGACGCTGGCCGTGTGCTGTCTGTGGAGCGCCGGCTTCGTATTTGTGCAGTTCTTCGCTACTAGTATCGGCATGCTGTGCGCGGGAGAGATCCTGGGCGGGCTGGCCTACGGGTTCTACGTCGTCATCGCGCCGACTTATGCGTCCGAGATCTGTCCGCTGGCGTTGCGCGGTGTCTTGACGGCGTCGACTAACCTGGCCTTTGTGATCGGCCAGTTTGTGGCGCAGGGCGTCGCCGCGGGCCTGGAGAGCAGGTTGGATGAGTGGGCTTACAGGGCGCCGTTTGTGAGTGGTAGAAGTTTCATTAAATGTCCTAGCTTAATACTAGTCAAAGCCCAGCGGCCAGCCACGAGGCACAACTTATCAGTAACTAAACTTATGTCTTCTCCAGGCGCTCCAATGGCTCTGGCCAGTCATCATCCTGGCAGGGCTGCCGTTTGCTCCGGAAAGCCCCTACTGGCTGGTCCGACAGGGCCGGAAGAGCGATGCTCGTCAGGCCCTCGTGAAGCTCTCGTCTTCGACGAACCCTCCCGACATCGACCAAGTCCTGTTAGGAATCGAGCAGACGGATCTGCTGGAACAGGAGCTTGAGGCCATGAGCTCATACCGAGACTGCCTCCAGGGCACGAGCCTGGTGCGCACCGAGATCTCGGTCATGGTCTATCTGATTCAGGTCATTGGAGGCAATCCCCTGATCGGGTATGCGAACTACTTTTTCGAGCAAGCCGGGCTGGACTCTTCGGATGCGTTTCATAGTGAGTCTTCCCAGGGACGATCCGACAGGCTGGTGAGAGCTGTAAGGGATTGGTAGTTAACGGGTGTAACAGTGGGCGTCGGCAATACGGCGCTCGGATTCGTCGGCACGGTGATCTCATGGCCCTTGATGAACTACGTACGCCACTCTATAATCCAAAGCTAAGTTACCTACTTGTCACGGCTTCTTGCTGACATTCGCGGTAGTTTGGCTTCGGTCGACGGACCATCTACTGCGCCGGCATGGTCTTCATGACCCTCTTGCTCTTCGTCATCGGCTTCCTCAGCATCCCGACCGGCAACCGGGCGGCCGTGTGGGCCATGGCCACGCTGATGGACGTCTGGACGTTTGTCTACCAGATGACGGTCGGCCCCATCTGCTTCGTCATCATCTCCGAGATGTCGGCCACGCGGCTGCGCACCAAGACCATCGCCATCGCCACGGCCGTGCAGGCCGGCGCCACCATCGTCACGACGGTCGCCATGCCCTACTTGCTCAACGCCGACGAGGCGAACTGGGGCGGCAAGGCCGGCTTTCTCTTCGGCGGCATCAGTCTGCTCTGTGGCGTGTGGTGCTACTTCCGCCTGCCCGAGAGCCGGGGGCGGACGTTTGAGGAGCTGGATATTCTGTTCCAGAGGAAGGTCCCGGCCAGGCAGTTCAGGGACTATGACCTACTTGGCGAGCGGGGGGTTGGTGGCGGCAAGGGCGAGGGGGAAGAAGCTTGAAGGAAGTCGAACCACACAGTGGGCATAACGTACATCAGACTATGTATATCCGACGATGGGTTTGCCCGGAGACTATCACTGATGACGCCCGGGAATGTGATCAACCATCCCTGCATGTTTTTTGCAACTTGTTCAGGTTGTTCTTTTCCCTTCATTCATAGCTTGCAGTTTGCAGAGTATCGGAATTATTCGATATCGATCTACATATTCCGTACAGCTTTCCGTTGACCCCAGCGTGCCACCTCATTTTACCTTATCACCACATCTTCCAGTTTGTCAGGTACGATATGTCCACTCTCCACCAGCTCACCATACATGGCCCCCACAACACAGCACTCGCCGTGGAACATATATGTCTGCTTCCCGCCCTCCTCCTTGCACGGTCTCAGGACATAGGGCACCGCCCCGCCCTCCAGGAACCACACCTCGTCTCCAGGCTCGCAGGTCTGGGTGCACACACCCACCCGCCCCTCCACCGTCCTGAACAGACACCGCATCAACATCATAGACCCAATCTGCGACTTGAAAACCGTCGGCGGCTTGATCCTCTCCAGCCACGGCCGGTCCGCCGCCCTGGCCCTCATCATCTCCTCCCCGTACTCCCTTATCTCCTCCACGGATGGCACCAGGGCCCGCGCCCCCATCCCCCGAATCAGCGCCTCGACCTTAGCCCACTTTCCCCTATACTCCGCCAGCGTCGCGGCATCATACCACGGCTGGCCCTCGCGCATCAGACAGCCGCTGTACACGGACCCGAGCGCCATGACCAGCCAGGCGCGGCAGCCCTTCAGCAGGCGCTGCGTCTCGGCCACGGCGCCGCGGTACGGGTTGGCCGCCTGGTAGCAGGTGAGCGCGTCGACGAGCGCGGCCTCGCGGAACAGCGGCGTCAGCACCCCGTCCCGGTCGCGGCCGTTCGCGTGCGCGTATAAGGTGGGCATGGTAGCCAGGAAGGACAGCGCCTCGATGGCGAAGTCGGTGCTTAGCGGCGCGCAGGGCGTCGTTTTGAAGGAGAGGGTATCCAGTTTGATCCCGCGGAGGTGTAGTTCCCCTGCCGGGGTGACGTGTCGTGGGGGGACGGTGTCGGGGTTCAGCACGCAGGCTTTGAAGCCGGAGAAGAAGGTGCCGATGGGGTTGGTGTACTTGTCCGAGGTTAGGTCGGGGACCCAGGAGGGGAGGTTGGGCAGTCTGTAGTAGTCCTGGTGGTCGACGAAGGAGAGGCCGGGCAGTTCCGGGCAGTGGTGGAGCAGGGCAGCGGCGGCGTGGACGTAGACCTGAAGGGGCGTGGCGGCCGCGTCGACGGGGAAGGGTAGCGGCGTGCCGGGCGTGAGCACCTGCTGCAGCGTTCCCACCGTGGCGAACACCTTGTCCTCCTTGAGAAAACAGTCCCGCTTCCTGACCGTCGTCACCACCTCCCACCAGTACATGGGCCATCCCGTCTTCTCGAACCACCTGCTCCTAAGTTGCCGCTGCAGCGTGCCGATATCCGTGATGCCGAACCCCTTCACCGTGCCGGGGTTACTGCCCAGCCCCTCCAACCACGAGTCTCCCAGGTCATCCAGCTCCGTGAACCATCCCGTCTCCACCAAGAACTCGGCAAACCCGTACATGTCGTCCCACCTGAGCTCCTCCCCCCTCCGGCCCGCCATCATCTCCAGCCTCCCGGCAACGGCCACCTCCTGCACGATCCACGCGCGATGGAAATACCTGCGCGTGCGATAAAACGCCCAATACTCCCTCCACGCCGCCGCCCAGCTCCTCCTCCTCCCACCAACAGGAAGAGGCGCCTCAATCCCCAGCACATCCCTCCAGAGCCCCTCATCTATGACACTCCTCTCCCTGAACTTCGCCATGGCCGCCTCCGCGTCCCCCTCCCCCTCCCCTTCCGCAGCCACCACCACCACCAACGCAGGATACACCACGCGATGAAACCACAGAAACGTCCCCAAATAGCTCTCGTCCGCCCCAAGCCACGCCAGCACCCTGCCCGCGCAGTGATAGATCTCGCCCATCAGCGGGATCTGGCACGCCTTCTCGGCCGCGTTGCCCTGGTCGATGCACACGGCGTCGATCCACAGCCGCGAGACGACCGCGAAACTCCAACAGACGACTTCTTCTTGCTCCCCCCGGGTGGCGGTGGTGGTGGAGTAGTCGCGGCGCATCCGAGCGTCTGGGTAGTATTCCTTGCGGCAGTAGCTGCGGAAGAAGCCGGCTAGGTTGCCCCGGACGGGGAGGGTGGCGACTGGCGGGTTGGAGGGCGTGTACACGTCGATCATGCGCCCTTCGGTCGGGGCCAGGTCGTCGGTTCGGTGGAAGGTGGTGAAGGATGAGCGGGGGAGGATGACTAGTTCGAGATCGAAGTCCCTGTCGTCGTTTACTAATACCGCGGGGTGTTGCCCGGCTGGTGTACTACTAGTAGTTGGTGCTGGTGAGTCGAAATGATCCGAGGCCGAGCCCCACGTGTAGGACAGCGCGGTGAACTGATGTGCCACGGCCGAGATCGGGTGCTCGGTGAGCGTGACATAGAGCTGGGAGCGTGCCGCGTCGAAGGAGACGATTTGGATCAGCCGGATGTGCCGACCCGAGGAGAGCGGCGTGTAAGTGTATGCGGGCCGGGGGCGGCGCGGCGGTGGGAGCGAGTCGGCGCGCGGGCGGGACTGTGAGCTCGGCATCGCTATCGCTGTTGTGGTGCTGTTTCTGAAGGTTCTGGACCGCCTGGTTGTTGATTACTAGTATGTATTACTAGTAGTGTGGTATTGAGGGCGGACGGATGGGTTTAGTCTCTTCATTTTGTGTTTATTTCCTGGGGTGAGCGCTAAACTTCCCGTTAGGCACCCATTCTGCATGCCGGGTTACCTCCCCGCTAATACTGTGGCAGTGCCGCAGCGCAGATTGGGGGGCTGAGGTCTGGTAGGATCAACGGACTTGGCGATGTGGTGAGCGATCGCGGTGAAAAGTGAAAAGGCAAAGAGAATTGCGATGGGGAAACAGAAACGAATAATTCAAAAAATCAGCACGGGTATCCTAAACGTACAGTACAACATCGAGTCCTCCCTCCATCATGCATCCATCATTCCCCTCATGATAAGCATCTCATATCATAGGCATCTCCACCCTCTCTCCGTCCGCCAGGTACACGTCGCTCGAGTCCGGCATCAGGATGAACAGGGCAATCACAAACAGCGCCCGAAGCTGCAGCAGAATGGCCAGCTTCTGCACCTTTGCCTCTCGCTGCTCGGGTTCCAGACCGGAGAACAGATGCACCTGCTTCCGCAGACTGCCGGCCAGATCCCACTCGACGTCGAGCGAGGAACTGTGCGTCCGGCTCATGACCGGCTTCTTCGTCGTGGGGTTGGGTATCGGTACCTCAGCCTCGGCCATTGCCGGAGGTGGAGGCGGGGCATCGTTTGTGTCTGTGCCTGTGCCTGTGCCTGCCTGCGCATCCGGCGGTGGTGCCCCCGAGTCCTCAAACGGACTGCTAGTACTATTCGTAGTAGTAGGTGCGATGCCATCACCTGCCCCCGGCTCCGGTATCCCAAACGCCTCCACCAGCGGCGTCGCATGCTCCTTCAGGGTCTCGACATGGTCCTGATTCGGTTTGGACGCCCTGGGCGGGGGCGGCACCACGGAGCGCCTGGAGCTGCGCGTCGAACTCGCGTCGTCGTCCGAGCCACTGTCCCAGTTCGCCGCCGCTCGCTCCTCGGCCGTCGGGTCCCAGACATTCACGACGGCGTTGAAAACGGCCACGACGGAGGGCTCCCACAGGTTGTAATGTACCGTGGACCCCTCGTGGAAACCGCCCCTAACCAGAAAATGGATGGCGACATCCAGCAGCAGAACCTGCGTCCAGAGCATGTTATGCGGCCGGAACTTGAGGATCTGCATGGTCACGACCCTCTCGATCTTGGCCGCCCACTCGCGCGGGTTGAACTGCTGCAGCAGGGCGTAGCACTCGGTCAGGATGACGGGCTGCACGTCGCCCGTGTATTTACCTTCCCCGTCGCGGAGAACGAGGTCGTTCTGCTCCTCGACGCTCAGACAGTCGTAGATCTCGCGCGTGTCGTGCAGCAGCCAGCCCCACTGCCACAGGCGGCTCTCCATGCCGACGTAGTTGAACGAGTACCAGAAGGCGTCGCGCGAGCGCACGAACATGAGCGAGTTGGTCTTGAAGTTGGTGGTCGTCCGGGCCGACACGTACGTGAGCGGCTCGCTGGCCCGCCGCACCTGGTCGGCCAGCGCCACCAGCCACGGCATGATCGGCTCGATCAGCACCGACGACGGGAAGCCCGTCTCGCAGCCCGTCAGCAGGCAGAGCGACGCCGCTGGGATGATGGTCGGCAGCTGCAGGCCCGTCGCCTTGTTCCAGTGGTCGATGGCCAGGGTCAAGTCATGGTACTAGCAAGAGTAAGTATTTGCTATCAGTGTGAAGATTGGCCGGTTTTATTTTCCCGGGAGGTCTCCCTACATTGATGCCCTCATCATCGTCCCGGACCAGAGCGCTGAGGTGTCGCGCGCTCAGCCCAGTCGTGGTCTTTTGTAGCATCTTCGGTCGGAACGAGTCTTCGGACTGCTCTAGCTTGTCAGCAGCTCGGCATGGGATACAAGGGATAATTATTATTGGGGGTGCGGCGCTTACACTGGCATCGGCAAATAGCACATGCTGTGAGACACGGTTGCCCGGCTCGGACTCCGATTCGTCTCCGTCCTGCAACGATGGCAGGTTCGGGTTTCGGTAGAGCATCTCGAAGAGAGACGCCTCCGCAGCGACCTGGCCCTTCGCCAACCCCTCCTCGGCTTGGGCCATGGACAGGTACTGCCGCTGTTTCTCCCTGAACCGCTCCCCGTCCCAGTCGTGGCTCGTGACATCCAGCAAGAGGTGGAGGGGGCAGATGATGCCGTTCATGGAGATGCCCGGCGCAAAGGAGAACTTGCCGAGCACGAAGTCGTTGTAGGCGCTGATGGAGCCCTTCGAGATCTGGGCGAAGATGGCCAGGATGTCGCCCTCAAAGTGCAGCACCTTGCCGAGCTCGTTGGTCTTGAGCGTCGTGATGGTGCCGAAGTCGCCCACGGCCTCGAAGTGGCGCTCCTTCGCGTTGACCGTGACCTTCTTGAAGCCGAGGTAGAGCGCCAACATGCCGAGGTCGAACAGCTTGACGCGCTGGATGGGCGCGTCCACGGAGGCCGGGATGATGTCGGCGTCGGCGTGCTTGTACACCAGCGACCGCGTGTCTCGGATGCCGAATGCCATGAGCATCTGCGCCCACGAGGCCCGCGGTCGGTTCACCGGACCGGAGCTGTGCGTGAGCTTCCACCAGACGAGCTGGGCCGTCTCGGTCCACGTGAGGTCCTTGCTCGTCACGGGCTCTGTATCGTCGACGAGTGTGGTATATCCGTCCCTGGATCGATGGTGAGTAAGCGGCCTTCACAGACACGGCGCGGTATGGCACGGCTTAGACCCACGAGACGGTAAAGAACGAGGTGTCGGTCTCGGTCTCCTCGAGGACCGTGAAGCCCCATAGCGCCCTGTCGTCCTTCTTTTCCTTGGTCAGGCGACTGATCGGCGACTTGTGCGCGTCGATGTGGTAGTTGGACTGCTCGACTGCCGCCCGCATGACGGACGAGAAGGAGATGTTGAGCACCGGGTAGTAGACGCGCAGCTTCCAGAAGGTCCAGTTCCAACCCAACTTGGTGCTCTTGGCCGACGCGTCTATCGCTTCGTAGGTGCACTTCCCACGGCCCTCGCTCGAGCTGAGATACTGCAGCAGGGCCTGAGCGAGAGAGACCACAAGCGCCGCGGCGGCCAGCACCAGGGCCGCCGTCGCGATGGGGCCATCTTCCTGGTCGACTGCGGGGACCGCTGCTTGGGTATTATTGCTTTGGGCCATACTAGTACTTGGTCGTTGTTGCGCACGCAAGATTCAAGCCTCCGCTCGAGAGCGGGGATGGCACGTTTATAACTGGCCTTGGCAACCGGGCAAATAATGGTTGGCGACCGGGACCAGGGACTGCGGCTGAGCCCGCGGGTGGTGCATCGTGATGTGGCGTTCTCGGGGCCGAGAGGGGGGGCTGTGGTTTCGAGGAACCCCTGCGCCCGAAGAAGGGTGACATTGCAGACGCTCTGCCGCAGAAATGATCGCCTCTGACTGCGGCTAGTGGAGAAACGGGCCAGTTAGGTGACGCTTGTCAGCATTTTGCGGCTGCTCTTGTCAGCGTGTCCGTCCATCGCGTCCAGCTGAAGGATCAAGAGCGGGGCGGGCTTGCATGATGCGCCCGAGGGAAGTCGGGGAATACCATTTCCAGCACCAAGCCCGGAGCCGCTGGAGGGGATAATACCTAATCTTGCCGCGTTTCCGTGAAGGCATCCTTATTAACTCTCAAGGGACTTTGTGACTGGTTCAAGGTTGATGTGCTGAACGTGATCATCGTCGGTGAACAGCCTTCTGCATCTGCCTTACCCGCCGCAACTTCGGGCATTGGAGACGTAACTCCTGTGCATGTACGATTGGCTGCGACCGCACCATGAGATGGCAACCTCACATGTCGAAAAGGGTCGCACCCCAAAGTTCAATGGTTTGCACAATAAGAAAGTGGAGTTAAGAACAAAGATAGGAGAGAAAGAATAGAAAACAGAAAAAGAGAGAAAGGGAGAACGTAAGATTAAGACACCGTCTTCCGGTTCTTACAACTTACTGGTAGTAACTAGCCGTATCTATAGCGGCTTACAGCGATGTCGGTTGTAAAGGACCCTTTTTCTCACTGACTCGGGCAATCGTTACATGGAGATGACGGAGATGTTCAACGTCTTTGGCAAGGACCGGGTACCACATTGGATTACACTCGTCTTTTACGCGCTCTGCCCCGTATCCTTTCTCTACGTAAGGTATCCAGAGAGCTGGTGCGCAGCAGGCAACGGGTCACTGCGTGTCCCTTCCCCCAGCCTCGCCCTGCTCCGCCAGCTTCTTCTGCCACGGCAGCGGCTCCTTCGCAACCTGCACCGGCCCAACATCCCCACCCTCCGCCCTCCGCTGCTGCCAGGCCTCGATATCTCGGTGGTCGACCCAGTTGCCGTGCAAGCCCAACTTGAGCTTCAGCGGCAGGTGGACCACGGCCAGCGGGCCCTTGCTCAGGTGCTGCGCGTCAAAGATGACCACGTCGTTGCGCAGTTGGTCGAGATGGTTCAGCAGCGCGATCAGATAGCCTTCGCCCTCGGCGCCGCCCTCGCGCGGAATGAAGGTTGGTTCCTGGAAGGTCATGGTCGGCCCAGCGAAGTACACATCCTCGAGCCCAAACTTTCCCTTCTGTTCACTCCCCCCGTTGGTGCCATTCTGGCCGCCCTGCGCGGACTCAGCAGTATGATAGTGCTCCTGAGACCAGGTGTAGTGGCCCAGGCAGTTGAACAGCCCGCCGGCCGGAGGACCGCACTTCTGGAAGTCGTATGGCTTCGTCCCGTCGACCACGGCTTGCCAGAAATGCCGGTACGGCTTGGTGGTATACCTGTCATCGATGCGAGAGAACTCGCCGTTGGTCAGCCACGTCAGCGCCGGCTTCACCCGCTCGTCTGCCACCCAGACGTCCGCGTCGCCGGCCTCCGCAGTCCGGATGGCCGACTTCTTCGCCTTGGGATCAAACACCCAGCGGACCGTGGGCGACGAAAGCCGGTTGCGCTTGGCCAGGCCGTCAGGAGGGGTGATATTGTCGTCTGGAGGGAAGAAGAAGAAGACGTTGCCGTCGGCAACGGTCAGGTCAAAGACCACCTCACCCGAAGGCAGCTCGTAGCATCCCGCAACATGGCCATGGAAACCTAAGCACCGCATCAACTACCGTCAGCTCGCCTTCCCCAGGACTCCGCTCGTTCTAGACCACTGCCACTTACCATTGTCAGCCCTGAACCAGGTGATATCCTCACTCCTCGCGCCCCGCCTCGGCACGACGGCGTACCACTGATCCTCATTCGGATCCCACGCAAACTTGTTCCCGCCCTTCTTCATCCTCTCGAGATTCATCTTGATCGGCGTGAGCGCCAGCACGACATAGTTCTCACTAATCCCACAGTCATGGATCATGCCCGCAAATGGGGCCTTGTACCAGCACTCCTCCGTCTTCCTCCCGTCGCGGTCAATCGTCCACACGGCGACATCCACGCTGCAATCCGCCCCGTCCCCGCCGCACTCGTACGCAAAACACACCATCTCCCCGGTCTCGGGATCCAGCTTCGGGTGCGCCGTAAACGTGGGACTGAGAATCTGCCCCTCAAAGTCATACCGCCCCAGCGTCTCAAGACTCATGGGATCCATCGCAAACGGCGGGCCGTCCTCCTTCATCGCCAGCAGCACGCCCCTCCAGAACACGACATTGGTATTGCTCGCCGTGCGGATCACCCCCTTCACGCTCTCGTTGTCCGTCCAGGGGTTGCGGTACCGGCCAAACAGACTGCGCCGCGCGCGCGTCTCGTGCGCATACCGGTCCGTCCGCACGTAGCGCTGCTTGAGGTCGGCGTGGCCGCCCGAGATGCGGATGGCCGTCACCGACCCGTCGCCGTTGAAGTGGATGTCGTCTTCGAAGAGCGGCGGGAAGCGGTGGTCCGGCTGCACGCGGAAGAAGGTGCCGTCGATGTCCCGCGGGATGGTCCCCGTCACCTCGAGGTCGTAGACGTCCCCCTCGAAGCGGGATGGTTTGTTCATGGAGGAGAAGACGGGAGTGCGTGGGAAGCGGACCTGGGATGGGTCTGCTAGGCGGCCGGACGCGTAGTTGGATGGGAGGTCTACCTCGCCGGCGAGGTCGTGGATGTGCGCCATGGTATGGCTGGGTGGTTGTGGGTGAGTTAGTCGGTTTGTGTGTATGAGACTGTGAAGGACGGCACGGGTGTCGAAAGTTGTGATGGTTTGCGTCGCTCGTGCGGGAGGTTGAATCGTTGGGCTAAGTACTACTCTACTTACCCTAATTAGATTGCAGCAGGCTCAGTGACCGAGGTGAAATCTTCCGCCCCTCGGAAACATCTACCGAACCATGTGGCTACTCGAGCGCCCCTCCACGAGGCCCCGCAGATCCGGCCGGCAGTGTGGATTCGGATAATCGGATGCGGGCCGAAGCATGGCGGTGGATTTGCTATGCTAAACACCCCATTGGCACATCACTTGGCGGAGTTGATGTGTCTTCGCTGGATCACTGGGGTAGTATGTTGAGCCGGATCAGTTTGTGCGGGGGCGGGAAGTGGGATAGAACGACGTGACATTTTCTCCAACTCTCGGCAGTCAGGTAAGTTCCTTAGATGGTGGGGGATTGGGCAGGGAACTACGTCTGGAATAACCAACGAGTCAAGAGAACGAGCCATGCCGGGGGTCGTAACATCTTGATGGGATGCTGAAGTGACAAAACAGCAACAGGCAGTTGGGACTTAGAGACTGACCCTCAGCGCAGAAATACCATACGCACGAAGAGTGTAGCGCACGTCACATGTAAATACCCGTGTTTGGCTGCTTGATCAGGGATTGGTGATTGCATAGCTACCATAGATAGGTAGACTGTCCATTGCCCGCCTTTGTAGTGCTATTGCTGTCGCACTATGAACCCCCTGGCCCTCGCCTTTCCAGACAAGCTACTCTATCTTGTTCTGAACCAGTTCCGGGAGCACCTTCTCCCCGGGATTCGCCTCCCTGTCGCTTGCGCCCGGCCTGCTCTGGCCCTCGGGCAGGGCCAGCGTGAGCGGGGGATCGCTGGTGCTGACGTCGGCACCGTATGCCGGGGCGCGCATATCATCCGGCGCCGTCGGCTTGCCCGTGACGGGGTGGGGGTAGTGGAAGGGCACGACACGCGTGTCTGGCCACAGCATCTTCTGCTCAAAGATCTCGTCCGGCCCCAGCGGATCCTCCGGGTAGGTGGTGGTCGGCCAGGGCACGTAGTTCTTCTTGGTGTGACTCCAGCCCTTCTCGAAGTCGGCGTGCCAGAAGGGGAAGTAGCGGTAGCGGAACAGCTTCCACACCCCGTTCTCCTTGATGTACTCGTTCTCGTACAGGCCGCCCTCCCACCACTGCCGGTGCCCGCGCGGGTAGTACTCCTCGATGCTCTGGTGCGTGCCCGCCTGCATGAGCGCCCGCATGCGGCACCACGCGTGCGTGCCTGTCGCGTCCACGTCGACCACGTCCTGCATCATGATGTGGTCCAGCAGCCAGCCGTAGACGGGCCCGTTGCGGCCCTTGACGAACGTCTGCTGGAACCGGCCCTGGTAGAGGCGCCTGATGCCTTCCTTGCCGCGGTATCGCGACCCGAGGAACTCGACGTAGGCATCCGGGTGGTCCGCAAACATATCGACCACCTGTCAGGGAGACATTGGTCAGCCCAGGTTGAAGCTCCGGAATCGGGAGATGCAGACCTCGTTGTAGAGACATTTATCTAGATAATATCCATATCTATAGCAAGGTCAGGGAGCTTTATAGGTCGTGCCATTGCTTATCGACTTACTTGAAGTGTGTCTTGCGGACCTCGGCCTCATCTGCATTGTTTTAGAGACGTTGCCACCAATCGCGGGTGAGGGGGCACCTACCTGACACTCGTGATACTTCCTTCTGGAGAGCCTGTACCTGCTTCTTGAGTTCGGCCAATTCTTGCTCCATGTTGGTGTAGCTCGAGGGGTTCGTGGATTGGATATCAGCGTCAAGGGGATGCCGGTATTTGATCAAGATGGATCTCGTCCCAATGCGTCTTGACGTTGGAAAATGAGCGGTTTTTACTTCAAGTCGTTGGACGTTCTGGAAGGACTGGCGCGACTTGGAACCCGGATCGACGCGTCGGAGCCCACTTGAAGTATCATGACGACGCACTGCTGCCCTCATCCTCCGGGAAATATATCCTGCGTAGACAGAGTTTCATTGCGTTGTGCCCTCGGCAGATGTCCTAACACCTGGTATGCACCCTAACGGGCCGGTGTTTGACCATTTTGGGGTCTCGTGCGGAGTAAGCCCCGGAAAAGGATCTGCGGCAGGGCTTCGCCATGCGAGCGCGAGGACTTCATAAGAGATGTTCACCATTGCCCCGCTTGAACATCGATGCCTGGCTTCATGTGAGCCTTTCCATATGCACTCTTGAAACGGAATGCTGTCAAACTCTACGAGAGAGAAGAAACCTGGCTCGCCTGGACGGGGACGACCGAGATGTCGCTTGCGCAGACCCACAAACAGGAGCTCCAGCAACTCCACCTTCCCCAGCTTTTTGCTATAAGTCGACCACCCCCCATTCCGCCCACTTTGTAAGTCTTGGCGTCTAAACCACCCATCTTCTTCAACACCATCTATTACAGTCTGTTCAACACACCACAATACAGGAAGCATCTGATTCGGGGTTTTTTGCCTGCTCTCTTCAATGCCAGACTCTTCAATACGGCCAGCCTCAATTTGAGCCCGGTGGACCTGTTCAATGGAAGCGAACTGCTTGTTCGGATCCGGGACCACCCTCTTTCTTCTCGACGGCCGGGCTGCCTCTAACTGAACCTTCAGAGCCTCGTTTTCCTGTTGCAATTGAGCCAATTGGAAGTCCTTCTCGTCAAATGCCTTCTCAACCTTCCTGAATAAAAGCCGTCGTGTAGAAAGATCTTGCCGCCGGATAGCCAGGTTGGTTAGGTGACCGCGAAGGTCTACTTTCTTGCGTGGTGTCTGGAATTCGACCTCCTGAGCCATAGTTGTGGTCTGGCTAGGTAGCCTAGATGCCGGGGTCTATGGTAGTAGTAGTGGATCGTCTTTTCCAAGCGCCTGGTTCGAATTTTCCAACAAAAGAGGGCTCATCAGTGGTTTCGCCATACTAAGAGGCCACAACCCGGATGCCTTCCACCCAGCTTTGATATTATGAGCTGTAATTGCCTCCCTGCGAGCCTTGACGAGGCACCGCAACATCAACTGCTTGCCTAATGCCGTAGTTTCTGACCAGCTGGTTAACTGGTTGAGGAGCTTGCGGTAGGTGTGCTTGAGGGGAGAGAACACTGATAAATCCAACGGCTGGAGAACATGGGAGGTATGGGCTGGTAAAAAGAGTAGTTGGATATTGTTGCTGAAGCACTCCCACATAAACTCAGTGCTTGTATGGCTATCGTGGCCGTCCAGTATCAACGGATGCTTCTTGGGAGGATCATGCGGCTGGGTCCGGGTAATAAAGACCCGTTGCAGCTAACGTGATTTATAAACGAGTGTTACATATAAGCAAGTGTTACAGTCCCCACTACCCCTACCACAACTATCCTCCAAAATACAACAACAACAGGATCAACCAACTACAATTACATCAGAAATAGCTGAATCAGACGATTCTGCAGCCTCCTGGCAGGTACGGGCATTATGGCCAGGCTTGCCACACACACTACAGCACCGAACACCTGTACGGACCCCCCCTGTACCACTACCACCCAACTGTATTCCTTCAACTGCCTCCCCACCCACAGCCTTCTAGGCTAGTACATCCTGCGCAGCCTGTATAGTAATTGATCCTCCAAGCTGCACACGTGTTCTTTTAGCTCTCCGGCGCTTGCTTAGTACTTCGTTGGCCTTACGGAGCGAAGAGACCTCTGACTCAAGGAGGGCCATCCAGTGCATTACGGCCATTGTACTCTTGGCCAGTTGGTCTACTATAGTCAATATTGAGGTCGGGGAGCTGTTTTGGTGGTTGGTAATACGGGTCTTAATAGCTGTTGACTGTACGTTGGCTTCTTGAGGGTTGTATGGCGTCTGGAAGACCCAAGGTTGTATAGTGCCGGGCCGTGAGGTTGGGGGCGTTGGCGTACAAAGTCGAATATCCAGTTGAGAGAGTACTTGGTCTGGGTTGTACGGTACTAGGCCGGCTCCTATAAAGCCACCCTGTATATTGCTCTCTGTTATAGAGGCAAAAAAAGCTTCGCGAAAGGCGTAGAGGAAGTCGAGCTTGCTAACGTAGTTAATATTTGCCTGGATCAGATCCTCGATTTGGCGACCATATGCCCGCTTCAGTGGTCCGAAACAGCTAACGTCGAGTGGCTGGCACTTATAGGACGAGTGTACGGGCATATAGAGTGTCTTGATATTGTTGTCCTGGCAATAGCATTCGAGTTTGGTCGAGTGGTAGCTCTCGTAGCCGTCAAGGATCAATATCCGGTAGGTGCCCTTTATACGGGACTTTATATAGTAGTCGAAGTGCTTGATCCAATTAAGGCCTACTTCATTGATAGTCTAGCCGTTGTTGGTAGTTGCGATCCGCTAGATAAGTGGAAGGCCGGCCTTAGTATACTAGCTACTTAGATGGTACTGCCCAGCCAAGATAATGAACGGAGGGATAGCCCAGCCAAGAGCATTGACTCCCTGGATTACCGTTGCCCACTCGCGATTGCTGGGCTGGGCTAGCTTTGCCTTACTATAGCCGTCGGAGGTTGTAACTACTATACTAGCATAGATGATACCTATTATAAACCCAGTCTCGTCAAAGTTATAGATATCGTCGTCGACAATACCGTACTTGGCCTTGACGTTCTATATAAGTGTAAACCACTCGCCAATAACCTTTGGATCCTCGCACTTGGCCCTCTGGTAATCGTACCGACGAACAAAACGTATCTTGAGCTCTGGCTGGCGTTTGACAAAGTTATAGGCCTAGAGCTTCCCAACAGGGAGCTTATCGCGTAGACGTAGTAGTTGGTTGGCCATATCTTCTACACCCTGCAGTCTGGGTAGAAATGCACGTGCAACTAACTAGCTCAATAATATACTGAACAATAGCCTGCTCTTCGGATTCAGTGATGTGACGAAACCACAGGCAGTCCTGCCTCTGAAAGGGTTCGCCGGTCGAAGGTACTGCTGGTCGGACTGTAGGTCTCGGTGAAGCCAAAAGGTTCACAACAATGCTTGTCGCAATGTCTGCACAATAGGTAAGGACTATTGCTTGAATTGCTCACTGGAGGACTCCTAGAGCCCTCCCTAACGAATGACTCTATACTAGCTATTTTTCTATAGACGCCCGCGCTCGCCGTCGTCCTCGGGCGTCCATGGTCGCTGGTACTCGCCAGCGTCCTCGGGCGTCCATACGGACGTTCCTGGACGCTGTCGTCCATCAGCGTCCATGTGGGGCATCCTGCTGCCTTGTGCTTTCTGATTGGTAACCTCATCACCTACATGGCCCCACCAGGTTGGGTTATATAGTTAGTTCGTAACAAGTGAGCTTCTTCAAATTGGCCGTACAATCGCGTTACGTCGTAGAGCTTAGCTGCGGCTCGAAGGCTTAAACTTTTGTTATTTCGAATAGCCTCGAGGGCCAAGATTACCCTTGCTTCCTTGGAAGTAGAAGCTATATTAGGTTGTAGAAAAGAATGATGTTATATGCAAGGAGGACGCGTTATAGTGAGGGCTATAACACTCGCTTATATGTAACACTCGCTTATAAATCACGTTATTCTAACGTAATCACCCTATTTGCCTAGCCTTTTTCAGTTGCAGTAAATAGCCAGTCCTTTAGTTCGTCCCTAGCGATAGGAAACTACTGTTATTAAATATTCTTACCCTTGAAAATAACAGCTGGTGAGAGTAATACCCCTATCGTAGAGACACACTCTAAGAAGGAGGTCCACACATATAAACTAGAGACATTCTAACGTACATTATCAGCGAGTCGTACATATTAACGGGTCATATACTTCCCTATACGACATGCCACCTCTACACTTAACACTGATTTTCTCAATAACCCAATATACCCTCTACTTCAAAGGAAGCTAGAGTAACCTTAGCATTAGAAGCCCTTCAAAATGACGAAAATCTAAGCCTCCGAGCTGCAGCCAAGCTCTATAACGTACTAGCTATGACTCTCTCTAACCGACGCGCCAGCTGGCCTACATAACGCGATCTTCCAGCCAACTCGCGTAAGCTCACCAATCTAGAAGAGAAGGCGATAGTTCAGTATATAATTGAGCTATCTGCATGCGTATTCTCACCTAGACTAAGTGGTGTGGAAGATATAGCTAACCATCTACTATGCGAACGCAGTGCGCCCCCTATCGGCAAGCTCTGGGCGCATCGGTTTATTAAACGCCAGGTAGAGCTCTATATGCGTTATACCCATCGATATAATTACTAAAGGGCTAAGTGTGAGGATCTAAGGATTATCGGGGAGTAGTTTGCGCTCGTACAAAACACTAAGGCCAAGTATGGCATCGTGGATGATGATATCTATAACTTTGACGAGACTGGGTTTATAATGGGCATGATCTGCCTGGGCGTAGTAGTTACAACCTTGGATGGCTTCAGCAGGGCCAAGCTGGCCCAGCCTGGCAACCGCGAATGGGCAACAGTGATCTAGAGAGGTAATGCTCTTAGCTGGGCCATCCCACTCTTTATCATCCTAGCCGCGCAGTACCACCTCGCCAACTGGTATACCGAATATAACCTCTCAGCAGACTAGCGTATTATAACTACTAACAATGGCTAGACTACCAATATAGTAGGCCTAGATTGGATCAAGCACTTCGACCTCTATATAGCACCTCGTAGAAAGGGCAAAAAGCGGTTGTTGATCCTTGATGGCCATGAAAGCCACCACTCTACCGAATTCGAGCTCTACTACTAGGAGAATAATATTATTACGCTTTGCATACCTCCGTATTCCTCCTATAAGCTCTAGCCACTCGATGTTAGCTGCTTTAGGCCGTTGAAACAGTTATACGGTCGCCAGATTAAGGACTTAATACGCGTGTATATTAACTATATTAGCAAGCTCGAGTTCCTCTGCGGCTTTCGCAAGGCCTTCTTTGCTTCTATGATGGAGAAGAACATATAGGGTGGCTTTATAGAGGCTAGCCTAGTACCATACAATCCAAAGAGAGTCCTTTCTATACTAGATGTAAAGCTTTGTACACCAATACCTCCAACCTTACGACCTAGCACTGTACAATCTTAGGTCTTCTAGACACTATATAACCCCCGAGAAGCCGAATCACAATTAACACTTATCAAGACTTGTATTGCCAACCATTAAAATAGCTCTCCAACTTCAATATTAGGTGCTGTAGATCAACTTACTAAGGGTACAATAGCTATAATACACTAGATGGCCCTCCTTCAATCAGAGTTCTCTTCGCTCTGCAAGGCTAACGAGGTACTAAGCAAGCGCCAGAGAGCCAAAAGAAGATGCGTGCAGCTTGGAGGATCACTTACAGTATAGGATACAAAGGATCTACTGGACTAGAAGGCTGTAGTTAGGGAGGTGGTATAAGAAACGCAGCTTGATAGCGGTAGTATAGGGGGGGGTTATACGAAGGTTCAGTGCTATAGTGTATATGACAAGCCTAGTTATAATGTATATACGTGCCAGAAAGTTGCAACATCATCTGATTCATCTATTTCTAATGTAATTATAGTTGGTTGCTAGTATTGATATATTGTAAATATAAATAGTTGTTATAGGGGTAGGGAGAGTATACGACTTGCTGATATATTGTCACGAATTAAGCCAACAGGACAGCTGCAGATGGGACAACCCGCCGGGTGGCGCAGGGCGCACCCGAACCAATCATTCAGGACCAATAAGAAGGAGCTCTAAGGTGCTCTAGAGAGCAGACGAGAGCTCAGGAAACTAAGCCAATCAGCATGAAGGAACGGAAGCTCTTGATGGAGTCAACAGAGCACCAAGCTCTAGGGAGCTCTATAGAGCACATGAGAGCACCCAAGATAGCCAGTATATAGTCACTTGTTCTGGAGGACTCTGGGAGTTCTCCAGTGAGCAATACAAGCAGTAAGGTAGCCCTACGTTACTATGCAGATATTGCGACTTGCATTGTTGTAAACCTTTTGGCTTTACCGAGACCTACAGTCCGACCAGCAGATACCTTCGACCGGCGAACCCTTTCAGAGGCAGAACTGCCTGTAGTTTCATTACACACACCCTCTCAACTAAATCTATATTAATTCCGCCCAACCAGCTCAAAACAAATGAAACTACTCGGAATTATCTTCCTCTGACATTTCCACAACTATCTGATAGGTACGCGTATTGTGGCTTAGTTCGCCGCAGTTGCCATAACGCTGCATATACGTCTCGATCCTCAGCTTCTAACTACTACCCGCCTATGTTTCCTCCTTTATCTGCATCTCAACCTCTCTCTAACCCTCCACATCCTATATGTCCTATATAGAAAGCAATCCTCCTTGCCACAACCGTTGTTTTTAGCTCTCTAGCATTTCCTTAACGTCTTATTTATAGCTCGGAGGCTCTAGTTCTCTATCTATAACAATACTAACTAATATATAACCTTGGATATCCCTTTTATAAATATATTAACCACTCTTAAGATCTTAGTAAAAGAGCTATTTTAATACTAGGTAATTTAATTCTTAATAGGAGTAGACTATAAAAAGGCTTTTATTAGCTTGTTGTCATGAATCAACCATATATGGCGGCCGGGTGGGGCGTGACCCCGGAACCCCGAGCCAATGGCCGGCAGGGACGGCAGGATCACCAAGATCAATCGGGGACTGGTGATCCCGGTGAGCGGCTCACCTACGATCACCGGGCCGAGGTGATCGCTAGTGATCTAGGTACGAAGATACCTAGAGGAGGAAGCTGTATATAGTTCTATCATTCTGTCGCTCATTTAGATAGCTAGCTTCCTCAGTGAGCAATTCAAGCAGTAGCCTTCACCTACTGTGCAGACATTGCGACTTGCAGTGTTGTGAACCTTTTGGCTTCACCGAGATCTACAGTCCGACCAGCAGTACCTTCGACCGGCGAACCCTTTCAGAGACAGGACTGCCTGTGGTTTCGTCACACTAGGCCGCTGCAGGTTCATGACACTAGAGCAGTCAACCGCTTTTAAGAAGCCTGCTGTAATTTTCATTCTCATAATCACGCCAGTTATGCATTAATTGCGACAGACAAGTCGTATGCCAGCAACGAGTACGACTGGGGTCATCTTCGTCATCATCGCCCCTACTACCATCGCGACCGTCACCGGTCCAGAAGAGAACGAGACTGGTATCATGATTATTCTGATCACCGAGCCGAGCAGAAGACGTCTGGTGCCACTGAGAAGCGCCCCGAGCCCAGCATGCGTAGTTGGCGCGAGACCAGACACCTGGAACTTTAAGCTTGGGAAGGCCGGGTTGCTGGCGGCCCAACGGTTGGTAATAGCTGCTGCTCCCGGGACTCTGCTGCACTCTTTTCCAGGTCGTGTTGTTTTGGCTTCTTCCACCATGCTAGGCCCCTAATGAGATGGTCAGCAACTTACTCTGAATGGCACAGAGAGACTGCCAGCGATACATACCTCATCATCCGTGCGATTCGCACGTCCAAGTCGTAATATACCATGCAAGCATAGCAACCCTGTGGACAGAATCAGCGAAACTCCGTCTCCCCACATATCGGACAGGACTCCTGACCAAGAAGCCACTCAGTAGCCATGCAAACGCAACAATGAAGCTGAAAGCAAGCACCACCCTCCACTGCGAGCAGCGGTGCTGGGTGACGACCCTTGTATTGCCCGTGCTGGAGTTCCAATAGACAATCCAGTAGTTGTTAAACCAGCTCGAGGTGCAAGTGTTTGTTCCGGTGAGCTATAATACTGTTAGTCTATCGCAGATGCCATCTCGGTGGCTGGTCGGATGTTGTGCTTACATCTTCAAGCAAGGCAAAGCAGACGATCCAGCAGATAAAGAGTGCAAAGTCAATGGGGAAAAGCTGGAACGAGTATTTAAGAGGAGGAACCAGGATAAGGGTCAGGGCTACGCTGATGGCAGCGATGGATATAGCGTAGACCAAACGAGAGTCGGTAGGGCCATTAATGCGGTTGAGAATGTAAAAGAACCGTGCGAGAATGCCAAGGATGATGACACAACAACCACACTCAAAGACGCGGAGACACGAAGAAATGACCTTGTGAGCTGTACCCATGGCAGTAGTCGTGGCAATCGTAGAAAGGATCCTTTTGCTTGGTTGTGGATCTTTGCCTTCTCTTCAGGTATCGAGTGTGAACAATCGATGGCGGCCTTTGCGAGGATCGTTTATAACAAGCCCGCATTCACGTAGAATTGGAGAGGGGCATCAAAGGCGGGCCCATGATGTCGGGTGTGGACTCATGATGCCTCGTCTATAGTAGAGAGACCTGATGCCGGTCTGGATCGATCGGTTAGACTGTCGGAGCCGAGAGCGTGACTAAAACGATCATGCACGCACTGGGATAGTTGAGGTTCATCCCTGTCCGTCGCTTACCCAAACTCATACTTGGCATACGTCGTTCAATGAAAGGCAAATTCGTTGGGTGTCGGCGTATGGCTAGATGCTCCTGTTCAAGATCCAAGTTCAAGATTGACTCACCTTCCCAAGGATTCGATTGCCCTTCACAGTTCACAGGTCCTCGTAAATCAAAAGCTATTGCTGTCGATCTGTGATCATTGAACTTTCTTGGGGGGACATCCGGCGAGGCCAGAAAGTCGCCGCCTACCACGAGTAGGGAACGAGATGTAAGCCTAGCTCATTATCTGATGACAGTGATGTCACTATTACTATATCGCCCTCCTGGCAGATAAGCGGGGGTCATTAGAAACCAGCGTTGATGCCAAAGGTCCAGGCCTCTTGCACACCCACACCTCTCTAGACCTCCGGATGTACTTAGACTCCAACTCGCTCGCATGTTGAGGCGCTCAACAAGGGGCCTAGCTAGAGCATGATAGCAACTAATGGAACATTTCCATGTCTAGGATCGTCTGCATTGTGATATTCAGGTGCAACGCCCCAGTAGAGAGAGGTTAACTATATAAAGAAGTTTTTGGAGGTGGACAACCGGTCTTCCTGTAGCTGCTATGACAAGTGCGCAAGTTGAATCCGTTACCACCCTTGCAACTGGACTGTAATACCGACGACGCAGCGAGAATGGTTCCCGGTAAGAAAAAAAATCTTCTAAGGCGCTTCTATATTTTGTTTCGTTAATTTCTTGTTTCACACAGAGTTATCCATTCGAAACCTGGCTTCGCGAGAAATTACAGTCGTCATCGTCAATCACAGCCCCGAGATGCTTGAGCTCGATACCGACTCCGTGAAGCTCTGGCGAGGGAAATGGGAAGAAGGCATTGTCGGATCGGTGGTACCCCAGGCAATCAGGCCTGGTGAGAGCGTCCTCTGGCGCTGCAAGTCGAGAGGCGTGGCCCAGGGCATCGAGGGTTCCGTGACCTTCCAAATCGCGGGCCCCCCACCCCATGACAGGGTTCGGTTCAACTGGAAGAACCGCTATTTTGGCCCCAACGCATATATCGCGCAGAGTACTCGAAAGGGATACAAGATTGAAGTGGAGGGGGGTGAAGGGGCCCGTGCTGTTGTTGTCTTCGTGCTTGGTCAGTGGTATTTGCCTGCACCCCGCATACTATTTCCTCGCCACTGAACTCTCAGCCAATAGGACCGCAATCGAGCACATGATTTCGACGAGTACATGTTGAGAGGAAGCAACGTGCTAAGAGAGGAGGGTGAGGAGGTGGGGTCTCATTCACAACGATCGTTATGAGCTCATAGGTTCATCATGTAGAGATGCGGGACAAGAGCGGGTGAAGCGTACACCCAGACCCTGGAGGGTTGGGTTTATCATGTTTTATAATTTGATGCTCTTCTCTCCGTTCGGATTTCGATCTCCCCGGCATTTTTCTCAAACCAAGTTGAGAAAAACAGACGCCACAAACTTGACGTTCAAAAAATCCACTTCCTCATCATTCATCACCATGGGGTCTGTCTCTAAAGTGTTCTCGGTAATTCTCCGCCTCGGAGAATTGGTGGGTGGTGTAATTGTTTTGGCGTTGCTTGGCCGGTTCCTCTATATCGTGGGCGAGGCGAATGTCTACGCCGACTCTCGTATCATTTACACGACCGTTGTTTCGTGCATTGCCATAGCTCTTTCTATACTTTTCATGCCTCCATTCACCTGTTCTTTCATGGCCTTCCCCATCGATTTTATCTTGTTTACTTTATTCTTGGTAGCATTCTGTCTCCTGGAAACGGTTCGCAACACAAACCCCCTCTTAAGATTTCACAGGTTGGAATATTCTAACCCTTCCTCAAGCTCACTGGTACGGACACCTGTAATGCGGTCTGGTATTGGAGCTACTGGGGCTACCTTTGGGGCGGATTCTGGAGGACTCCAGTTGTCGTCACTGGTCCTGGAGACATTGGTTGGGCTGGATGCGCATCTTGGAGAACAGTCCTTGCCTTCACCTTTCTCTCATCAATGGCCTTTTTGTTCAGCTCGGTTCTGGTAGGAACATTCCTTTTCACGTGTTCTCACTGTCCTGGGGAATTGAGGCTGACCCAAGGTAGGGCGTGTGCGTTGTCATGAAGTACCGAGAAGAAAGGAGGCACTCCGCCCAGAACAGTGATCCCGGCGCGAAAACGGGTTAGGGAAACTGTTGGTTTGGGGCCAAATGGGCATATCCGTGGGTGCCTTGCTGACTGGCTTTTGTAACGGAAAACAGCACTTAATGGCATTGTATACTTAGCTGAGATTGTTTGATATTCTTATTTCTCCTACATTCTTCCCATAGTTTTTCCTGCAAAACAAAACAAGTCTGGATCGGGTGGGAGCCTTGCCTGCTACACATACAGACTGGCACTTCTTGCAGATTACGAATGGGTGTTTAGGTAGACCAGTGAATTGACGTGGTGTCCATGTTCGTTTGTAGATCACGTTCGAATGCGTTTTTCGAAGTGGTAACAATAAACCCTCGCCAGCTGACGTCTGTTGCCCAACCGCTTCGTCCTAGCGCCGGAGGCTCTTCTCCTTCCCCCAAGCGTCGCTTCCTCGGCTGCCCAGAGGCAAGAATGTGCATCGGGCCTCTCTTGTCGGACAGATCTCCTAAGAGATAATGAACAGGTTGCTAGCTAGATAGTTCCATTTTGAGGCTGTGCGATCGGACCGAACTACGTGACGGATGCTGGCTCACAGAAGTACCGTTGGCGGGAGAGAATGACAAAAGTCTTGAGACCTGGAGGGCCCTGCGTCTCATCTTGATGTCATTCTTACGTAACGATGCGACTCATGCGATTGAAGTCTATCGGCGAATGTTCTGGCCCTTTATCTCAAGATGAGGGTTAGTTTTAACGGAATATCAGTTCCCCTATTCTCTGACAGAAAACGCATCGTCTTCAGTTGTCAAACCAGCTGATTGTCTTCTTATGCTTTCTGCAATCTACCAGTGCAGGTAACTCGCTGGCCTTTCATGATGAATTCCATCCTAGTGATGATGTTTACGACTTTAACTGGTGAGTCGGTCCGCTTTGCAGCTCTGTGCCATCCGTTAGCGAGTTATTTGACAAGCAAAGGCAGGCTGTGCAGCCAGTTTTCAGATCGGTGAAGGACGCACGTCGCTTGACCAGCGTGGGAAGGCTGATGCTCCTGATGGTTACAGTCCAGCGCCTGTCCCCTGCCCCGAAACGCCTCCAGCTGTCCGGAGCGCAGAAGGTTTGTCGCCCGAAGAAACTACATGGTTGAAACAGAGGGGCAATGCCACAACGTCAGCACTTGTGGATGTGCTGGAAAGAGCGAATATCACGGGGTTGGATGTCAGAGGTTATATACAAAGCGTCGTGGACAGTGGCTTCATGTTGTCAAGGATAGGAATAGCTATGTCTGGTGGAGGATACCGTGCCTTGATGAATGGTGCAGGAGCTATATCTGCGTTCGATAACCGCACCCCTAACTCAACCGCGCCTGGCCAAGTAGGGGGCGTGCTCCAGGCGGCCACGTACCTCAGCGGACTGTCCGGAGGAAGCTGGTTAGTGGGAAGCCTTTATACCCAGAACTTCACCACGGTGGACTCTATAATCCATGCTCGCGAAGGCTTCTTAAGCGAGCTTTGGGAATTCAACGAGACTATCTTCGAAGGTCATTCTAGCCCCCCTTGTGTCTGGCAACCACACCAGGTTCTTTACTAATACTATATATGTAGGCCCGGCTACCTTATCCGCCCGCGACTATTACCAACAACTCCAAGACGCGGTGGACGCCAAAGCCGCTGCTGGCTATAACACGGCCATCACGGATTATTGGGGCAGGTCATTGTCATACCAGCTCGTCAATGCCACTGATGGGGGTCCAGGTACGTACGGAAAACAACCGATAAGCCTGTATTCCGTGACCAAACGTGCTCTAACATATATATATATATATATATAAATAGGCTATACATTCTCTTCGATCGCCACCGACACGGCTTTCATAGAAGCCTCAATACCCATGCCCATCGTCGTGGCTGTGGAGAGACCTGCCGGCCAGCTCCAGATATTGGGGAATTCGACCGTCTTCGAGTTCAATCCGTGGGAGTTAGGGTCCTACGATCCCGGAAACCCCGCATTTGCGCCTTTGCGATATGTCGGATCGCAGTTCACTAACGGAAGCCTCCGTTCCGGCAGCAAGTGCATCGCTGGCGTCGACAACGTGGGTTTCGTTATGGGTACGTCGTCATCGCTGTTCAACCAGGCCTTCCTGCAGATCAGCAAGATGGAAAACGGCGCGTCAGGTTTTCTCATTCAATCTTTAAACGCGACTCTGGCCCAGATCGGCGAGGACAATAGGGATATTGCAAGCTGGCCTAACCCATTCTTCCAATACAACGCCGAGGTCAACCAGAACGCAAACTCGTCGCTCCTTACCTTGGTTGATGGTGGTGAAGACCTCCAAAATATACCGTTGCATCCGCTGATCTGGTCCCTTCGCAATGTCGACGTGATCCTCGCAGTTGACAGCTCGGCCGACACGCCAACCAACTGGCCAAATGGCACGGCGCTTGTGGCGACATACCAACGGTCAATCGGCAACTATTCCAAAGATGCTTCCGCATTTCCATCTGTGCCAGACCAGAACACATTTATCAACCTTGGGCTAAATGCTCGTCCTACGTTTTTCGGCTGCGACCCGGATAATATGACCGGACCTGGGCCCCTCGTCGTTTACCTTCCCAATGCCCCATATACATTCTACTCCAACGTCTCAACGTTCGACATGGAATATCCCACGGAGGAGCGGCAAGCGATCATCTACAATGGCTACAATACCGTGACAATGGCCAACGCTAGTCTAGACGCTCAGTGGCCTGCTTGTCTTGGATGTGCCATTCTTTCGCGGAGCTTTCACCGGACCAATACGGAGTTCCCGGCCGTGTGTGTCGGCTGCTTTGAGAGATATTGCTGGAACGGTACCGTCAACTCAACGACCCCGGTGGTGTACGAGCCTGGTCAGATCGTGATCGCATCGGGTACCTGCGATCGAACCGCTTTCTCAGCTGCTATTTACGTTGTTTTTTTCGCGCTGCTTTTCACCCTATTGTCTTAATGCACCTAGGTAACGAGGTTTCATTCATTAAGTACCATTTGACATTCTGCCGTCGGTAATAAAGGACCTGGAACCAGATGTTGCTAGGCTTAACGAGCCTGTTTTCCAGAATCAATCCCCTTATATCTTTCTTGATCTTCTCCCTGGGCTTGGCCGTCATTGGCTACCTCTAAGATGGCACGCGACCCTTGACGACTCCCCTGGGCTTCGCTACAGCAGCCTTTCGCGCATCAGCATTCCTCCGCCTGGTTGTGTAATGAAACTATTTAGCTAGCGTTTATACAAGGAACCGTTTTTAAGAAACGCCACAAAGCGCCAGTTGGTGCTTTCCGACAACGCCCTGCCACGACTAGGCCGGCTCTCCAACGCCAAAGGGCGTTTGATGACACTACCGCCTCCATCTCCCCAACCTCGTGCCGTGCCAAGTGTGAAGAGAGGATGGTGGTCGTGTCAAGTCGATGTCTTTCGTGGAGAGCGTGCTGGCCGGCAGCTCGCTATCGCGAACAAGCACATTCCGATCTACTTGCGCCGCTTCATCTTCCCTAGCCATCCTCCGGACCACCGCGCTGGACGTCTTCCAGACATCCCCTTCCGGAACCCCCGCCAGCCAGTACAGCCCAATCATCCCTACCAGGTTAAGCACCACATACCCCCGCCAAATCCCATAGATCCGCCAGCGCTGGCCATACTCCACTCCTACGCTCGTCAAGGACGCGTTCGTGTCCGCCAGCATCCAGAACTGGCATGCCTCGGTCGCCGTAGAATTGTACACCTGTCCGCCCGCCATATCTGTGAAGGGGGCCATGTACTGACCGCAGGTCATGCCAGCGAGTGGGTTAAGCCACAGAAGCTCAAGAGGGGAGCAGGCCACAGGCGTGTTGGCGATGCCGATGGAGAGGAGGGCACCGATTAGGTAGGCGAAAGGGAGATGCGGTATATGAAGGTCCAGAAGCTGGGGAGGGCCGAGGGCGGGCACATGACGCTAGGGGAATGTATGTCAGCACGGGCGCCCGGTCGACGGAAAGGGAAGGAAGAGGAAGCGCAGGGGGGACCCAACCCGCAGAAGATCAGGGACATGGCAAACAACAACAGTGCAAACGTTGCAACGACCTCGGCGGTTGACACGCAGCGGCATTAGCAGGGCACAAGACCGGATTCTTGTGAGCGAACTCTAGAGAATGGGTTGCGCGGTGCTTATCGTTAAGAACGACGCCTCCGACGAGGATAACGTCCACTACGCGCTATAGCAGGTGCCAAACCTCAAGGGAATCATCAAATTCTCTAAGGCCCTCTACGACCAAGCCTCCACGCGTATGACGCTCGACGAGTGGAACAGCGATGTCTCCTTTAAGGTGAAGGGAAGACGGGGTCTTGGAAAAGGCGTCCCCACTTCAGCCCAGAACCCCAAGCAGCTAGCGGCTTCAATAGCATCATTTCATCATCGAATGAGACCGAGTAGCGCACTCAGCCTGACTCAGGTTAACCAGCACCATTTCCCCGGGTCGATGCTTGAAGTTAATCCAAGGAAATCATACTAATTTTGCCCAGACAACAACTTCCTAAGGTCTCTCTTAGATATAAGTCGGACCCCCCCGATTCCGAACACCCTACATTCCGAACACTTTGTAAGCCCACACCGCTTTTTCGACCCCCTCAGTTCAACTTACCACAACTCAGTCAATTCTAAGTTAAATCACTTCATTTTTTGGGCAATAGTATCGTCAGTTTACGATGGTTTACTCGGAACAAGATTTACAAGATGCGGTTGCTAAGTACCGTCGCGGTGGCTATTTAGCGCGAAGCATCAGCCGGGAATTCGGCATCCCAATGACTACCTTATACGACCGCCTCCACGGCTCGCAGACCCATTCTATTGCCGCCGAACCGTAACAGACTCTTAGCCGGGTACAGGAAGATCATCTTACCCGATGGGTCTTGACCCAGGCCGCCCTCGGTGTTCCACCAACCCATACCCAGATCAGGGAGTTCGCCAGCCGAGTTCTACAGGCACAGGGAGCCACCCGTACAACCATTGGAAAGGGCTGGATAACCCGGTTTCTTTGTAGAAACCCGGTTATCCGAACCCAGAGAGGCCGTAAGATCGACTCAGCTCGTATCAACGGCGCCACTAACGCGGTCATCCGTAGCTGGTTCCCACTACTAAAGATCCCAGCTATTAAGGACATCTTACCTGCCAACCGCTGGAACTTTGACGAATTCGGCCTTATGGAAGGTCAGGGTATCAACGGCTTGGTAGTTGGAAGTGCCCACACACGCGCAGTGCAACGGAAAGTCCCTGGTTCGCGTGCATGGACCTCCTTCTTGGAGTGTGTCTCTGCGATAGGGGTATTACTCCTACCAGCTGTCATTTTCAAGGGCAAGAGCGTTCAACAGCAGTGGTTCCCTATCGTCAAGGACGAACTGAAGGACTGGCTATTCACTGCAACCGATAAAGGCTAGGTGAATAGGGTGATTGCGTTGGAATGGCTGCAACGGGTCTTCATCCCTCGGACCTAGCCGTAGGATCCCTCCCAGAGGCGTCTGTTGATACTGGACGGTCATGATAGCCATACAACCACTGAATTTATGTGGGAGTGCTTTAACAACAATATCCAACTACTCTTTTTACTAGCCTATACCTCCTACGTTCTCCAGCTGTTGGATTTATCAGTGTTCTCTCCCCTCAAGCACACCTACCGCAAGCTCCTCAACCGTTTGACTAGCTGGTCAGAATATACTGCATTGGGCAAGCAGTTGATGTTAAAGTACCTTGTCCAGGCTCGTAGGGAGTCAATTATAGCTCATAACATCAAAGCTGGGTGGAAGGCATCTGGGTTATGGCCTCTTAGTATGGCCAAACCACTGATGAGCTCTCTCTTGCTGGAAAATTCGAACCGGGCGCCTGACGAAGATGATCTACTACGCCTACTACAGACCCCAGCTCCTACGCTACCTGGCCATCCCACTACTACGGCTAAGGAGGTCGAATTTCAGACTCCACGCAAGAAGGTAGACCTTCGGGATCACCTGACCAACCTGGCCATCCGGCGGCAAGATCTTTCTACGCGACGGCTTCTATTCAAGAAGGTTGAGAAGGCTTTTGATGAGAAGGACTTCCAATTGGCTCGCTTGCAACAGGAAAACGAGGCTCTGAAAGTCCAGTTGGAGGCAGCCCGGCCGTCGAGAAGGAGGAGGGTAGTCCCGGATCCGAATAAGCAGTTCGCTTCCATTGAACAGGTATACCGGGCTCAAATTGAGGCTGGTCGTCTTGAAGAGTCTGGCATTGAAGAGAGCGGGTCAGAAAGCTCCGGCTCAGATGCTTCCTGTATTGTGGTGGGTTGATGATGTTGTAATGTAGTAGGTTGAAGAAGATGGGTGGTTCAGATGCCAAGGCTTACAAAGTGTTCGGAATGTGGGGTGTTCGGAATGGGGGGGGCCCGACTTAAGCGAGCCTGGCTAGCACTGGAGCCTCTTCGAGGGTCGGATACAGTTGGTTCGCGTCCCCGAACAGGGGACGGGACCCTAGCGCCAAAGATGCACCCCTATCGCGAATGCCCAGGGCGCGCGCTAGAGGACTTTGATAGGTATGAACGAAGTAGAATAGGCGACGACTTCCGGCCTCCGTCGCCGGCGCCGTTTGGAGCCGTTACGGAGGCGGCCCCGGCAGAACCTCGGGCGAGTGTTGGCCCGGGCCTGCTGAGTCATCAGTTGCTGGCGTGCGAAAGGGAAGATTCTACAAAGATCGGACAAGGGACGGGCGAGTCAGTCTTCCGTATTTACGTACAGGATTCGAACGGTGGTAAAGTACATGCTATTTATGGTCAGTATTGGTATTTCCCACGGTACTGGTACAATACAGTACAATAAAATCGTATTCTTTTCTCATGCTCCCGTTCACGGGCCCTACTAGGCACCCGAACCTCAGCCTACACTAAAGGTCTTAAAACATTACAAGACTAACATCGGAACCGACTCTAGGTACTCATTCTGTTCCCCAGATCCAACTTCAGGTATCACCCATCCCTCATTGCGACAGCTAGCGCAACACCATCTCTTGCGTCGTCTTTCTCTACTTTAATACACTCATGAGTGACGCGCGACTATTTGTGAGGCGGCTTCAGATGGCTCCGAGCAACTCCCTGAATTATGCTGCCAGGGTTATGGAATGTCGACGGAAGCCAACGCCAATACACTGTTAAAGCCGAAGCCATCGACAGAGCGTCAAGACATGCGCGGCGATTCCATGCTGAGAAGATATCCGTCTTCGCTTCTAATGAACTCGACGACCCAAAACAGCGAGCGGAACATGATCAGCGCACTGACAGCGTACAGACTGCAGCATTTAGAGGGTCTGGTTCCAGTCCATCTCGGCCATGGCGCGTTTCGTCACAGGATCGCGCCCCATCCTGCCATGAGAGGAAGGCGGTCGTCGCGCAGAAGAGACCAAAGACGGCGATCTGGAATACTGGGCCCGACGATGACGATGCCCTGCGCAACCTTGCCGTACTCCGTACTCGGCTACCACTCACCCTGAGCGACGGGGTGGCCATTGTTCCACACACCCCATTTGGTCCAATCCGCCTTGTCGTTCCAACCTCTCCATGTGCGCGCACGCCGACCTGCTCGGGAGGTCCTCGCGCTCGAAGTGGTTGTCTAGCGGTTGCTCTCAACGGTCCGGATGCTCGGCGAGAAATTCGAGGGCCGAGAATACCCTCGCTGTTATTACATCTTAAGGCTGAGATCCATCGAGAAGGGGTGGCATAGGTGTCGCTGTACTGTTGTGCTATAACCGCGATCATCCAGGAGAGAGGGTAGCTACTAATGCAAGCTCTAGTGCTGATGTAGTGAGTTGACGTGCGCAGCGCAATAGGACGGTTCGCAGCCCTGAACCTGAAGGCTGTTGCGTGTTTCATGGCCGACCATGATCAAGGAAGCTTTGTTGAAACCTCAGCTCTGCGTATATGCAACTCAGTTCCAATGGAATTACCTAGGATACTGGTTAGGGTTGGCTAACCGCATCCGAAGCAACCATTCCAAAACATCGTTCTTGGCGCTAGGCAGCAATGTCGTGGCAGCAGCGGGATGGATCCGAAAGACGAGCTGGGAATGCCGATGACTCGATATCCTCCCACAGAACAGCATCTTGGTGCCCAGGTTGATTTTTCAACGTAGTCCCCTCGACGCTCCCTATCTCAACCCTCAGCATCTCATTAAACCCATCGTCTCGGGTGCACTGGTATGTGAATCGAGACCCTCTAATCCTTGTTTTCTCCCCCTTCATTTCTAATATCCGTGTTACCATCGGCGTCTGACTTCCTCAGCTATAAGGTTAGCCAATCCTCGTTCAACAACAACACCAATCATGGCCTTTTCGCAGTCTTCGGCCCTTCAACTGGCGGCCCACGCCTTCGCAACCATCTTCACTGGCTTTGGCATTAACGCAATCCTTCGCCCAACGAACGCCCTGACCTTCTTCGAGTTTGCTCCTCCGGCATCACCCTCTGAGGCCGGGATGGTCGATAGCCTGATGGCTGTCTATGGCGTGCGAGACATCTTCATGGGCGTAGCGATCTACGCGGCCGCGCTGTTGGGTACCAAGAGGTCGCTGGGCCTGACGCTCATCGCCGCAAGCGGTGTTGCCATCGCGGATGGGCTGGTTTGCTATAGCCATGGCCAAGGACACTGGAACCACTGGGGCTACGCGCCCATCATCACCGCCGTTGGCGCCATGCTGCTCGGCCTCTTTGACGGTGCGAACAAGGCGAAGAAGGCCTAACTGAACCTGAGGCGAATACTTTGGCTGATTCATGTACGTCACAATACTGCGAGAGATCTAATGCAAATTCCTCAGGTCAGATCTTTTGGTACTTTGTTAGCCACGATGGGAGCGCCGGATTGAAGATCCGTCTTTCCTATGAGTCCATGCTGCCGCGTTCTCTGCCCTTTCTGCATGAACAGTATGACACTAGCCGGGCCCTGTTATCTCACAGCGCGAGGCTTGTCGGGAGCTGGCAAAGATCCTGCGCTCAAACGATTGCTGTAATGCCAATCACCCATGGACGATCTCAAATGCTTGGTCCTGTCCGTGCAGTGAGTATTTACAATGGCCGCTCTAGCTAAGGTGCACTTGCTTTCCACGGTCTCTTCCTTATCCAGAGGCCTTTTCGTCTGGCAGGAAATGTAGGTGCCAACTTGCAGATATTGGACGTTGGCTGTATCGTGCAATGCTCGCTGGGTGGCCTGCTCATCCGAATTGTCAATATCGCACCCGGACTCTTCACAGAGAGAGCTGCCTTTCGGGAACCGAAGTCGATACAGTACATACGAGACGGGTATTAGTAACAAATGGCGGCCACCAACGTTTGCGCACCGTTGTCCAGGGGCAAAGGACAAGGATTAAAGGTTAAGTGTGTAGGTACCTATGTATATCATGAACTGACTTAATCATATATATAGTACTTTAACCGACGAGTCTGATCATCATCCAAGCTGCACTGGAACTCTTTTCCGTTGTCAAATGGCAAAAGACCCCCCATGCCCTACCCTGTCCATGCCGCAACCAAAATACCCAAAGCCCCGACAACCGTGAGGTCTGAATAACATCGTTTCATAAGGTCAATTCATCAACGAATAGGCAGCGAGAAGCCCGACCCCGTCACCGCGTATCAAAGAGCAATGATGTTGAAACCTATTATGCCCTCCTCAGAGCATCAATGATCTCGGTGGACAGCACCTTCAACCGCTTCCTCAAGTCCCCCTCTAGCTGGGCAAAGGTCGGCACCGAAAACGGAGGCGCCCGGCCGCCGCCCAATCCGAGGCCCTGAAAATCCCCGGATTCTCCCATGCTGCTCGATCCAGAGCTCGTCCCGGAGCGGGCCGCCTGCCCTGTCCTCAGCCGAACCGACTCCAGCCGCTTCGACAGCGCGTTCACCAACCTCTGCACGCGGTGCAGCTCGCTGAGGACAAGCTGTGCCGCCATCCGCCCCTGGTGCTGCCCTGCGACACAGTAGTTCCCTACCGTCGTCGGCAGGCGCAGCACTTGCTCCCCGAGCGGGCCGCGCCCTCCACCCAACGATGAGGAAGAGGGCGGCCGCTGGTCGTGCGTGGCGGGGGATGCCGACGCGGAACCGGAGGTTGAGCTCGGACCGGGCCAGGTGGACGAATACGCGGGTATGCTGTTTAGTGTCGTGATTGCGGGAGAAGACGACGACGTTGGGGAGGATGGGGTGCCGTCGTCTGACGCAGCAGCCGCGTACCACCCCATCACCTTTAGAGCGGCCATGGCCATGATGGAGATCAGGTACTCATCATGCGTGCAGTCGCAGTCGAGCAGGCTGGTCAGGGAGTCAATGATTTGCTTATTCTCTGAGATGACCGACTCCATGGTGCGGCTTCCCGACGCGGCGACCCGGGGTGTGCCACCGCGGTTTCGAGGCATGGTGCAGCCGGACGGAGCGTTGGGAAACAAACGGGTGAGGATGTCCATGACGACGGAGAAGCAGTTGTTCGGTGGCGAATGGGACTTGGCCCAGTCAAAGGCCGAGGCCCCATTAGCGTAAGAAGAGAAGCCATCCAGGTCGGACACTGACACCACATCGCCGAAGAGATCGGAGGTGCCAGTGTCTGTGTGGGTCTCTGCTGTGCTTGGCTGCTCCAGACCGTCAAGCATCATCGGCGAGTGGAGGTCCATGTCAAAGAAGTCCCCAATATCAGTGCCGATGGTTGTCAGCGGAGGAGAGAGCCGAGGGGAGTCCATCACCAGGGCGCTCGGTGTCAGAGCGGAGCTCCACAGGTCAGCCTCCGTCAACGTGCCGGGCCCTGCCGAAATGGGATCCGGGCTGTATTGGCCGCTTGCGTTCCTTCCCCCGGTACCGGCGCTGGCACCGCCCCTCATGCTCGAGAAGGAGAGATGAGGAGTTCTCACTCGCAACGACGGTCGCCCGTTACGCTTGCCTGCTTCTTTCTGACGGCTGCTGGTGCTGTGGGTGCCTGTCGCAGTGGGTCCAGCATTCGTGCTGCCGGTGCTAGCTGGGGTGATCGCACTAATAACCGAGCCGCGGGCCGAGCCGCTGGCGGTGCCCATCCAAGGGTCCACTCCGGCTTTTGACGCGTTGGACGTGCGGCCAGTACGGCGTGACACCATATAAGTGCAAGTGACCCCTCGACGGGCACATCGTGCGCATGTCGGTTTCTCCTTGCTGCACCTGACCTTGGAGCTTGCACAGTCGGTGCAACTATCCCGCAGCTTTCGCGGAGTCTGAGTGATGGGATGGCCGGTTGAGTGTCGGACTGCTGTGTCGAGCATCACTGGCAGCAGGTGAATCCCATCGAATTGCCGAGGAGCGCGCTGAGCTGTCAAGAAGTGCCCGGATGCGGACAGGACCGGCCGTCAATGGAGAGTATATATATATATATAATGGTGTATGGCTGGCCAATTCCGGGTCATGCACCTCTATGGCCCTATGGGTTGCAGTCTCAGGCGCACCGGGCCTCGACGAGGCTCGAACCGGAACGTTCGTTTGCTTGCTGCCGCACTGCTGCCTACCCCGCCCCGTGTCAGCGGATGCGTCGTACAATTGCTGCACGGCGGTGCGGGGAATGTCTGGGAAACGGACCACGGGTTCTGTGTGGAATGTCCAGTCTCAAGTCTCAAGCATGGAACCGGTTGCCTGGTGATTGTAAAAACGAGGGTTGAAAGTGTGGTGACTGATGTAAAGCACAGTGCATCATACACCGGCAAAATTCGACACGGAGAGCGAGGTCGATTGTTGGAAATAGCTAAGGTGGGAGGCACCTTCCGTACCTGCCTCCATATATCTGAACAACACTTAGCGACTGATCTTCGTTATGCAACTTGGAAAATGTGCCTGCACTTGCCTATCATACCTTAGGTGGTTGCCAGTGGGTCGGCCACGACGCACCTCAGTTTCCGGACTCGGAACATGCTCTCGCGCCACTGCGCGCTGATAAGCATGAAGTGTCCTAAAGCTGTGATCGTGCAATATCCGCTGAAATGACCGATTGCATTTGAATCAGCCATCATCTGCGACGCCAAGATTCCGCAACGACAATACCGATGAAATTGCCGCACTGAACTCGAACCAGGCGTCTAGACAACCATGAAGAACTTACGGGATACCCTACAACGTTGAACCGGTTTTCTGTTACTGCCTACCCATATCCAGGTGTGTGAAGCCTACAGGGTTCACCTACTGCCCAAATCCGCAAAAACCGAGACAGTCGCCTCGGGTCACCTCAGCCAGCCATTCGCCAAGACCGGCGTTTACTTGTCGTCGTCGCCGCTTAGTCTCGAGCTGCAGCTGAAGTCTCACTACTCTTACCAAGTTAGCATCATTTGCCAGGATACGGCACTGCTAACCTGGAATAGGTGTTACTGCAGTCCGAACCCGCGCGCCAAGATGACGAGAAGTTCGAAGGGTACCTAGCTGCTGCATCCTGTTAACTCACTTCCCGATAGAGATAGGATGCCTATGACTTGGCGATCGCCGACGCACAGCAGATTTGGATGCCCACAAAGGCCTTGGAAGGCGCAGCGCGTCCTGACCGGGGCAACTGATGCGGCGAGCCGATTTGTCTTGGCTACATTTACCCTTATTTTGACCGCAGTCTCTCATCTTCCTGTTCGCCGGCAGGTTCGGTGGGCTTAAGCAGTACTAGCGGGTACATGCATTAGTGGCGTGAAGATTTGGGAGCGGTTGATGCTGGCCCAGGAAAACCTATCAGTCAACGCCACCGTCTGCATTGCAACCCAAGTTCTCTCTATCTCTAAGGCTCTGAGCTAGACATAGGTATCTCACTTTGGTTGGTAATACTGGAAGTTCACTACGCATTCAGGACGCCACAATCCCACTCATACGGGATTTAGACACTGCAGCTGCCACCGACACGGCCCAACAACAAGCACGTCGGGCTCGTTGCATGCTTTGGGCTCTTTCCCGGCACTGGTGAAGTCCTCGCAACCGAGTTGGGCCATGCGGGCTCCCATAACAGCACCAATCAGCCAGACCTTTATACCGGCAAAGCCCCCCGTGCAATTTTACCACATCCAGCGGTCCGCCTTTGCCAATATGTCCAACCGACTGACAATGCTGCCCCAACCGAGAGATTTCCTTCGGGGGCTCGCTCTCCACGTGCGTCTGCCTGTTCTCCTCTAAGCTGCTTCCCCCGTTGCCTTTGTTGCTCTCCTGCTCCCCACTCCACAAGCCTACCTCGCCCATTCGTCCGTTCCCGTTATTTCACTTACCCGGTCGATCAGACAACCGGGTCCGTTCAATCATGTTGGCCCTTGTCGTCGCCACAACCATTCTAACAGTGGGCTGCCCCTAGACTCAGCTCCTCGCCGGCCTACAGTGGCTATGCGAGTTTCAGGTGCTCGCCTGTGTTCCGCTCGACGATTCGGTTCCTTTCAAAGATGTCGCGGATATCTGCGGTGTGCCGGAATCTCAGCTTTGCCGAGTCACCCGGCTGATGGCCACGGCCGGGTTCCTCCGGGAGCCTTGCCCAGGGCACATCGCGCACAGTCCCCTCTCGGCCCAGTTCGTCACTGAGCCGGCCGTTCTCGACGCGGCCTTGTTTTTGTCAGAAACAGCGGCCCCTGCAGCGCTCAAGATGCCGCTGGCCACCAAACAGTTTGCTGGCTCAGAATCAGATCGGGCCGACCAGTCTGCCTATGCAGCGGCCTTTGGCACCGACATACCCTTCGCAAGCCTCTTCGAGCTCCGGCCAAGATTGCAGCGACAGTTCAACACCTATCTCACTTTCGTCGCCAACGACGATGAAGCTAGCGCGCAAGAGGTTCTGATGCGGGTCGATTGGGCCAGTCTGGGAAGTATAACTGTGGTTGACGTGAGTAGCTGTCTACATCTTGCTGCCTTCCATCCGGCCTGCAACCGACCTGCACGTTTCACCCACAACCCTCATCCCCCTTTTTGCTTGAACTCGCAGCGGCAGACGCAGCCATACTGTAATCATACAGAACACTGACTGCCTACTGCACCTTCCAAACCACAGGTGGGGGCCCAGTCTCCCGCCACAGCTGTCAGTTTGATATCGCTATTTCCAGCCCTACAATTCGTGGTGCAAAGCTACGATCCCTCCTCATCCTCCAACGCCGGCGGCGCCCCCCCTTGCTTAGCTCTCGGTTGGCCCGCGGCGGGCAGCCTCGCCTCGTGCCGTCCGGGTAGTACGGCGTCGGCGACGTCCATCAATAACGCAAGCCTCGCCGAGCTGGTGCCGCCACATCTCAGCGGCAAGATCACGTTACAGAAGCGGATCGCCGGCACCACACAATTCGTGCGGACCGCGGCCGTCTACATCCTCCACCTCCCGTCGCCCTCCCCGTCTCTGCCGTGGAGCGCCGTGTCGGCCCACGTTGTCTCGGAGCTCACGACCCATCTGGACGTGCTGCGCGCCAATCCTGGTTCGAGGATCGTGCTTACAGCCATGGTGCTCCCGCCGCAGGGCACGGTCGATGCCGAGATCGAGGCGGCGGCGCGCGTACGGGATCTGCTGCTCCTGCAGCTGGCCAATGGCAGGCACGCGGAAAGGTCGGAGGTAGTAGATCTCTTGAGCACGATCCAGGACAACACGGGCGGTTTCGTGCTGACTGACGAGATTCGCTCGTCTACTAGCGCCTTCGTGGCCTGGGAGATACGGTACCAAGCTTATGACGATATGAAGTGCTAGAAGGCCGATGAGCAGCCACACAATATCACGAAAATACTAGAACTATCAGAGTGATGGAGCAAACCAACCTTAACTTGGGCATCTATAGCTTCTCTGTATTGCCGATCTTTGGCGTGCAAGCCACACCGAACTGTGCACACAGTACCCCTCACCAGTGAAACCATCCTCAAGCGCCACCGGAACGGTCACCTCGTGCGACACACCAGGATCCGCATTAGGACCTATCCCGACACATATCTGCAGCCTCGTTCCTAAAGGATCGTCGTACAGTGGGGGATGAAATGGGTATGCTCCCGGAGTGAGTCCGTATTGTGATACGGCATATTACACCACTGCCGTAGATCAGGTTCCCGGCAGGGTTCGACCTCACCTCATCCACCATAGTATGCACGCACTTCAGCCATATGTCGGTGCGCATCAAGTAGTTTAGCGGTGTGAATGGGAGAGATGTAGATCGGCCGGTTCGAATACCTAAGGTACCTAAGAAGCAAAGGTCTTACAAAGATCAGCTTTATCTTGCACAAGGACAGTGCATCAGCATGCCAGTGGCTACCTTGTGCTAAGATGCCTCAGAGACATAGTAGCTATAGATGTTGCGATAATCTCTTACAAGATCATGTGCAACGAAGGTACTACATACCCGAAAAGTACCTTAACCAGTTCCGTGGGAGCGGTGCTCTGGCCGCAGTGTTCCGTAGCACGCTACACGATTTGGATCCATCACTTCACATCAGGGAGAAAATTGCCGCTGCTGTGCAAACAAAGGCTTGAGCACGCTGCTGTGGGAAGAAATACGCGCCTGTGCATGGTGTTAATGGAGCCACTACCAATACGCTGCGATAATCCTATTACTTTAGGTATAGAATAACAGCAAGTCTCGTTACACATCTCACCTCAGCCCTCATCAGGACCATGCGTCTTTCATTCTTTTAGTCCTGTGCCCTTAGCCCAAGGTTTCCCTGCAGCGGGCGCTTGTCTCACGGGATCCAGGCACCTTTGCCTGCCCATCCAGTTATAACCCGCGCAGGGCCGCCTCGTCGAATCGAGCTTGAGCTTGAAACGCCACCCGATCTTTGCCAGGACGAGCCGCATCTTGGCATGGCACTGAAGAGGTCGATCTCATCATCGCGCGCAATAATAGTTCTCGGCAGAGAACGAAATAAAGCAGTCATGCTACCATCAAAGAGGCTTCCTCCTCATACTCGCGCCATGCCACAGGCGCTGAGGGATATCGAGAACCAGCACGAAAACTGGTTCGCTTATCGCGATACTGACGGTTATGGTAAAACGCTGAAGATCTATGGTCCTGTATGTCCTACGCAAGGCTTCTGGTACCCCGAGTGCCAAGTACCGACAGTCCGGGCCGGTCTAAGAGCATGAGCATCGTAGAAAAGAACGACTGGGGGTGGACCTTGTACAGGCTCACAGTGGGACGAATGCGATGATCTCTGTCCCGGCTACACAACACCTTGACTGACAGAGCGACGGCAGTGTCTGCAGTACTAGGACTACTGGCGAGACATAATGCCCTACCGGACGTCCGATGGGCAGATGTGATCCGGGAGACGCGATAGTACATGCGCAGGCTTCTTTAGTCTCTTCAGCTCGTTATCGGGTAGTGAAGTTGAGGAGTAATACTGTAACAGTATGTAGCCTCCAGTTATGCTTGGGATGATACCACAGGCCAAAGGAAGGGACCATAATAGAGGGTAGTGACTCAGCTCACCATCCAGCAGGCTACCGGGTTCACTGCTAGCAACTTATGGTAATGTTTTGACTCATTACCTCTAGTATTGTACTAAGGTATCTCGTAGAAAGAGAGAGGGTTGGTCGCTTACTCACCATGACTCGGTTGGAGTTGGATGCATCAAGGAGTCTTCCAGGCCCTCCACAACGTGAAACAGCACGACCACACTCATGCATGGTCCTACCCATTAGGGCAGTCAAAGCAATGGATGATCCAGTCTGGAGGTCCGCCAGGCCGGTGATGAGGTGGTATAGTGGTGCTAGGCAACGAAACCGATGCATGTCTTGTATCGAGGAAGTCACCACTGTAGAGGGAAAAGATGCTGTCCTTACCGCATGACATCCCTATTATCCTCAAGGTTAAGCGTTTTCCTAGTTGAAAGCCGCTTGGGCCTCTATCTGTTTCGGTGTTGAAGACATGGCTGTGAGTGGGGGTTAGAATGATGCGATGGCCGCGCCGCTGTCTTGATGGTGTGTAGGACAGCCCAGGTTCGGTACGACAAGGACCAGCCAGGTGTGGGGTAAAGGAGAATTCGCTTACCAGCATGGTAAGCAGGCCTCTTGATTGCAAAACCGGACAGACACTTCGGCATTGCTCGAACGGTTGGATCTGCTCTCTCAGAACATGAAAAATGGCAACGTGCCTTGGAACAGTGTTGAGACTGGATACGGAGGTGTGTCTCAGAGTACGAACTAGCCCAGGTTGGGTGGCCTCAGGCTGCGGTCCACGGCCCACGACGCAGATGCGGTACGACCCGTACCCGAAGTATTGTTGCCCGATTCCGGCAACCGGGCAATGGCGGGGTCCGGAGGGCGGCTGGCCAGAGGCCTACCACCTTCCATATTTGTGGGGGTGATTACCATTTCCAGACAGCGTGAAACCTAATGCGCGCTGGGATACATCTAGCAGAGATCCGATGCGGACTGTAGCTCTGCAGTTGGCGCTCCGACAGGCCGTGTCCCGGGTGCCTGCACGGGGCTGGAATCGGACCAAGAAACGCCACTGGTCTGGCCAAGCTGCACAACTGCGTGCGTTGCGGTGGGAGCTGTACGGTGCCGGCCCTAGACGGACGATCGCGGTCCGCACTGAGACACGGCGGCCATCCGTGTTGAAGCTGGTGGATGATAGGGAAGTCTGGACGGTGATCTCACCCATTGTATCATTGGACGCCCGGTTTCAGCTGTTAAATATTACCACGAACTTGCATCCCGATATGGACAGTATCCCGCTGGTGGCGCTGTGGCGCGAGGTAGGAAAGCCATTAAGAGGAGAATCAGCCGTGCTTATGCTGTAAATGTTTCGGTTGGTCGCCGAGCTCGCCGGAGGCCCCCATCTCACTGGCTCTGTCCACGACACCAGGAATCAGCACAGAAAGCTGCTGAGCACCGTCGCCACGACTCGCCTTCCGATGAGACGGTGGCGATCGAAGAAAGTCGTTCGCCTTGGGGACATCGTTCTCAGACTTAACTCCGCTCTCATGAGGCCACGACGACGCGCCACTCGGAAATTTACTTTCACCGGGTTGGCTTGGCGATGGGCGGTGTGGCGCAAGAGGACGGATTACTCGCGTCATAAGCAGCCACTTTGGATAATGGTGAGAGCGGGTTATCGCCTGGCGTCCAAGTTCCCCTTTCCGGTGGCACGGGAGGTCGGTGTTAGCGCCGCCGAATGGGCCCCGAGTCGGGACCGCGACCACTCCGAAGCAGTGACGTGGCGAGTCCGTGCTGGCTTCGATCACGGCATACACGCCGTTCCGGATTGTGAGGCTGCACTTTACTGAGTACAACGGGAATGGCTACCCAGTATACCGTCAACAACATTTCGCCATGCTGCCCTGGATGACGGGGACGATTGTGTCTCCCATGTTGACCGGCATTCTCAACATACCTATTTGCTCCCGTTTCACCCAGCGGAGCAGTGGGATGAGTTGGGCCTGTAGCTGATTTAAAATGAGAACCCGCTAGGTCGGATTAAACGTTGGTGACAGTCGCCTAAGGCACCGAAACTCAGTCGATTGACCTCGATGTAGCTGGAGTGCTTTCGTCACGGTCGTACCTTCCCCGGTGTTGGTGTTTGGGGCACTCGCCGCAGCGATGCAACCAAAGCGCCCCAGATGTGCTCAGGCTTGGAGCACCGTTTCTGGGACGTTCTTTCCAATTACCTCTAGAGCGTTTGACAGTTCAGCTCGCCTTCGTTTCAGTAGTGGTGGATACGTCCACGGGTGCACCCATCGCATGATACTGCGGCAAGGAGGCACAAGATGTAATCGAAACAAAAACGATCATAAACAGCACTACTAGCCGTTTTAGTCACACCTGGCAGACACAATCGTCCTGTTTCCAAATCCACCTAGCAAACCTACCATCAAGAGCCCTATTATCCTCGACCAAGTCCTCGATATATGCCATCCATCACTCAGAGTTACCACCCCTTCCAAACCTGAACTCCCCCGCCGCCCCATCCCTCTCCGCCCTCTCGCCAGGATCCAAACCCACCTGCTTCTCCTCGGCCTTTCCCTCCTCCCCAAACCGCGACCGTGCCTTGACGCTCAGCGTCATATGTTGCATACCTAATCACCCGCTGCCAATCTCCCTTAGCCACGGCCTCCCTTCCTTTCACTCTCTCCTTATACTCCACCCACGCACGCCCCTTTGCAACCCTTAAACAAGAACCGACGCACTGTACCAACTAATTACCTACTCTTTTGGCCAAACCCAAAGCTACTCAACAGAAAGGCGCTGGGCTTCTCCACCTGCACAGTCTACGTGGCATAACACTGGTAGCATAGTCACCGCGGGCGTCTTGATGGGTCCCGTCGCACCCAGCATCAACATGTGTTCCAGGCCGGTGTCGTAGTGAGGTATGGGTCCTGCAGCGTGTCGGCCCGGATTCCCTGGTCCAGGTAGGCGTCGCGGCAGAGATGGCGCGGCTTGAGGGCGCCGCCCATGGACGAGCCGATGAAGTTGCCCACCTCGGAGAGGTGCATGTTCTAGAACACCTCTATCGGATCCGCAACCCCGGTGTTGTCAAATGCCTCGGCGACACAGCACAGAGTGTATCCCGTAACCGGATCGACTTGTCGAATGTCCAGGGGGGTGCCGTATCGCTCGGGATCTCATCAGTCGGGAAGCAAACCTGCCACCGACCCAGAGGGGAATGGCACAGCTTTGGGAACGGAGACCGTAGCAGAACGTCTGATCCGGACTCGGCAGTTGTCAGTGCCCTCTGCGAGGCAGGTGATGGTGACTCTGTTTTCGTGCCGGAGCGTCATGGCCTCGGCGGTTGCGGGGGACGTGTTGAAAGGGGGTAGATCATCCTCGACCGCAATCTCCTGCAGGACCTGAAAGGGGGTGTTACCGTGGGCCGTTGCTGAATTATAGGAGTCATACAGGTTGAATTACTTGCAGGTCATAGGTCCTTGGGCACTTCTGGTCCTGTGTGTTCAGAGAGATCTTGGTTTCCAATCCCCTGCCCTGGTTCCTGCTATACCGGCACTTCCAATACCTGCCTGACCTACTTCTCTGCCCCTGATGCTAGCAGCTGTCACCCCAACAGTCCCCATGCACAGCATCAGTAGCTGGACCTCTAGAATTGGAAACAAAGGTACCTGACCACAGGTCTTGCTTAGACTGCAGCGAAATTGTCCTCTATTTCCGTCCAGTTGCTAGCTCAATTTGCTGATCCGTCCTTGGGTAGTCAAAGTTACAAGGCGGAGCTTAATAGCCACACGCACAAACTGAAAATGCTGGGTACATTAGCCGCTTCGCCCTTCCTGACTTGTGCGAAGACCAACACCACTGCCGAATAAGTCCAAGGTCGGGGATCAGCACCATCAGTTGGGCAACAACTATGTAAGGCAGCCGAACTGCTACGGCTCTGCATGATGGATTGATTGCCTACTTGATGAGTCCTCGCCTGTTAGGATCTATTTCTTCGACGTTAGTCACGCAACTCCCTTCTATGATTGATCCATGTGCTTTAAACAGCCTGGTTCAACCCCATGGTTCGAGAAGCACCGTCGCAGGGAGGTCAAGCCGAGTTGCATGGCGACCTCTTGATTCTGTTTCCTTACATGGTCGCTGACGCCCGGACGATGATGCGTCAGAATACCATGCACTCGTTTTTGTTTACTTCATATCGCGCGAACATTCTCCAGGATATCGCAACGAACACTGACGAGACGAGGTCACCAAACCTGGCAATTTCGTTAGGCAACGCAGTCCGTGAGCAAAAAGAAGCGTGGGCCAAGGGGCTTGGACAGTGAACTGTCCGCATCGTCGGCCCGAAGCAACTGAGTCTGACTATAGTCCAATATTGGCGCCACATCATTAGCACCATATCACCATCGAGATTCGACGGCCCACATGTAGCATAACACACATGGCATCATGGTCGTTAGCGGAGGCGTGGACGTGAGCGCATCAGATGCAGGTTGACATCAACTGCCTTTGTATCTGGTTCGCTTGAGTTCATGGAATCCTGTCGAGCGCTTCCATAGCTCGCCCGCTACTCGTCCGGGCCCTTATCTGGCTCCCGTTGCTGCCTTGAATGCCCACACGAGGTTGGGTGTCAACGGATGGTGAGCTGAACCGGGCTGTGCTGACCTTCTTCCCAGTCTGAGGGAATTTCTAAATTGCCGGGCTGCGCAAAATACCCCGGCGCGGCGGCAATCACGTCTGTCAAGCGACAGTCTCTCACCTTTCTGTCATTCGTCATTCGCACATCCTCGAACTCGGCATTGCCTCGGCGCTCGGCGGCTAATAACCAATGAGGTACCGAGTCGCTGCTTTAGGCTCAGATATCATGGGGAAGCCTGGGGTACGGGGAAGTCGAAAAGGCAACTACCGCGAATAGATCAGCACAGAACTCGACCGCTTCACCGCATCCCATATATGATACCACCGGCAGTCGGGTATTTCACGGTAGCTTTGACCGGGCACGATCCTCATGGACCATGGCACCTTGATCATCGCCACGAGCATCCAATCCATCCCATTCAGGAATAAGATGGCCGAGTTAGCCCCAGGCTGTCGAGACTGCGTTCCATCGGCCCTGTCCATCCCTTATCTGTCACCACATGCCTTGAAGATAAGCTTTCTTCCAGGAAGGCCAGCCCAAATAAAAATTGTACCCGCAGTGCGTCACCTACTTCGCTTTCCCTACATCACACCACGTGCAGTATTCGAAGGTACCTGTTTCTGTACAAACTCAACTAAGTAGCAGCTTTGTAAGGCTGAATGCCTCCGTCTCAAGGATACCAGGACCAGTATATGCTGCCTTGGTGTTCTCTATGAGCACACACTCATACCCATCTCACCACCCTTGGCGCACCGTCGTTCCGATCTTGAATCCTCTCCTCTCGCCCGATCAATTCAGTGTTGCGGGTCTTGGCCGCTGTCTGACTTGGTTTTGTTGCAGGAGCGCCGCTAGAAAATCTGGTCTCCGGACTCTTCTCCACGTGTTGCCGCGCGGATGTGCAGCGTCCGCTAGAATCCGGGGTTAATTTGGGTAATCGGAGCTTCCATGCGGGATTATCCGGCCGTCGAGGAGGTGGGCCAAGCAAGCACGCCCCTGCCCATGTGACATCAGCGCAGGCTGTACAACAGCGCGGCCTGAGAGAGCACCCAATATGCCCCCAAATTACTTCCTGACGCCCTGATTGGGATGTTGGCCCAGGAGGGAAAGCCCCATGGGGCGGCATTTGCCCTGACGGCTCACTCGCTCCCCCGGCTCCACACAAACGGCACCCGGCAGATCTGTTTGAGATGCATTCTGGAACAGCGAAACACCAGACAGGGGGTGTGGTGTCTGTCTTGTTATCGTTCCTTGGCAGAGAATCGGTACATGACAACGTCGACTCCTGCGCTCTAGGTGAGGCCACTCGGGACCCGCCCTGCGCGGAGCCCAGTTCTGTGGTCTTTAAACATTGGGGGGCCGCCTCGCCGACGCTTCTATTCCCGGATGACTACTTAGGTAGCATCAAGTCCCGGATCTAGCTTACTACTCCTCCGTCTTGGCCATCGCTCGCCATCGGTCGTTGGAAGCGCCCGCTGCGGCTCGAGGCTGGAGCTACGCCGAAGGGATCGCGGAGTGACGGCATCTCACACGCTCTTTCGGGCCGCACGATCCAGCTTCCCAACCACGCCCACCGCGGGTCTCGTCATCGACTTCAGAGTCGTGCCTTGGATCTAGGTGGCCCTCCCGCCTGGTCGTTTCAAGAATTACCTCAGGAAGACGTGTACGGGCTTCGGCTTAAAGCTCATGACTTTGGCACGATCCCACGCGCGACGACCCTTTTCTCAAGATGCAGTCCACGCAACCCCATTTCAACGACCCTTCCTTTGCCAACTTCCTCATCACAGGAACGGCGGATTCGATGTCGGGTACACCAAAGTGGTCCCATCATGAACAAGCCCCCTTAGGGGAGGCGGTCACGGTCACGTCGGCAGCATTAGACGACGCGGAGAAGGGACTTTACGACGCTACAGCCGATACATGTGCAATCCCATCACCACCCGCCGTCTACCTGGACGAGAAGAAGCCCTCTTCCGCCGCCGATGCTACCGTAGTACCGCCACCACGCGCCCCTCCCGCAGCGGTCAAGAAGCCCCAGAGGCCAAAGACGAGCAGATGGATCGCCTTCCAACTGTGGTTCAACACATACCGGAAGTTCTTCACGTTTGTCACCCTGCTCAACCTCACCGGGATCATCCTCGCCGCAGTCGGTCGTTTCCCCTACGCGGAGAACCACCTTGGCGCTTTGGTGCTTGGCAACCTTCTCTGCGCGGTTCTGTTCCGCAATGAATTGTTTCTGAGGTTTCTCTACCTCATCTCCATCTACGGGCTTCGAAGCGTATGTCCTCTCTTTTTCTTCGCTGTGTTTTCATAGGACACGCTCGGCAGCTAATCGTTTTCTTCTCCGAGACTGCAGTGGGCACCGGTGAGCATCAAGTTGGCAGTGACCTCAATCCTACAACATGTGGGAGGCATCCACTCTGGAACCGCTCTCTCTGGCGCTGCGTAAGTCGACATACTCCGGCTTAGAAATTGGACCCCCTTGCTAGGACAAAGCTGATGGATTCAATCAAAGGTGGCTTGTTTACAAGGTCGTCGATATCATCATCTACCGCCAAAAGCAGCACCCGTCCGTGATTGCAGCCGGTATTATCACCAACGTGGCGGTCATCATCTCAGTGCTGAGCGCTTTCCCATGGGTCCGCAAGTCAGTGGTTCCGGCCTTTTCTGGTGGGCGTTGGCTTGAGTCTGACGGTTCCTGCAGCAACTACCACAATACGTTCGAGCGTCACCACCGCTTTATTGGCTGGCTAGGGCTTGCGGTAGGTGCACGAATCGTTGTTTGCAATGTGCCATATGGGTGCTGATACACCGGCGCAGGCGACTTGGGTCTTCGTCATCTTAGGAAACTCCTACGACATCAAGCGAGGCGAATGGAGGGCCGACGCCAACTCTCTGCTCAACGTGCAGGAGCTGTGGTTTGCTGTGTTCATGACGATATTGTACGCAGTCTTCTGTGTGCCACTTGACACAGTGCTAACGTGTATCCCTAGTATCCTCATTCCCTGGCTGACTCTCCGGGAGGTGCCCGTGGAAGTTGAGATTGTGCGCTTCCCCTACCAACCGAAAATTGCTCGCCATTAACTGACGAAACAACTGTAGCCGTCGCCCAAAGTGGCAATTCTCAAGTTCGACCGTGGCATGCAGCAGGGCCTGCTCGGGCGAATCAGCCGGACGTCCATCATGGAGTACCATGCCTTCGGAATCATCAGCGAGGGCCGCAGGTCCGGGTGCCACTACATGATTTGCGGCGTGCAGGGCGATTTTACCAGGGACCTGGTTGCCAACCCGCCCAAGACGGTATGGACCAGGGAGCTGAAATTCGGTACGTTCCATTTTTTTTCCGCTTCTGTGTGTGTGCCGGGGTTTCCTGAAGTGGGAAGAGAAACTGACACGGGATATTCAGCCGGTGTCGGGCACGCATCCGCCATGTTTAAGCGAGGGATTCGCATCTGCACCGGAACCGGTATCGGGGCGGCGCTGTCCACTTGCATACAGAGTCCAAACTGGTAAGTGGCACCTTCCAGAAAGTCCAAACGGCTTGGAGATATGCCAACTAATGGTTTGACTCCAGGTTTCTGATTTGGATCGGATCCGACCAAGAGAAGACATTCGGACCGACAATCACGGGTCTCATCTACAACAACATCCCGCCGGAGCGCATGATCCTCTGGGACTCGAAGAAGCGAGGAGGACGGCCGAACACGGTGCAGCTTCTCAAGGAGGTGTGGGACAGCTTCGGAGCCGAAGTTATCTTCATCACCTCCAACAAGCAGGGCAACGATGAGATGATGCAGGGTTGTCTCGAAGGTATGTTGTGACGCAACAAACCCCTTCCCAGGCCTCCTCCCCTCAATTCACTGTTCTAGTACTGCGGTATGTATGCTGACGTCGACACTTTTCTCCAGCCGGGATGCATGCGTTTGGAACCCTTTGGGACTTCTGAACCCACCTGTGATACGTGTCTCGAATTGCGTCAATAATGGGTGCGGTGCGGCTCCTGCGGCGGAGGCAGTGGCTGCGACAACCCGTTTGTGGCACGTTGCCCCCACACTTTTTCCTCAACGTCACATCGGAGCATATCATGGCATGGGGGTGACAGGTGTTTGGTAGCATTGGATCTGTAGAGTTGTATAAACTGTTCCCGCAAAAGGAGATGTCAAAGGAGGATGTATATATTCAGATTCGGAGCTCTAGAAAGCCTGTTAGCCGCGGGCGAAGGACAATGTCTTGCGTTACTTAGATCGTGAAGATGCCCGAGTGATTGAATGCCGTGAGCTCAGCTAGTTCAAGTAAAGTGGAGGTCTCATAAAAAAATAAGCTTAAGTCGGTTTATCGGGAATCGTCCGGTGCGTGTTTCCCGTCGCCAAGCGATGACAACACTGTACTGTTCAGTACATCCTGGGCATCCAACCATCCGGACTCAGAAGCAGCACGATGGACTATGCACCCTAGTGCACATTCTGGCCTGATCACAAACTCGATGAGATCATGGCCGGACCCTTGGGTCAAAGGCGAGGCTCTTCCGCAATGTCGTGGAACAACGGCGCGGGATGGCACGCCAAGGAAGGAACCAGACCAAACGATGCAACTTCAGATGCGGCTGATTCTGTCCTGTCCCTTGATCAAACGGGCCTTTTCCAGCACCAAAAAACCGGTGATGCTCCGCGACCGCGGCATGTTGGCCCGAAATTCCGAACACTTCACACAACGGCGTCTTCCGGAGCCCTTACCCAGTCTCGAGCCAGTGAAACGTCAAATCCGGGTTTGGGAAGCTCTTGGCATTTGCAGATTGCGACGTCCATTGAAGTGGCAGCGGACTAGGCTGTTTCCATAGAATTTGACCTCGGTCACTCATCTCCTCTTGTGGGAAGCCGCCCATCGCGCGATTAGCGATGCATGTATCTACGGGCCGTACAAGGTTCTGAAGCTCATGTCGAATTAGCACGGGACTTGACTAAGCCACGCAGTTGATTTGAGCTAGAACCTAGGCGCCTCCGGAACCTCGAGCACTGAAACAGAATCTGCTGCATGATTTCACGAGGTCACCAGCAAACACACACTCTTCAAGGCCTTCGGGCAGCCAGGTAAGTGCAATAGATGGAAGGGCAAGAAGGACTAGGGTTTTGTTGGAGCACAATGGTTCAATTGAACACGAACCCACACATAAAGCCCAATGCACAATCACTTACCTTACAGGTGAAGAACCATCGGGCCTTAGAAACGACAGGTACCTTAGGTAAGGTAAGGAGCCGAACCCAAAGAAAGGCTGCGCTGATGCCATGAACCCCACGTTGCCGATCGGATCTGGCCGGCCATGTCATTGTGATCCAACCAATCAAATCATCGCCATGCCCAAAGAAGGCAAGTGGGACGTGCCCGGGTAAGGGCACAACCTGCGCTTGGATCCTAACCCTGCTGCATCACGGTTCATTTCACCGACTTATAGTTTCGCATTCGAGCTGATTCCGACCTGGATGCGTACTTGTTCAGGTGTGGATGGGTTGGACGCTGATGAAACTATGGCGTAGTCACATATAACCTGGTCAAACTCGAAGAATGGCACATCACTAACTCCGACGCATGTGCCTCCTATCATCTATGAGTCCATGACCCCGGCCGAGGAACCCCCCATCAGAGCAGTAGATCAGACAGTAAACTGTTACTGACATTATCTGTGCGGATTTGTAACAGGATATACTGGTGTGATGCCTATCAACCCACATCATGATGCCTAGAGCCATTATCGAATACAGCATGACGTAAAAGTAGCTGCGTGTTTCTGGTTAAGAGGATGGATCTTTGACAGAGTTTGCTGCTTCTGACCAGTTATTCACAAAAGCAGAGCACTTTCATCAGATTGCTTTTGAAGACCCCCCGAGTTACTGCAGCGGGAGAGAGGGAAAGACGGACAGAGATTCACCAGAATGGTGTGCTATTGTCAGTTGGGAATGCGGTGCAAGGGTGGCTGGGGATATATCGAAACAAAGACCGAGGTTCATGCAGGAAGAGGACTTCCGTTGTGGTGGGGTTTCTGAACTGCCATTTGGTCAAGTAGGCAGGTAATCATCAACTCATTGGTTATGTGATCGGCTATCGGTGCTGAGACGTGTTACCCGCATCAGGTCGCTAGCATGCGGAGCATCCGCAGGCTGAAGCTCAACTTGAACTAGGGCATCGCCAGGTTCTTCCAGAAGCTTCCATGGGTACTGGAATAGGGCAGTTTAGGTTTCAATTCACATTGGGCAGGAGTCATATTACCTGATCATGATAACGTTATACTGCGAGAACTCAACCACATCCCGGAATCGCCATTCATAACTTGCGCCTGCAGTACCGTCTATCTCCCGTCGAAGAAATTGCTTCCTCATTCCAGGGCATATAATATGAAGAAGAGGAAAGCCCAGTGCAGTCATAGATGACAGTGAAGACATCATCCCGCAGAAATCCTCTGAGATGGCCATGCCCATTGCGCCTTAGTCCTCACCATAGCAAACGCAACACGGCCTAAGAGAACGCCAAAAAGAAAGCCCACTATGCCCGGAAAACTCCTTCCTTTCCCAAGTTGTCTAAAGGAACCTCCAATACGCCTCACAGCCGCTGAGCCTGTTCCGGCCAAGGTATTCCGGCCTCGTCAATGAATAGAATGCCGTCTTTTCATTGTAGCCTCGTGTCAAAGGAAGGCCCTGCCCACTCTTGTCCTTGTTATAGAAGATCTTGGGCAGGATGACCTTGATCTCCGTTGTCTTGGCCAGTTCCTCCAGTGGCTTCATGATGCTTGTGAACCGTGTGGTGAACGACAGCATGATGTTTGGGAAAAAGGTGATTTCGAGAGATCTGAGGCTCGGCATGCGCTTGAAAAGAGCCACATGATCGCGGTCAATTCCTCGAAAGTACTTCCCCTCGATCAGCTCCTTGCAGTGCTCGGTCCCATCTGGCAGCATATGGGCAATGAATGTGATGAACTGGATAGAGGGAATAGTGTCGGGGCTGATCCAGTCGAGGAATGCGCCCAGCTCGCGAAAGGTCGCGAAGTGGAAGTTGATTGATGCGTACATGAAGTGTGAAATCTCTTGATACCTGCGATACTGGGTTAGCCTTCTGCTCGAGACAATATATGCTGCGCTGTGTGATACGTACGCGAATTTGTTAGTTTTCATCAACGCGTTCAGATCGCCGAGTCGGAAGCCGACCGATGGAGCCTCGACTCTGAATGCCCACCCAGCCCTCTGGCATTCGTAGTGACCGCAGACGTAGTATCCATCCGAGTCGGTGAACTTCTCGCTCAAAAGATATCGAGGTTGTAACTCCCTCGGCATCCTCCTCCGAGACACCGATGGACAAAAGATGTGCTGCCGGGTGCCAGCATCGTCTAGAATGAGGCGGTAGATTTTGTGTCGTATGTCATACGGCAGACGGAAGAGCTGAGGGAGACTATCCAGTGCGGCGGGATCCAGCTCAATTCTGCAGCGGTCGGTGACTGCCTGATTTCTTGTGAGGTTGGCTTGCCAGGTGATATCGCCGGAAGCAGGCTGGTGCGGAATGCCTGGTGTGGATGACCGACCAGCGCGCCGTCGCCGGCGAACATGGTGACTACCGGTGATTTTGCTCATCAGTCCTGGAAACCACGAAAGAGCAGGCATTGCAGGTCCAGGCAGCACTGAGCCAGATTCAAGATCCAACTTGAGCTTGAGCCTGGAGTGGGACTGTGGGAGTCGCACTGTCGCAGACAAGTCACAAGTTGCAAGTTGGAAGACAAATTTGGTGGAGGGTTGAAAAGCGGAGGTTGGGTCGGTTGATTTATCACAAAAAAACCGACTGCTGCAGTCATTGGCAATGAGGCTATGGCGCCACGTTGTGGTTGTCATGTGCTGTTCCTGCCTAACCTCGATTGCCCGGTCTTGGCAAGGGTCGCGAACTCATGGACAGGAAGTGGCAGGCGCGACTGACAGCACCCTAACCCTGAGTTTCCAAGAGTCCAATTGCTGCCACTGCCTGGCAAGGATCAGCAACCTGTCATCGATCTAATACATTTGTCTCAGAGGAGCCTTGTTCGTCGATTATCTATCTTGTTCCTGACAAGCATGAACATAGAGAAAGGACTCAGGTTGTAACAGAATGACAGCGATGAGTTTGAGCGGCTTGTGATGTCCGGTTCACACCCGCCAGTCCGCTGGAACTGGAGAGACTACAGACTTTACATCGTATATACTACATTGTCCTTTAACCGAATCATGATACGTGATGCGCCGTTGCTGCGCTATGTGCCTAAGGTTTGATTTACAGGGCCCTCACAGCGTGGAGCAGGACCAGAGGAGGAGCCAATATACGGAGTACTCCATTCTCTTGCCCACCTAGTCCAACCCAAAAAGACACTACGATCGATTCTGTCGCATGCCCATGCCGTCAGAATCTGTTCCCAAGTCAGGCGGTGCCCCTAGAGACGAGTATGCGATGTCTCTGGCCACGACTGAGATTTGCTCTCATCATGCCAGACCAAGCAACCACATGTGGCGGGTGAGAAGCACGCAGCACAGAGCCATGTGTGTGATGTGAGCTGCAGAGAGGAGAGGCCGGATACATAGGTACATAGTGGGCCTGAAAACGCCCGGGCCACACAGGGCGGCTCGCAACACCGGGCACAAAGCGCGTTCTTGTCGCGATGGACCGTGCGTAGTCACGTGAAGATAACTAAACACCGACTTTGAACTTTGAACAGAGTGAACGATTTGTGCTGGAGGCCAGACCCCTGCCATTTAGCGGCTAGTCCCGCTTTCTGCAGACATCCGTAATTCTACCGGATCGCCAGCGACAGTCACAGCTGAAATCAACCGAAGTGAAGCCGTGAACGAGTAGGTGACGAATTTCCTAGCGAGGATGTCGTCCAGTTATCCTCCGCCGCCGTCGTCGACCCCCGACAATGCTGAGCCGACGGTAGAGACCGCGCAACAAGGCGCGGATAGCGGCAGCCAACATGCACAGATACATCCGGCATTCAATGCGGATATTTCTGCTGCCGCGGCAATTGCAACCGCGCATCATGGCCTGCAGGCGCTGCAGGCGGCTGTCGCGGTGCCCGGTTCGGTGTCGTCGCAGAGCTCGGTGGCAAACCAACATGCGCCCGTCGTCGATGGCTCGTATTTGGGAGGTGTGCCTGCAGTGGCCGCCGAAGTGCGAGCCCCTCCGAATGGCAACCCAAAGGCGACCCGGCTGCGCCGAGCCTGCGACATGTGCAGCCAGCGGAAGGTCAAGGTGCGCCTTCCTCCCTCCTCTGCGTTTGTCTGACACAGATGAACTAAATTCCATCTCTGCGCAGTGCGACGAGTCGCAACCCTGCCGGCCGTGTACGGAACTGGGAGTTGACTGCACGTTCAACCGCACAATGAAGCGGCGCGGCCCTCCGAACAAACACGTCGAGGCCGCAAAGGCGGCCAAGCAACCGCGACTCGAGCCAAACATCAGTCCTGGACCGCACAATGCCGCCGAGACGCTCATCTCGATCGCCGGCAGCCAAGAGGCGCAACAAGTTCTCGATGCCGAGTCGATTGCGCCGTGGCCGGTTCTGACGCTGCTCATCGACGACTTCTTTACCTACATTCACCCCCTCACTCCCTTCCCGCATGAACCGACTTTCAGGATGTCCTTCACGGCCAGAGAGGATCGGACAAACAGAGGATTCCTCGCGCTCCTGGCAAGCATGATCGGTTGCCTGGTCGCTTCCTTTCCCAGGACGGCCCGGCTACACCTCAAGGCGCAGCAACACGGTATGCACATGTACCCGAAAGCGATCACTCTGATCGACAGGTGCCGGAGCATCGCCCTTGAAGCGCGCGGCCCGGCCTTCTATAGCAGGGAAGATGTCAATGTCTACGATGCAGCGACGAGCTACTTCCTCGGGCTGGCCGCAGCATACACCATGCAGTGGAAATTGAGTCGACGATTCATGGCCGAGTCCATGACCTTCATTCGGGAGCTAGGTTACCATAAACCTCGGGACATGGGATCATCCATGTTTGGCGTCACCTATCGCGGACCGCCGTTCAATCACGTCGAGGATCAACTCGGCAAGCGCATCTTCTGGTGCTTGTTTCTTGGCCTTCGGTATGGTACCACGTTCTTGCAGACATTTGCTCTCGCTAACCATTTCCAGCTCCATGTACCAGCTTGGCTCGCACCAGGGCGATATCGTTCTTCCTCCGCCGACTCCTAGTGAGCCATACCCGGAGTTGCCCGTGGAGGTGGATGACCAGTACATTCTGACCCACCAGATCCTGGGCCAACCTGAAGGTGTCGTCTCACTCCTGACGGGGTTCAACCAGGGCATCAAAATCTACATGACCATGAACGGCATTATGAGCGTCGAGGTATCTTATGGCATTTCTACGTTGCCGTTTCACGACCAGAAGACTATGCTCGATGAGTCCTTGCAAGCCGTGAAACAAGTCATGGACGGCCTGCCGCGGGAGTTAATTATCGACTTGCACGCTAAGTCCGGCAGCAACCAAATCCATGGAGTGTCCAACCTGCTCCCAACCAGCCATATGACTAGCGTCTTCGACGACGCCAACAGCGGTTTACATTACTGTCCGCTCCCCTATGCCGCCCTGCAGCAGGCGAACCCGGACTTCCGGCACACCGTCAGTGCCCATCCCGAACGCCGGCGTCTGCTTCAATATGAGATTCAGAAGGCCAACATGTACGCGTCCCAACTCGCCACGCGTTCCTACTACGTCGAGCGCTACCTCAACCTGCGCGACGCCCACCGCGAGCACGCTCGCGTGCAGGCTGCGCAGGCTTCGTTCGCCGCCGCAGCACAACAGCAGCAGCAGCAGGACAACGACGTGGAGGATGCGACCGCCAGCGTCGGAGACGCAGCCGCGGGGACCCAGTCCGTCGCCGCCGCCGCCTTGCACGCAGCAGCCGAGCAGACCGATCCTATTGATGACACCATGACGACCGAGCGCGAGCTGATTGTCCAGCACCTGCTGACGGTGCTGACCTCCATCTCACAGCGCAGCATGGAGCCCAACGGGGCGTCGCTGATCAACAAGATCCGGCAGGTCGCCAGCACCCTGGTGAACGATGCGCCAGAACGGAAGGGCCCCGTCGCGGTCAAGGCGCAGGAATCACTGAGCAAGTTTGTCGAGATCCTCATGCGGCTGGAGCGAATTCCGCCTTCTGGAGTTAGCGATGGAGGCGTCGCTGCCCCCGGGGACGATGAAGAGATGGAGTTGCGGAACTGGGCGGATCTGAGGGAGCACCAGGTTAGGTTCCTGCAGGGCGGTGGCTTTGTTGGCTTACCCTGATGCGTGTTTCCGTTTCCGTCTCATGTTATAAGTGTAAATTTATGTACTACGATACATGTAGCAGGGGGTATAGCGTCTTTTCCGGAATGGCTAGGCGTACAGCACTACGCGTTTGCTTCGGCATGGGTAGGCGTTTGGTGTGAGGAAAGGAGGCTTGCTGAGAGCATCGGGAATGTCCTGGCGGCGGTGTGGATTAATGGGTTGAACAGCATACTCCTGATACTGGGCGTTTGTCAAGCTGGTGGCTCTACGGGCATGACTCGGGGTTCTTCGGGCACGAAGTTGGCGATATGCTTCAATAATGCTTGGGGCTTCAATAATGCTTGGGCGTCTGGATGGCCGCAGGGATAAGGTTTGAGATACTACGGAGGTTCTTTGCCATATGTCCCGATAGGCACGAATACTTACCTACCTACTAAGCTAGATAGATACTTAATCGAGTTGTTCTGATCTTATTGTAGGTGGAGCTTGTCACACGGGTGCCATCACTTCAATGTGGCCCTTTGATCCACGGCCGGCCACTGCATTTGTTGCCGCTGAGCACCCAGTCCAAATTCCCGACTTTGGAGCGGTTGCAGGCTAAAGCAGACCGGCGGAAACCACTCAAGCTGCGGAATCTTTTCGGACACAAATTCTACCCGCCCTTCTGGGTGTGTTTTGGTGCGTTTTTGCACCCGTTTTCAGCATCGTGATATCCTCTTTCTTCGAGTAAGAGCGACTGACAAGCACACGATGCGCGTAGATCAACCGACTTCCTCGATTCCTCTCTTTCCCTCAACTCACAACCCAACAGCGAGCCATTATCTCTTGCCGCGAAACCGCTTACCAGGTCTAACCGAACAAAATGGCGTCGGACTCCGAGGTGGAGGAGCGGTACGAATCGTATTTGAGCGAATTGCCCGCGGAGGAACGATGGTACTTGGAGAACGTAGCCATGAGGCACAATGTTTCAACCCTCCCCAAGTTGAAGAACAGGAAGGACCTACCTCGATGGAAGGGAGCCATACAAGCCGAGATCAACTCGACCAACATCAAAGGCGTCATGGACGGAACAGAGAAGCCGTCCCAGGCAGAAGCGGACGAGGGACTTAAGAGGGCGTACAGGATTCGACGCATGAAGGCAATGCTCATGATTCTCGCCTCCCTCGATGAAAATGTGCTCTCGAAGATGGAAAGCCGGGGATACCGCGACAACTTCCGAGATCCCGACCCCAAGAGGCTGTTCGAATTCGCATGCATGACCTTTGAGAAAATTGGCGACAAATCGAAATCGGGTTCTGGGAGCACAAGGATCACCCCTCGCGGCTCGGTCATCAAGCCGTCTTCGAAGCCCGGATCTGCGCGTGCCAGAAGAGCCAGGATTGCATCGACATCGAAATGATGGCATTACCTCGACCTCGAGTCAGTATAAGAAGGGAGAGTACATGAGCGAAGGAAAGTGGAATGGAGAAGGGGTGGAAATCACGTCACACTCGGAGGGTGTGGGAATGGTTAATACACCATCGAAAACCACCTAGTTTGCTATTCAACATTTAGCAGATCGGTTCCCAGCCGCCAACCCTTTGAAACATGACGTCTGCAAAGGAGTGAATGCCTACATCCTAGGTGATTCACAAGAAAGCACGAACTTGTTGCACGCAGCTGTGAACATGTCCCTTTCTACTAGCCCTTTGTGATGCATCGGTTCCTTTTCCACCGAGAACCCGAGACCCTACAACTCCTATTGCCTCCTAGACATCGGCCCACCGAACCAATACGACAACGGCCCTAAACTACCTTCCTAACCAAGAAATAGAAACTTAAACTGGCTTAGATATCCGGCTCGAACTATGTAGATGCCCCTGAGTCTAGACATACTACCAGGGCATTGCACCTTGGAATGGGCGTGGTGTCATGTTGACGAACCATTTTATCCTGGATTCTTCGGTCCCAGACTCCCACTCCATTAAAAGGCAACTCAGAGAACGCGACTGCGAGCATCAGATCCGCGGCACTCTCGCTTGCTGAGTTTTTGCTCGGAGTATCGTGATCCTCACCGACACCGACTCAACGCGCACTGGCATCTTCCGGTTCTACTGTTTGGATCGTCAGGGCGCATCGGAGCCTCGCATCCAATCCCACCAACGATGATCAGTTTCGGCGCCAAGATGTCGCATGTTTTCATGCATACATACGCGTATCCTCGCATTGTTCTGGAAGCGAAGAGTCAAGCGAAGAAGGCCCACAAGGGTTGGATCGTTAGCTGGCTTGGCCGAACAACATCGGGCTTAGGAGATTCTCCGGCGGGGCGGTAGCGAACGCACTCGCCGGACGAGAAGGTCGGACTGCAGCATGCGATGACGCTCCGTTGAGAACTGGAGATCCGTAGAATCGCCGACTACCGGACTCCAACCGGATGGCTCTCACTGCAAAAGATCAGATGACAAAGTAAACAAACAACCTCAGTGAGCTCAAGGTCGCTTGAGCTCCCATGGCATCAACTTACCAATCGCTCGAAATATTCCGACAGAGTTCGGATGAACTTCTACCGCTAGCGTGATGTAGTCTAATGATCCGCTGCGACGACCCCTAGCTAGTGGATCGGTAGTTGGGATGTGAAACCGCTGGGGCGGGCGTTGTCCTCGTTCAGGGAGGATGGCCGTTGCCAAGATCATGGATCTCGACGTGGACAATACGATCACGAAAACCTTAATGGGGAGGTCCACAGACGTGGTGATTCCGGTGAAGGCGTATAAGAGGGCTGTTAAGACTCCTAAGAGTTGCTTCGGGACTAAACAACCCCAACTTCATCATACAACTCGGTCTAGACCACACACTTCCACCCAGACATAGACAAAATGCAACCCCCCGTCCTCGCCGTCCTTCTCTCCGCTGGCCTCGCGTCGGCCGCGGCCACCAACACCAACCTGCAGACCAAGTTCCCCACGGCCACCAGCACCACCGGTCTGCCCGCCGTCAAGACCATCGCCGCCGGCCAGAAATTCGATGGTCAGATGCTCCAGTGGGACCGCAGCCCGTCGACGTGCAAGCAACAGACAGAGACCGGCGACAAGGACGCCGTCTTCATCCTCGAGGATGGCGCCACCCTGAGCAACGTCATCATCGGCCCCAACAACGGCGAGGGCATCCACTGCAAGGGCACCTGCACCCTGAACAACGTGTAAGTCTAGATAGACCCCCAGTGGGGTGTCGCCGGGATATTCCACCATCAATGGATGCTGACGCCAGACTCCGACAGCTGGTGGACGGACGTGTGCGAGGACGCGGCCACGTTCCTGCAAAAGTCCGGCACGTCGTACGTCAACGGCGGCGGCGCGCGCGGCGCGTCGGACAAGGTGCTGCAGCACAACGGCGGCGGCACGGTGCACGTCAAGAACTTCCTGGCCAGCAACATCGGCAAGCTGTACCGCTCGTGCGGCAACTGCAAGACGCAGTACAAGCGCGCGTCCACCTTCACCAACATCCGCGTCACCGACAAGTCGTCCGTCGTCGCCGGGGTCAACGCCAACTACGGCGACACCACCACCATCAAGGACTCGTGCGTCCTCAAGGGCGCCATCTGCAACGTCTTCCAGGGCAACAGCAACGGCAAGGAGCCCAAGAAGATCGCCAGCACCCCGACCGGCACTGCCTGCGTCGCGCAAGCTGTCAAGACTTCGGGTTGCTAAGGAGGGATTCGTGGTTTTGGTGATGAGGGGATGCGGTGAGTGCTCGAAGCACTTGAGGTTGGGGTGCTCGGTTCCATTCTTCACTACCTGTGACATATTTACTTAGTACATATTTTGGTCTGTATACTGTACATAAACTTCGTACTACTATACCAGTGATCCCTGGAACTCGCTACAACACTATCAGCCCTTGACTACAGTACCATGGTTTTTGTCTGGCGAAACAGTAAGACCTCGTCGTGGAGTTGCCTTACCGGTTTCTTCTTCGACAGGCTCCTTCGGATACTATTATGGAAGCTTTCAGGCCGAATGCAGAGGTCTCCACGACCCCGTAATTGATCATCCTATGGCGATGGTCTGAGGCCTGGCATTATAGTAACACATTCGTCATTTGTCAGGATAATCTCCCATTGTCTCGCCGTATTGCTCGACATTCTGGTTGGATTCCCCTTTGAACCCCTCACCCGTCTTTCAACCAGTTGCATCCTCCTTCATCATTTCCTTCCCTGCGATGTAAAATCCAATTTACTCATTACTTTCCAGTAGTTGCTGGTCGTTTGCCGCCCCCCCGGGTGTCCCGGGATCGTCACTCCGCCATATGAAGCCCAAATACACCCCATAGGAGATGTCTCCATCGTGGCTCCTATTGTAGAGGTTAACGAGTAGAGACCCGGACGCGAACTCCAGTCGACTCTCACAGACCGGGCCAGTTTCATTCGGCAATTCCACCCATAGACTGCTGAGGTCCTTCGTTGCGAATCTTTCCGCCTCGGACTCACTGACAACATCGCTCCACCTGCCAATGCCAACACGACAATCCATCCAATAGTGACGACCGTTCTGCTCTGCCACGGATATGAAGGCCCCAGGAAACATATCAGTTGCCTGAAGGTGAAGACACCAGCGATTTCCCATCCGATTCACCTTGTTCACCGTGTTGAAATAATAAGCATACTGACGGATTCCGAGCCTCGGCGTCAGCCACGTCCAAAGGTGCTCTGGGCCGGCTCTGAACCCGATGGGACTCAGATGGACCCCGCTGCGACGCAGCTCCGAGTCTAGTAGCGTCTTCATATAACAAGTTCTGAGCACCCAGGACTTATTGCGGTCGAGCTCCTCTGAGGGAAGGCGATACAGAAAGCACTGAAGCCTGGCATACTCTGGCACCTTAAGAGGCTTGGACTTGGCGGCAATATGCGTAAAGCTGTGTATGTCGAGCAACAGAATACAAGGCAAAGGCCGCGTAAAATGTAGGCCGCTACTGCATGGAAATGCCCCAAGATGCAGAGGACGTGCAAGTCCACCACCGCCGGGTCGCAGCCATTCCGCAAAGGCGTCGAACTTTTGCGCCTTGAGCCAACTGAAGAACAGATCTAGCGTCCGAGAAACTTCATTGTTCCCATGAATGTCTTCATCGGTGACCGCCCTGACGAAGAGGGAAAGACGGAGTCCACGGCTTGTGAGCTGCGGCGGTTCTCCCATGCCCAGCATGGGATCGACGCTGGACCACCATCGCCAGGGTGAAAAGCGAAACTCGCGAGGTGACCCCGCCAGACTGCTTCCGATAGGAAACCACCAGCTGGCCGGGAGAGTGACTCGTAGATCGCGATCGGTTATGGTCTTATGGGTATATGGGGGCCTATTAGGCAACCAGTCCGGATAGACACCCCACAGAAAAAGACTATGATCCTCATTGGCGGCGATGACCTGTTCCTGCAACCGTAGGAAGGCTTTGGTCAAACCCTCGCCATAAAGCAACGGCATGTTGACGTCCAATAGCCCAAGCAGACAGTATGCCATGTCCTCTTCCCGGGTGGTTTGTCGCGCAGCAGCCCAAGATATTCTCTCTGCTACGCAGATGGAAGCGAGAGGTGCTGACTGGTTCAGGATCCGCAATGGTATGCCATACTTGACGGAGATGGCGACTTTGCAGGCACGCTTAGATGTGAGATGTTCCCAGCGCCCGTTGTAGAATTCCACATCTCGTGGGGCAATGAGCTCCTGCAAAGTCCAACCGCGTTGCCACCAGCGTGATTGGAGGAATGCGGGGTTAAGGTGGCGCAAGTTGTCGGGCATTCCCTGCGTCTTGTACGTCACGGCAGGAGTCCACCCCTCCGTGATGTCGCTGAGAAAGGCGTAGCACCTCTGGGCGCGCTCGTACCACCTGAACATGGAGTTGATAGATTCCGAAAGCTCAGCACTGGATGTCTTGTCGATGCAGCAGGTGTCGACCCAGACCCAATCAAATCCGTCGCTGGAGGCCCGTCGGCAGAACTGTTCGATTTTGGCAAACCCTGCCTTCTTGCGTGCTGTGTCTAGGTCGGCCATATCCTGGAAGGTCACCTCTTCATCCCCCCACGTGTGGGATAGAATCGCGTACGGCGGAGGGCGGGGACCGAAGTCCCTTAGCTCGAGCGTGCTGCTGTTGATCAATCGCATTTCGTCGTTACCTCTCTGGTTAGACTGAGTTGAAGATGCTCTTACCGCAATCTACCTTGGTTCGTTCATACTCATAAGGTATTACCTATTACCTACGATACCAAGGCAGACATGAGAAAGAGGGGAAGTTGGGGCTGTGCTAAAATGCCGTGCAGCAAGCCCCAAGTCAGCCTTCGGCCTTCCGCTGCGTTTTAAGAACCGATTGGCCCGTCGTTGGTGAATCTGCAGCAGGCCGGGGTCCCACATCATGTGTGCCCGACTGGGCAACCGGCAGTTTACGCTACTGGTAGTGGTGACGAGAGGAAGGTGCAACCTGGCGAATGGCATCGATCTGGCTGGCCTCAGAACCTGGACCTGCCATTCGTCCGACCACAGATCTAACCACACTTTGACCGACTCCGTTCAGCGGCCCTGGAGGCATAGATAGAGCTCCCACCTTGTGATACCAATGACAATAACGTGAAACTCTAACAGGGGTCCTGGTGAACTGCTAGATGAGTCGGCTGCTGACTATGTTGGACTGGCAGTCAAACGACTCTCCACATTGACGTGCAGCTGTTCGGCGCGTGGTGTTCAATAGCTTTCAGCTCACGTTTTGCCGACACTTACAAGACTATTCCTACGGATCCGCCGCAAGGGAGCTAGAGACCTCGACGCAATGGCTGCTACCGCCTACCTTAATTGCTTCCTAAGGCAGGCGAACGGGCAGCTGCAGTTGCTGCGCATGGCGCTGCCCTCCCCGGCTGGGGACTCTAAGACTGTTGGTTGGTGGAAGCTGGGCCGCTGGGGTGTCCCGGTGCTAGCGGGCGGAGACGGGGTCGAGGTCGAGTTTGCTCCGCCGGTCCCGGTCGCGATCGGTGAGGAGCTGGTAGCGTTTGGCGGCGCGCGGGTGCTCCCAAGCCCGGCGTTGCAAAGCCTGAAGAACGACTCGCTGGAGGTGTAGGAGGAAGTTTTGCATCAGTGGTTAGCAGCTAAGGGGTGATGGTGATATGACATTCTTGCTGTCTGTGTTCTGATCTCGTTGTCTCCCCAGTGGGCAGATTCTGACGCTTAACAGGGTGTTGAATCTGTTGAAAGTTTTTTACTGATAGCAGTCAAGCCGCTTGGATAGTGCTGTGGTATTGAAAGCACAACTTTTATCTGCCAGAAATAGTTGAGTAGCCAGTGTTACGTTTGTTCCCCGACTCCTGAACCTGCTACCTTCCTGTCTTAGTCCTGCGCTACGTTGAGACTAGTACCGTTCAGAAGCATTGTTATCCCACGATTGCACAAATATCGTACATGAGGCGTCGCCAGGCCAATTCCGCTACAAACCCTCAGCTTGCACCACGATCGGCAACTTGAACGCCCTCATCCCGGCATTGTCGGACCTGGGCAACTGCCCAGCGCGGATATTGACCTGCAAGCTTTCATGCAGAAGCCTCGGGGCCGAGAGCTGGCTATCCCTTTCGTTTCTCCTCTCCACAAACTCTTGCTCACTGACTCCGTCGCGGACGAGCTTATTCCTCGCCCTGTGTTCCGCCACACTTGTCCACGATTCGGCCTCTCTCTCCCCCTCTCCAGGGTAATCATGCCCCGTCCAGATCCTGACATGGCCCGGCAGAGCCAGCAGCTTCCTCGCAGATCGATACAAAGCCTGTGCGCTGCCACCGGGGAAGTCGCACCGTGCGGTACCGAGCGTGGGATGAAACAGCGAATCGCCGCAGAAGACATTATCTAAATGGAGTTTTGTTAATACCAACTCCGCCACCGGCGCAGAACAAAATTCTGATCTCACCTCCGATCCGATACCCCATATGATCCGGCGTGTGGCCCGGCAGATGCATCGCCGTCGCCTCCATGCGCCCAATCTCAAAGACCTCGTCATCCTCAAACAGCACGTCAAACACCCCGTCGTACTCCTCACTGGCAACCTCATACCGCTGGCCAAAGAGACTCTGCACCCGCCCAATCCTCTTCCCAATCCCCACCACGGGCCTCTTCCCGTCCTGAGCAGCCGCAAGCCGCTTCTGCAGGTAGAACGCGGCCGTCAGGTGGTCTGCATGCGCGTGGGTCTCAAGGATGTGGGAGATGGTGAAGCCCTGGGATCGGACTAACGAGAGAAGGGCGTCGGCGGCGCGTGTGGTTACCGTGCACGTGCACTTGTCATAGTCGAGGACCGGGTCGATGATGGCTGCTGTCTGTGTCGTTGGGTCGGCGACGACGTACTGCCATGTGGAGGTTTGTGGTTCGAATAGTGGGTGGATGACGGGTTCCGGGGAAGCGGTTGCTGGTCCTGCTGTGCTGGCGGTGGTGTATGTCCTACGGACGGGAGTTCTGACGGGGTTGAGGGTAGGAAGCATGGTGGGTAATGCTGTGCGTCGAGGGTTGACGCGAGACACTGGGTTTCGACTATATAACTGTTGATGGGGGGCGCGGTTTTGCCCGGCTCTGGACAGAGTCTGCAGCTCTAGGCTAGAGACACGGGCGGCTTTGGCGAAGGGGGAGACGAGGGGACGGGTAGTGGGCAGCTCTGTAGCCCCGAGACAACTTTGTAGCGGAAGTCTTCTCATCTTAACTTCTGAGCACTTGGCGATGTTTAGGGGAGATCCAGTTGTGAACCAGCATGAAGCCGGTGATGTAGCCGCGTGTTTAAACCCGTTGCCGGCATTACGGGGACCCACAATCCAACATAGCATAACCGTCCCGGCGGTACGGGGCCAGGGACGGGGGACCTCGGGGCACCGCCGATAGCCGCGCCGACATCCGCTCCGATACCCGTTACTTCAATGGCTGCGCATACTTGGCGCCGGCTATCTTGTGTCAGAGGAGGCCGTTCAGACTCGATTCATAGGACTAAGGAGCCGCAATCCCGCACTCCGGCGCGCCGATCTACAGTACCTTACGCAGTGTAACACGGGATACTACATTACTCAAGTCAGGCGATTGTGGCGCCACCGAGCGCCTTTGCTTCCGGACACCAGCGAATGAACTGAAACCGGTTGCCAGTTTTCGTCGGTTGTCGAGATGCCTTTGTCGGGGTCCACTGCCGGTTGACAAATTGAGTCGGGGACCCGCAGATTAGCGCAATGGCGTGCTGGTGCACGGTTCACAAAGCACACAAAGCGCTCCTTTCTAAGCCCCTGTCTTTTACGGTTTCCTCACCACCAGGACTTCTCTCTCAAGTCTCAACAGTGGGGGTTTCCGGCTGTCAGCTTTCATTCACTCACTTATTCTCTCACCGTACCCGTCATGGCCTCCAGTAGACTCCTCACCACCCAGGCGGTTAGCGCTGCGGCAGCCGCCAGACACTCATTCAACAAACAGGCGCCCGCCGCATATCGGACGTTTGCCTCCGTCTCAGATGTCCCAGTCAGCCCAGCGCGCAATCACAAAGTGGTCGTTGTGGGCGGAGGGTCGGCCGGCTTAACCATCAGCCACCAGCTCCTGCGGACAGGCAAGTTCTCCCAAGACGACATCGCCATCGTCGACCCAGCAGAATTCCACCACTACCAACCGGGCTGGACACTTGTGGGCGGCGGCCTGAAGAACAAAGATGAGCTGAAGCGCCCGCTCTCGTCACTGGTCGACCCCAAACTCAAACTGTATCCCGACTCTCTCGCCACCTTCTCTCCCCAGGACAACAGCGTCACCCTCGGCAGCGGGGCCAAGCTGACCTACGAGCAGCTGGTCGTGGCGCCGGGGATCAAGGTCGACCTCTCCAGCATCAAGGGCTTGCCAGAGGCAGCGGCCAACCCGGAGTCCAATGTATCGTCCATCTACACTTTCGAGACGGTCGACAAGGTCTTCAAGACGATCCAGCGCCTGCGCGGGGGACAGGCCATCTTCACGCAGCCGGCCGGTGTGATCAAGTGCGCGGGTGCGCCGCAGAAGGTCATGTGGCTCGCGCTGGACCACTGGAAGCGCGCCGGTCTGTACCAGGCCAAGAGCGAGAGCTCGGCGGTCAAGATCGCCTTCGCGACCGGCCTGCCGGCGATGTTCGGCGTGCCCAAGTACAGCGCCGCGCTGGAGGCTCTGCGGCAGGAGCGCGGCGTGGAGGGCCTGTTCACGCACGACTTGGTCGAGGTCGACGGCAACACGGCCGTGTTTGCGCGCCCCGACGGGAAGGAGCAGGTCAGGAGGACGTTCGACCTGCTGCACGTGGTGCCCAAGATGGGCCCGCACGCGTTCGTCAAGAACAGCCCTCTCGCGAACGAGGCCGGATACGTGGATGTCGATGATGCGACGCTGCGGCACAAGAAGTATGGGAATGTGTGGTCGGCGGGCGATGCTAGCAGCTTGCCCACGTCCAAGACGGCAGCGGCGATCACGTCTGAGGCGCCCGTGCTCGTGAAGAATCTGATGCGGGTGATGGAGGGCAACGAGAAGGTGGAGGCTGGGTATGACGGGTATACTTCCTGCCCGCTGCTGACCGAGTATGGGAAGGTGATGCTGGCCGAGTTCAAGTACGGCGGCGTACCGAAGGAGACTTTCAACGTGATCGGGTGGGACCAGGCGACGCCGAGACGCGCCTTCTATCACTTGAAGAAGGACTTCTTTCCCTGGGTGTACTATAAGTCGATGGTCAAGGGCACCTGGGGCGGGCCCAATGGGTGGATCAACTAAATTTCGAAAGAGGGATCGGGCATCCCAGTCTTCAAAGCCTTCCATTCCCAAAGCAGTCTTCGTTGTGAAGCTCCCTTTGATGCGTTCGTTACGGCCTGGTGATCAAGCGCCTCGTACGTTCGAAGTTGTCATCACTTGTGGGGCATAATGTGCGAATGTAGACTTGGGGCTTTCGACCCATCTCCAAAGCTCCGATGACAGGACATGGCTAGCGACTTCTCACTGTGTAGAAGTTCCAAAGGGGTTGATCCAAACAGGAAGGAGCAATGTTGGGAGTAAGGACAGGGCCCACCCATCACCCCTCCAACGACCTGGATGGAAACCCGACGCAACACAAGGCGTCTCTAGACATTCGGTCATGTTTCGGTCTTATGGAAGCTCTATTACCAACAAATAGACAGCTAGCATCTCTCGCTTTCCATAAACAACAAAGGTTTCGACATCAGGGTTTTTTCGGCATCAAACATCGCTCTCTCCATTATCGACAATCCGGCATCGGGACCTTGTCAGCCTGCTAGTGGTGCCGATTTGTTTTCGCCAAACCGCCTGTCTCGAGGATACGGGGCACTATCACCACCCCCAGCCAACTCCCGCGACAAGGCACACTTTGTCTCCGGCCACGCACTTGCGCCAGCGCAACACCTGCTGCTCCCGTCGAGAAGGCAAACGCGGAAAGCCACAGAGCACTCAGTGGGTGCTGCCCGTATATTACGTCTGTCCACTTCCGTATCGCCATAACTCTTGCTAATCATCGCACATCGGACAACAAAATGGCGGGTGACGATGGTTGGGAAGAGGTCAAGGGCAAAAAGAAGGATCGGAACCAGCGGCAACAACGTAGTACTCAGGACGGTAGCAGCGAGGACCGACCAGGTCAGGGGCGCGAGGGTCAGACGCCCTGGCGGGGCGGAGGTCGGGCCCGGGGAAGCAGAAGTGGTGATTATGGAGGTCAACGGGGCGGACGTCAATGGGGTGGAGGTCACGGAGGCGGAGGTCGAGGAAACCGGCAGAGTGCGAGTGGTGAGTATGGAGGGCGTGGAAACTGGCAGAGCGGAAGCGGCGGTCACGGAGGGCGAGGACGGTGGCGGAGCGGAAGTGGCGATGATGGCAGCAAAGTCAACAAAGACCAGCAGCCCCAACGCGGACGCCAGCACTCCAGAGAGTACTACAGGTATGCCAATACTTGGTTTGACTCCGCTTGGTTACGCAAGACATCAATGCTAAAAGTCTTAGTCCTCAGTCCCAAACACCTCCCATGGAAGACGTCTCTCGAGTCGAACAGGAGCTAAATCCCGATCGGCGAACTGAAAGCGAGTCGGAAGCACCCGCACCTACCGCCGAAGGAACCGGCAAGCAGATTCAGAAAACGACTTCAAGCAAGGCTCCGCAACCAGGCGAGGAGACTTCGGATTAGAGACTGCCTCCCCGTCCCGCTTACGGCACCCTTGGCAAAGATGTCGAGCTGTGGACCAACTATGTTGCGCTTGATCCGAAGCGGGATGTCGTTCTCTACCGTTACACCGTCGACATCACGAGGGCCAAGGAGAGTCGTGCTCCAAAACAGCTCGCGGCCCAGTCACAGAAAGTGACGCTTAGCCACAGTAGCAATACTGCCACGGGCGGCGGAGCCAAGAAGGACGCAAAGACTGCGCCAAACAAGGTTTCCGGCATGAAGAGGGCCTACATAATCGCCCAGCTGCTTGATGAGTCTGAAGAGCTCAAGGCAGCTAATGAGAACGGGGGTCTCGCGTCGGACTACCGGGACATATTGATTACCAACAAACAGCTCTCCGATCATAGCCTCATGCGGGTTGTCACCTTCCGGCACGCGACATCGGATTGGAGGCCAGAGCAGTACAAGGTTGTCCTGAGGGAACCGGAGGACACGGCCCACGCACTGAAGATGAGCGATTTGCTCGACTACTTGGGATCGAGCAGTCCCGCAAAAGACTTCCACAAGGCCCTCTATTCTCAAGTCCTCAACATCTGGCTACGACAGTTTTCCAAGTCCTTCCAGATTACCGACCCCTCGAGGCAGACTGTTGTCGGCAGCACAGCCTACGCGCTCAATGGTGGAATGACATTGTCAGACGGCCCTAGTAAGGTGCATGAGCCCAAAAGGACCGTGGGGCGGTCCGTCGACGCTATCAGAGGCTACTTCTCCAGCATCAGGTTCGGCGCTGCAAAGGCGTGGATCAACGTGAACGTGACCTACGGGACATTTTTCGAGCCGATACTGCTGGACAAGTGGGTCAAAAAAGCAGGTCTGGACGACAAGCTCGCGACTTTGCACGCTACTCTCAAAGGGCTGCGCGTTCGGTTGAAGCATCGGAAGGTTGCCGTCGACGGCGCTGAGAAGGATATCATCAAGGTCATATCCGGTCTCGCCAGTAAGCAGGACGGCAAAGGCGAAAAGGGGGACCAAAAAGCTCAAAAGGCCCCCGACCAAGGACCACAGTTTCTAAACGATGCCCCGGACACCGGCGCGACCTGTAGACAGGTGATGTTCTATGACAAGGGAAAGAAGGAACATGTTTCCGTCTATGATCACTTTTGTAAAGGTAAGTCGCCTCGCATTGCCGAGTCCCACTGGCTAGTACTGACCAGCCGGGCGAAGCATACCCGCACCGCAAAATCAGCCCAAATGAGCTCGTCATCAACGTCGGCAGCCAGCTCCGTCCTTCTTACTACCCGATCAGCGTTTGCGAGATTCTCGAAGGTCAGAACTTCCGCTCGAAGCTCTTCGGAGATCAGACCGCAAAGATGATCGCGCTTGCCCAGCTCAAGCCCATACACAGCGCCAAGGTCATTACTCGAGACGGCTTCCAGGTCATCGGCATTGGGAGCCAGCCTGGGGAATCCGCGCCGCTGTTCCCAAGTCGTCCACACACAGAGGTCCTCGGCCCTTCACGCACACTGGCCCCAACGAGAGGGCGAAAACTTGATGCTCCTCGCGTCTTGTACTCTAACAAACAGTCTCCTACGATGGAGAGTGGATGGTGGGTCCTCGGCGAGAAGGGGTTCCTGAAAAGCGGTAAATCCGCCCGGTGGGCCATGTTGCCGATTGACAGGTTCGTGGATCCGACTGAGACTGATCTGACTCGGGCTGTGCGGTCGGCTGAGCAGTTGGCCGAGGAGTGGAAAAAGCTCATCAAGCAAATCGACGGTGATATGACCCGAAGGGGATTCGCCCAAGACGCCCGCAAAACGCAACGTCTCCTCCCAATCCTGGCGGCACCACCAGGGGAATTTCAAAACGTGCTAACAAAGAAGTTTAGAGAGTTGCGGGAAGCTGGGTACAACTTTCTGTTTGTACTTCTGCCTGGGAAGGATATTGACCGGTATAACATGGTCAAGACTGCTGGCGACATCGAAGTTGGGATCGATACAGTGTGCTTAGTCCAGAAGAACGCCCTCAACGACAGACGGATGCACAAGAGAGACCAATATTGGGACAACATTCTTCTCAAAGCGAATCTCAAGCTGGGAGGAGTGAATCACACAGTTGAATGTGACGCAGCTGAGACAATACTTTCCCAGCGGCGCGCCATGGTCGTGGGTTACGATGTCACACACGCGGTTCCAGGAGCGGGAGGCACCTCCTCCAGCATTATTGGCATAGTGGCCAATGTGGACAGCAACCTCGCCCAGTGGCCGGCAACAGTCGCCTTCCAGACGGAAGAGAACAAGGAGATCGTGAATGCCATCAAGTGTTTCCAACAATTGCTTGGACCTCACCTTGAACGGTGGGCCAAATTCAATGCGCGGAAGAACAAGACGAAGTACCCAGAGGCCCTTATTATCTACCGCGACGGAGTTTCCGAAGGCCAGTACAATCATGTCATCGAGCAAGAATCCACCCTGATCCGTGGAGTCTGCGAGCAGATCTACAAACAGGTGAAGCAAGCTCCCCCAAAATCACCATCGTCATTGTCGGCAAACGCCACCACACACGCTTCTACCCCAAGAATGAACAAGCGGCCGACGAAAAGGGCAACCCAAAGCCGGGTACCATTGTCGACCGCTCCATCACAAGTCAGTTCTTATGGGAGTTCTACCTCCAAGCTCACGAAGCCATCCAAGGCACAGCTCGCCCGACCCACTACGTGGTCGTGGTGGACGAATTCTTTGGCGCGAACTTTGGTCAGGAGCAGGACAAGCTTAAAATAGCGCAGCCGTACCGGAACGCTGCGGATGTCCTCGAGGACTTCACGCATACGCTGTCATATTGCTTAGGGCGGGCGACACGGTCAACAGCGGTCTGCGTGCCGGCAAAGTTGGCAGACAAGGTGTGTGACCGGGCGCGGGTTTACATTGCTGCCGGCATCCCAGCTGACAACGAACATTTGAAAATCGCGGACACGTTGAAGGATACCATGTTCTACATTTGAAAACATTCTTGTCCGGTAGTTGCTACTCTGGTAACCCTTCTTGGGCATGTCTATCTGTAGCCACAGCGGTCAATTCAGCAGCGACTCTCTACTAGTGGTTTCCTCTCTCTGACTCCATTCCTGCGTGTGCCCTTCACCCTTTTGTCCTCAGCCAATCCTATGTACCGAAAATTCTCTCAACAAACGCAGACTCCCAGCTTCGGGGACCAAGGCAGATCACAACGCCTCGGCACCACTATGCATTCAAACCGCACTATATTCCGGCAATAAGGCTAGCCGTATACGGTCGACAGCATGGACTAGTAGGCAATGGCTACACAGTCCGCCAACTCGGACTGTTCATCACCAAACGCCAAGATTCCCGCAACCCGTGGCTACAGCTTCACACCCAAGTTGAAGGGGCAACTAATTGCTGCTGGTTTTGTTTATCTTCCTGCCGTTGGTACCCTTTATCAGCGTTGTCCGCCGGAAACGGAAATGGACGTGAGAACAACAAAGGGGAGCCGGGGACAAAGCGACAGTCCCCTGTTCGTTGCCTTAGCCGAGTCTCCCCCCCTTCGATAGCAAACAATGAGGGGGGAGAGGGGGAACTTCAAGATGCACACCCGGCACCAACGCAAATGCAACCGCCAAAAAGTCGAATTGTTTGATGGTTACATGAAGACTGAATAATTCTGAACCTCATCGGATTGCTCGTTCAGTTTGGCCCTCGTCGTCATCAAAACAGAGGCAGGGGTGGACACCATTATCCCCCCGGTATCTTACGCGACTCTGTCAGTACTGATTTGGGACCGAGAGAGAGAGCGGTAATGGCAAGTGAAGTTTCCCACAGCATCGTACAAACGCCCGCGGAATTCCGCCAGCTCCACGTCAAAATCCCAGCCATAACCTTCCGCGACCCTCCCCCGGAAGACGGGACTGCTCCCAACCCCAGCCCCAGCGAGGCCTGGCTGGACGCCCACGGAAAGGGGTTCCTCCTCATGCACAAACTGCACACCATCCAACCCCCCGGCAGCTGGATCCTGCTGCAGAGCGTTGACGACGGCAAGCTGATCGTCAACAAGCGCCTCAAGCGATTCGCGCCGGTCTGGAAGGACAACGACTACACCAAGCAGTCGCCGGAGAGATGGGAAGTGGCCTGGCACGAGCCAGTGCCGAACGAGCTGCGCTTCTCGCGGTTGGATGATAGTCGGGTAGCCGTGCGCCTGCCGAACGAGCCCTACTCCCCGGAGCTGTACGCGTACGGGTTTCCATATGGGTACAAAGAAGGGGAGACGCCCGATGTCTGGTCGTTGTGCTTCAAGCGGTACAACGGCGGGAGTTTGAGTAACCTCATGGAGATGTATGCCGACCCGCAGATTGGGGGTCCTGTTCCGGAGCCGTTCATCTGGCATGTCATGGAGCAGCTGTCGAGGGCGGTGATTTACCTGCATACGGGGCTCAGTCGGAGCGAGCTTGCAAAGAAGAGGAGGAGGAAGAAGAAGAAGGAGGAGGATTGGATGTCCAAGGTGAAAGAGCGAAAGTGGAAGCCGCTTGTGCATCGGGACATCGGCGAGAAGAACATACTGCTGCATTTTTCCGAGAAGGGCAACGTACGGAACCGCTGTTTCCCGCGGATTGTGCTGGAGGGGTTCAAGCGGGCGAATTTGGTTGATGATGAGCCGTCGTGGTGGCACTACCCGCCGGCATACAAAGGATGCCAAAGGGTTGACGAGTTCAATGTTAGTCCGGAGCCGTGGGAGGACATTTATCTGATGGGTGAGCTTTTCCGCCGGCTCGTGGCGGTCTACGGGTGTGGGAGGACGAAGACGGGCTACCGGCTGAACTTTGACGTGGATCGAGAGTGTCAAATGTCGGATTATCTGTCGGCGAACCTTCACCTAGCCGACGGTGAAAAGCCAGCATACTCGGACGAGTTGATCAACCTGCTGGGGAGGTGGGAGATCCCAGAGCTTCGGGACGATCGCGCCAGGCAGAGACATTTTGCCGATAACGGGATCTGGCAACAGATACCCGGCATTGGGTTCTTCATCAAGGAAGTGCTTCCCACGGCTGCAAAGAGGGTCAAGAAATACCGCGCCATGGCCATCGGCCGGCTCACTGCCGAGGACAAAGACGGGCTGATGGCAGACGTCTCGTGCGTCATGCCGGACCCGACCTTCGAGGCGATCCCGTACAGCACCAACAAAGGGAGCCAGAGGCATGCGCTGTCGGTCCTGAAGCGCGAGCTGATGTACCTGTACGGTCCCTGGATTCATTCTTGGTATAGGTACAAGGGCGTCGTGGTCACAAAGATCCCACCACAAGCGGAGCGGTTCTATGCGCCAAGTGAGCATATGAGGCCGCCCCGTCGTGATGATACTGGGCAGATGCAGCTTCGCGGCGGTGGCTCGGACTCGGACGCGGATTCGCTATTTGGCGATGACAACGAAGACATGAACCTGACGTGGGAGGACGAGAAGACTTTCAACGACAGCGTACTAGTGGACCAGTGGAACGGCCGAGAAGAGCAGAGAGCAGGAGACGAAGAGGAAGCAAGGGTTGAGGAGGCGGAAGCAGGAGACGGGGGGGAAGCAGAGGAGGAGGAAGGAGGAGGGCAAGAGGAACGTACGCACGAGGAACGGGATCAAGAAGAAAGCGATCACGAAAGTGAGGAGGCGGAAGGTCAAGACAGTGGAACCGACGAGGAGCCCAGTCCCGGGTACATCGCCAGCATCAGGCGATATCAATCCGAGAAAAAGGCAAAACAACAGCCGGTTCGTGTATGGCATCCTTCTCGGGAAATCAGGGACCCAAAGCCTCGAGGGAGGGTCTCGAATACAGCCGAAGAGGCCGCAGAGGAGTACAGCGGGCTAGTCGGCGATATAAAACAAAGAATGGAACATGTGTTCCGGGACGTGGACTACGACGACTGCGGGTGTAGCAACTGCGTCCGCGAGCTAAACAAGTTCATCGTGTCCGAGGTAAAGCAATGCAACACCGTGCTCAGGCGGCTACACGACAAGGCCATTGAGACGATCAAGGCAATACCCAAGTTCAAGAAGACCCTGAGACTTCCGGAGTTCGAACCGCTCGTTGAAGAAGACCTGATTGAACAGCCAGCGAACCCATTCGAAACCAAAGCTGGAGTCGAGCACTGGGTACATAACCCCTTTGATCCCAACTACGAGGAGGACTGGGAGTCCGACCGATACTACCCGTGGCAGAAGTGGGATTACGGAACAGCACCAGCACAGTCAGAGGTAACGGCACCCGAGCCGGCCGAGAAAACGAAGAAGACTACTAGTAGGAAGCGGCCGGCCAGCTCAAGCCTACCGGTGGAGGAACCAAGGCCGAAGAGGACCGCGCGGACGGGTCCTTCCCAGGCCACTGCCCCGCGCACGGCTCCGGAAGGCCCGGCCCCTCCTAAACCGCCAGTGGAGGCATCCAAGCAGCCCCCGGCCGCGGCGCCACGAGTCAAGCTGAAGGCGTCAGACCTGAGCTTCTCTAGCCAAACAGGAAAGCAAACCACCGCTCAAGCAACCCCGGCCAAAGCGCCAAGCGGCAGCATTCCGGCCCCGCCAAAGCCCCTTGGACACCTCGCAGTTGCGACGTCAAGGCTGACCAGGCTGACCCAACCAAAGCAAGCTACTACCGCAACCAAAGGGGCACCAGCCAAAGCGCCGACCGGAAACATGCCAGCCGCATTCAAGCCCCGCAGAGACGGCGCAGTCAAAGCCTCGATGCTGAACTTTCCGGCTCAACCACAGGCGCCTACCTCAACTCAAGCAGCACCAGCCACGGCTCCAACCCGCAACCGCCCTATCAGCGACCGCGTAGTCATAACACGAGGCGACATCACCAAGGTGCAGGACGACGCAATCGTCAACGCAGCCAAGCGGAGCCTCCTCGGCGGTAGCGGCGTCGACGGCGCCATCCACCGCGCCGCCGGCCCCGGCTTGCTCGCCGAGTGCCGCACGCTGGGCGGCTGCGAGACCGGCTCGGCCAGGATCACCAACGCGTACAACCTGCCGTGCAAGAAGGTCATCCACGCCGTGGGGCCACAGTGGGGCCGGCCGAAGAGCACCGAGGAGCAGAGCAAGCGGCTGCTGGCGAGCTGCTATTCCCGGGCGCTGGAGCTGGCGGTCGAGCACGGATGCCGTACGATTGCGTTCCCGTGCATCAGCACGGGTGTGTACGGGTTTCCGCACCTGAAGGCGGCGCACGTCGCGCTGGAGGCCATAGGACGGTTCTTGAGGGGGCCGAGCGGAGGGGAGATTGATCTGGTTAGGATTGTGGTCTTCCAAGATATTGATGAGACGGCTTATAAGATGTTGCTCCCGTAAGTATCTCTCCTTGTGTCCATCGTGGCATAGCTAGTAAGGTGTGCTTGCTAATGCTGGTTGATATAGGAATTTCTTCCCTCCCGGACAAGATCAGAGTGAACCGGGGGCGAGAGTGGCGAGCGTGAGCTGACGGTACGAGGAGTTCTGAGGAATATAGAACCGAGAGGGCTTTTTCTACGGTAGGAGGCAAGCTAGTATCTAAACTATCAGCTACATGCGGAAAGGATTCCCGTATGGTTACAGAGGAGGGGTGGTCATTTCACAGCTGGCAGGTTAGATTGCAACATCACCACCAGTGAATACTGTTGAACAATTTCATGTCAGAATGGCTTCATGCCCATTGCGGTATCATACTGTCCGTACTCCAGAAGCCACAGCAGTCAGAGTTGTTGAGAATAATTACTGCTGCGATACCCCTCCAGACGCCCCCGTCTTGGGTTCTTCCCTTGACCCCGGTCTTACTCATCCTTGATCTTGAGCACCGCCTTGCCAAAGTTCTTGCCCTCTAGCATGCCCACGAAACCTTCCGCCGCGTTGTCAATGCCCTCCGTCACGCTCAGCTTCGCCGTGACGCTCCCCTCGGCCAGCCACTGCTGCATCTTCTCCTGGTGCTCCTTCGCGTACTTGTCGCCGAAGCCCGGGTCGCCGACGATGAAGCCGCGCATGGTCAGCCGCTTGGACACCACATGCATCAAGTTCTTGATGCCGTAGTGCTCCGTCCGGGGCTTGTTGTATTGTGAGATCTGCCAACCATAAGTCAGCTCATATTCGCCCCTACTAGTAGTTTCTCTCAAAACCCCGGCAGCCAGAAAGGAAGAAACTTACCATGCCACAAGCGATGATCCTGCCAAAGTCGTTCATCGCGTCCAGCGCATCCTCCAACTGCTCCCCGCCGACATTCTCAAAATAAATATCCACCCCGTCCGGCGCCAACCTCTTCAACGCCTCCTTTGTGCGCTCCTTCTTGTAATTAAACCCGCCATCGAACCCCAGCTCCTTGGTGATAAACTCCAGCTTCTCATCGCTGCCAACACTCCCAACGACCCGCAGGCCCTCGCGCTTCGCAATCTGGCCGACGACCTGGCCCACCGCGCCAGCGGCACTGCTAATAAAGATGGTCTCGCCCTTCTTGGGCCGCCCAATCTCATGCAGCGAGCTCCACCCAGTCAGGCCGGGCATGCCCAGCGGGCCGAGGAACAAGCCTAGGTCCTTCAGCCCGTGCGGGTTCCGCACTTTGCGCTGCACCACCACGCCCAGCTCCTCCTTCTTGACCGTGGCGTACTCGGCGATCGGCAGGAACGCCACCACTACGTCCCCCGGTTGGTACTCGGCGCAGTCCGACTGGAGGACCCGCGCCACCGTGTGGTTGGACACGGGCCCGTCGAGCGCGAAGGCGGGCTTGTAGGACTGGATGTGGGCGGGCCGCATGCGCCCGCGCAGGTATGGGTCGAAGGAGGCATACAGCACGGAGAGTGTCAGGCCGCCGGCCGGAGGCGGGGCCGAGGTGTCGAAGGGCCCGCGGTCCTCAATCACCAGGTGCTCGCCGGGCACGGGGGTGCCGGTGGGGACTTTTTTGAAGATGAGGGTTTTGTTTGTGGTCGCCATTTTTTGTTCTATTTTTGCGGGCTGGTTGATGTTGGACGCTGGTCCAGGTGGGAGGATGCTCTGTAGTAGAGGTTGGTGTTGCCTGGTTGTTGTTGTTTGTGTAAGAGCGTGGAGAGAGGATTGAAGTGTGGTGAATGTAGCGGAGTACGTAGTAAGTCGGGAACCGGGAATGACGTCGATTTAATACGGATTTCGGGCTATAATCCAGAAAACTGGAATCTTTCGTGAATGGGACTGAATTGTGGGCAGCGCAACCCACGGAGTCGGTCGTGATTTCTAATGATGGCGGGCTTGTTGCCGATCGATTGGTGGAGCTAGGAGCAGACCCATGACGCCATGCGCCGAGCCCAGGAGTCTGGGCTGGCCAACCTCGGCACTCTGACCTCAAACCATCACAAAGGAGTACGGTACGAAGCCACATTATGGGGTTGTTGCGCGACTTCTATAGAGTATGAAACATTGCACAGTGGAACGCGACAGGCCGGGCCCGCTTTTAACCATCACCACGGCACTTGTACCCCGGTGATTGAGCTCCGCGCTTCCGTGGATTTGTAATCAGTGAATGCTCGGCAGCAGTCTTCGGGCACGAGACCTGCGTTCGCAGTGTGAGCCGTCTGTAGGCATCCCCAATCTTTATTACACTGCTATTGTTGCTCATCTTCTCGTCGCAAGGCAGCGTTGCCATGAGCGTAACATTGCTAAAAGGGATCCATACACTTGGATTGCACTATCTCAATGCCCACTCACAACAGGTGGGGTCACGGATCGATGATAGATACCAGGTACCTACTAGTACTCCGTGGTCTAGACAGATGGGATCTATAGACCGGAATACCTTCCACAAATCGACACGGGACTAGATTCACACTTTCCCGAAGCCGTTTGTTGAGGTTCGACTAGCCAAGGAGTTTAGCTAACATTGCCATCGCATATTCATTCAACGGCATAACGTCTATCTGGACCTTCCCACCTTTACCGCGCTTGTATTGAGATTGATGGACTCTGCGTGCAATAAGTCTACTTTGGAGATCATGGTTTCCAAACCCAGGTACATCATCATTCATGAACCGTCCACATCCCGGGAGTGGAGGGCGAGGACACCTACCGTGATAACCGCGACCTCAAGATCATACACTATAATACTTCGTTGATGACTCGTGCTTGCCCGGAATAGGCCACGATATGAACCTTGTCGACATCGGGGCCCTCCGACGCTGCTTTACTGATATACAGGGCCTCCGTAGCATTGAGAATGGGGTTCATTACTTATTATGTACAAGTACAAGTACACGTGTATGTATTGTACATAGCATGTTAAGCAGCCGAGGAATTCGGACCCCTGAGCCCAATAGGAAGCAAGACTACTTCCAATTTAGGAAACCACACAAACACCTTCGGATGGCGGTACGCGTTCTGTATATAGGTGAATATAATATATATACGTCTAGTATCAAATTCGTTCACCTACTACATGCTAACGTCCACATCGCTTATCCCAGCATCCTTTTGGCCAGGCCCGAGCAATGCAAAACACCATCTCCTCAAGCCCCGCACATACGATGTTTAAACAAAACAAATCTAAACCACATTCCCCCTAGCAGTGGATCACTGGGATCTACAAAAGAAATAAAATAGAAAAACAACTCACTTCCAATAAACGTCCATCCAGAACCAGTTCCCAGGATTCGCCGCCGCCGCCGCCGTCCGCGTCGTACCCCTCTGCTTCAGCCTCGGCCCCGTCACATGCTGGTGCAAGCCAGTGCTCGACGGCGCGATGGGCGCGTAGCGGACCTTCGCAGCTCGCTTCACCGGCTGTCTGCCAAGAGCGGTGGTGGTAGTAGTGGTAGGCTGTCCCTGCTTCTGTGGCTGCGCCGTGACGTTCTCCTGACTGCCCTTCTTTGCTCTCTTTTCCATCTTCTTCTTCTCCTTCTCCGCCTTCTTTCTGTCACGTCTGCTACTGGCTTTCTTATCCTTGCCATAGGTCGTCTTCGTCTGGGCGTAGAATCCCACTCCGAAGACATGCCTCTTCTTCTTCTTCTTCGTCTTGGCCTTCGACTCCCTCCGCGTATCGACATCACCACCTGAATAAGAATCGGCAGTGTCGAGAACGCTGTAGTTGTCGCCGCCCATGACGTCGGCCACGGCCGACTGCCGCGTACCGCCGCCGCTCTCACCCTGGACGAGCTGGGGGCTGCCTGTCTTGACACGTCCCACGCGGTGGTAGTCGTCCGTTTGGTTCAGGTTGCCCATTTCGATGTCCTCGCTCCGCTTGGGCTTGCGGCGGAAGCCGCTGAAGAGGCGGGAGAAGAAGCCTGGTCGCTTGTTGTTTCGGGGCGGCTGGTTCTGCTTTGTTCTGCGCCTGAAGAGACCGCGCTTTTTGTGAGGCTTGCTTATTGTGCCGTCGGGATTGGTGGTTTGGTCGGCGCTCTTGGAATTCTTCTTTGATCCGCCAAACAGTGCGGCGAAAAAGCCCTTCTTCTTCTTCGGCTTCTGGTTGGGGTTGGGAGAATAGGAAGTACCTGGATAGGCCTCAGAGCCCGGCTGCTGTTGGAAGTACTCATCCGGGTGGTCTAACCCCTGAGAATACCCCTGATTGCTGTTCGGCGCCACGCCTGGCGAGGTCTGCATCGGATACTCCTCCACGGCCCCGGAGTTCATGCCCTGGTTCTGAGGCCGGCGCTTCTTCTTCCCCGAACCGAACAGCACGGCGAACAACCCACGCTTCTTGGGTGGCCTGGTGTAGCCATCATCCCAGTCGTTCGCTCCGGCAGTAGTGTTGTTCTGGCGCTTGTGCTTCCTGCCCGAACCGAAGAACACAGAGAATATCCCGCGCTTCTTGGGTGGTTGCGCATAACCATCGTCCCAGGAATTGCCGTTCGGTGGTCGGCCGTAGCCGTCTTGATCCCAGGGTCCGTTAGCATCCTGACCCATCGGGCCGCCCATGTCTTGGTCTTGGCGCCACTCCTGGCCGCTGGTATCCCCCTCCATGTATCCGGGCTCGCCATTCATGCCCTGGTCCATGCTTGACGTACCCATGGTTCTAGGGTCCCGTTGCTTGTCCTGTTTGCTGGAACCGAAGAGCGACGCGAAGAATCCTTTCTTCTTGGGCTTCTGAGTAGTGGAGTCATAGTTAGGATCCGCCGCGTTCGGGTTGTCGAATTGGTGATCGTCAACATCCTCCCATTCACCATTCTGGTCGACCATTGCTGGGTCTTGCATGGGATCGTTGCTGTACATCTGGCCGTTGGCATCGACCATATCCCCGCCGATTGGAGTGTTTCTGCCGTCAAACGCCCCTGGCCCGTCCCCGTCCATTGCCGCGCTATTTGCGGACATGTCTTGTCTCTTTCCTGGGCCATTGTGGTCGTCCTTTGGCTTCTTCACACAGAACAGCTTGGCGGCAAGAGACTTGAAGCTGAAACCGGAGACCTTAGAGTTCGCCTCACGGTACTGCTCCTCCAACGCTTCCATGCCCCAGCCAAGCGTCACAGTCGACATGAGCGGGAGAAGCCACTTGTGCTTGCCCTTTTGGAGCCTCTTATCCGGTCTACTGGGAGCATAGATGGGCACCATGCCGTCGTGCTGATCGAAATCCCCATCATGACTGGGTGTCATGGTCATGGGCTCATGTGCCTGATACGGCTGCTGGTCTTCCGGATAGTACTGATCCGTGGAATTCCGATATTCTTCCACGGGAGATCGTTGCTCAGGCGAATAGATCGCATCCGGTTCGGTGTACGTTTCTTGGGCTTGCTCGGCGCCCGGGAATATGGATCCCTGGTACACCTCTTCCTCTTGGGGTGCTAAGCCTGGGTCCGGGGAACGCTGATACTCGAGCTTCGGTTGTGGTGTTTCTTGCAGAGGGGGCGACTGCGCTAGACCTTGGCCAAACTCTTCGTGGTAATTGTCATGGTCCTCCGGGGTGTGGAATTCAGGGAGCCTGTCATGATCATCGTAATGGCCGGAACCGCGGAACTCTGTCCCGTTCGAAGGTTGGGGAGACATCATGCTCTGGTCGGCACGTTGCTCCTCACCTTGGTCGAAATTGTCCTCAAAGGGCTGTTCCTGATACTGGCCCGGGTTATCAGGGATCGGTGAATATGGCTCTGCTTGCGGCTCCCCCATGTCTTGCGTGTCGAAGTTGTCTACTAACGGGGAGCCCTGCATCTGCTCGCCGGGCGATTCCAGACTACGATCATCCGGCTGAAAGCCTCCCGTGTCCTGACTGCCGAAGTCGCCATCGAGCGGTTGCTGTGACTCCTCAAGGGGCACGGGAGACTGCATCCCCTGATTTCCATCCTGCCATTGGTCTTGTGCTAGTGGCTCCTGGAACTGGTCGTTGAGCAGTGATGATTCCTGGAGCTGGTTGCCTAATGACGGTTCCTCTTGATACTGATCGTCTTGGTACTGATCCTCGACCGGCGACGTGCCATGGCCTCCTTCTTGCCACTGATCTTCCTCCCGCTGTTCCTGGAACTGATCGTTGAGTGGCGAAGATCCACGGACATCGTTGTCGAACCTCGGTTCTTCTTGATACTGATTGTCCTGGAATTGGTCCTCCATCGGTGTCTCCTGGAATCGGTGATCAACCGGAGACATGGCTTGGCCTTCTTCTTGCCACATGTCTTCTGCTTGTGGCTCCTGATACTGGTCGTTCAGCGGTGAAGATGGCTGGTACTGGTTGTCGAACTGCGGTTCCTCGTGAAACTGATTGTCGTCGTAGGCAGCTTCCTGGAACTGATCCTCCCCAGACGGTTTGTAGAATCCATCCTCAACCGGTGACATCCTTTGGTCTTGGTCTTGCCACTGACTGTTGACTGGTGACCCTTGGAATTGATCCTCTACCAGTGGCTCATCAAACTGGTCGTCAGCGTGGGTGTCTTGGAACTCGTTCCCAAGCGGTGACCCCTGAAACTGCTGATCCAACGGCGAATTACGGAACTGGTCATCAAGCGGCTGTCCATCGAACTGCTCTCCGCGCGGTGACTCTTGGAAGTGAT